CAGGCTGCCTTAACTGCATTGCCACAAGAATAGAGACAAGATATTGGGTACAGATAGTTTACTTGGAAAACGATCTCAGGAAACACAACTGAGAGAGCAAGGCGAGTGGGTCAGGGGAGCTCTAGTGCAACTGCAACTGCAACTGCACGTGGGCAGAGGGCATTTCGGGGTGGGTATCATCATCCCCTGGCACCTGAGCCCACCTGAAATCCCTACATACACAAAGGTAAACAAAAACCCGGCCAGGTTGCTCCAATGCATGCTCTAGGTCACAGGACAAAGTTGACCAGCACTGAGCAGACTACTCATAATGCAAGTGGGCAGGATTCATTGTTCAAACAGAGCCTGTAGCCCCTATGAACCAGAATAGGTGCTGCTCTTCTGAATTGAGATCATGATCCAGCTCCAAGGTCCTGGTTTGTCATCACAAAGGCCTGTGGCTGACTTTGCGGTGATGAGAATAGCATCTACTCTGCAACCACTTATTCCTCCCGCAGCAGAGCTTCCCCACCCCAAGTCTCAGTATAACTGACTGAGAAAGAGCCTAAAAGTTATATCCCTGAGAAAATCCCTTTTTATCTGCAAAAATGGGGCAAGTCCATTCACAACCTTGCTTCCTAGATACCCCTGGGAGCAGCTATTGTTCCTAATAATGTCACTTTCCAACAATGAGCCTGAGCATCCAGTTGACCTGGGACCCAGTGGCTTCCCCACACTGAAGACATGTAAGGTGAGGTCCCCCCTGAGAACAGCCCAATTGTCCTTGTACCTGCCTCCACATCAAATATGAAAACATGCCCAGCAGTTTATCTTCTGGTCCTGGGCAGGTCAGCCCTGGGCTAGTGGAGCTGGCAGAGAGGAGTGAGAGATAAAATTAGGGAAGAAACAGGGTGCAGGTCATGAAGGGTCTTCTGGGCCATGATAGGGACACTTGCTTTTACTCTGAGTCAGGCAGGAAGCCCCTACAAGTCTTTGAAGAGAGGGGTGACAAGATCTGATTTGTGACAAAAAGGGGTTCTCTGGCTTCTGCATGAAGCATGCTGAAGGAGGCACGGGCAGAAGCAGGGAGACTAATCAGGAGGGATGTTGTCACGGACAAATCTATAGAGATGGAAAGCAGATGGGTGTCTGGGGCCAGGGGGTTGGGGGTGGGCCATCTACTATGAATGGGCACAAAGAATGTTACTGGGTGGTAAAAATATTCCAAAAGAGTGTGATGATGGGTATGCAACTGGTCAAATTGTAAAAGCCATTGAATTGTGCCCTTAAAATGGGTGAATTAAACAGAGTATAAATGATACTTCAACAAAGTTGTTTAAAAAAAAATCTCTGTGGCTGATATAAGGGACATTCATTCAGGGAACCAAGAGGGGTCGCAGGTGACAAGTTAGCAAGAATTCCAGAAGCCCCTGCAAGAAAGACCAACCTCGAACTTGGGTGGTACAGGCAGAAGGAGTCTGACTGTGCAGGTTCTTCTGGGCCAGGGTTGGCAAACTTTTTCTGTGAAGGACGAGAGTCAGTATCTCAGGCTTTGCGGGCCTCAGGGGCTGTAGCACAGCTACCCCAAGGCCGCCACAGTGGCACAAGCAGCCTTGGAAAGAATGCAAACAAATGAGCGGGCATTGTTCCAATAAAACTTTACCTGTAGACACCCAAATTTGAATTTCATATAATTTCTACGTGTCATTAAATACTGTCCTTTTGATTTTTTTTTTTTTTTTTTTTTTTGCCTGTTTAACGAGGTAAACCCATTGGAGTCCTTATGAAAATAAGAGGTGAGGGCCAGGCTCGCCTTGTCCGCTCTGGGCACCCGCTAAAAGGCGCAAGCAGGGTCTCCGCTGGCCCGCACCCCGGGGGACGCTCGGCTCCCAGACCGTCACAACGGGAAGGGGAAATCAGCACTTCATGACCCTGCTCTGCTCCTTCAACGCCCATAATTACTGTCAGGAGAGAAGCTCCCATCCCGCCCTGAATCGCTGCTTTGTCGTTCTGCCCATGATTCCATTCAGCACACAGCACAGCTGTTCTTCTCCAATGGACTTGATCCTGTTTCACTGCCCTGAGTTCTTGGTAGGATTATTATTCCATTTTCCCCCTCTGGAGGATTTAAAGCAAAGTTATCAAGCCTTTCCCACCCCCACCCTCTGGATCTGTCACTAAGAACTCATATAAACCCCCACAACTCGGACTTAGCTGTTAATCCTTCTGGCTGCTTAAACTCTTTGAAGTCATTAACCTGCTCAGGGGACAGGTAAGTCAAATGCTGTCAATATTTTAAAACCCTCCGGGCTTCCTCTCCTCCCCAAAGCGTGGAGCCAACTAAGAGTGTAACTGGGGTCATTCCCAAGCTTTGGGTCCCTGGACATGGAAAGAGATGAGGAATCTGGGCGTTTCTGTCACCTTCTATCTACATGGACTTAGGCTAAGACTTCACTTGTCTGAACCTTAATTTCCTCAAATTATAAAATAAGGATAATCGCAACTAAGTAGGGTTGCTTCAAGGACCGCAGGGAAAATTCCCGGTGCATCAGATGGTCGGTAAATAGTAGATTTGTCACCTCTTTTTGTGCATTAACTATTTTTGAAAAGGCAGGAGCTCCCCCTTCAGTGTTGTCTCTCAGGCCTGGGAGCCGGTTGCCTGGGGGTGAGGTCTGGGCGGCCACTCACCTGTCTGAGGACCTTGGGCAAGGGGTCGGGCATCCCCGAGCCCCTGGGTCTTCCTCAGGAAGAGGGAGCCGATACTGACGCTGAAGGCTGCTGAATGAATGGGCAGCCGTAATGTCCTGAGCACGCGTCGCTCTCCCTGTGGCTGGCCCCCATGAGATGGGACGTCGGGGTGAGTGCTCACCTCTCCGCTGAGCACTGTAATTATTCTGTGTCTGATCAGGCACCTGTCCTTTGGCTCCGAAGCACAGTGAGAAAGGCAGGTTTACTCGTCTGGCTAAACTAACCATGGATGGTTGGTAATCCCTGTTCATTGGAAATAACACGATGTTTGGTGAAGGCTCCAGAGGCTTTGTTCTTACCATTCATGTTCCCAGCCCCAGGGCTGCTGCCCACGGAACACAGACACACTGTAAATTCATTTCACAAGACTCCTGGGTGGCTTCTTGGGCCATTGGGCACAGTTGCCCTTCACAGCCCTTCTTTTGGGAATGTGACTAGATTTCGAGCTCCTTCCATCGCTGAAGTGCTTTGCAATAATCGATTCTGTTTGTTTTCAACCTCAGGCCCATTTGTGGCAGTCCAGGATGGTATTTCAATGCTCAGGGGAATAGAATGATATGTGGTAAAAAAGGACACAGACTTTAATGTCTGAGGGACCACAGATCAAATCCCAGTTGTCCCACTTAGGAGCCACATGACCATAAGCAGGGACACTCCACCTCCAGTCCCGGGTCCTTCTCTTATGTAATTGGAATATCAGTGTCTCTCTCACGTGATTGAGAATGGAAAATAACAGAGACAAATTTTTAAATTTTTTCTACAATTGTTTTAAATATTTATTTTAATAAAAGCAAATTAAAAGTTCTGAGCATTCTGTGAGGCATAGGTTCAACACAATTCTGTTAAATGCTCATGGAAGAGAAATATCCATAACTTACCAAATTTATAAAATGCCAGTACCGTGCATGAACATGAGATGAATTTTTTTTTTTTAAAGAGAAGAAAATAAGTGATGAGGCCTAAAAATGAAGGCCATACATTCCGCCGTTGGAGAGTCTCCTCTGCACTCTTAGGTTCAGGAACCAAGGCCCTGCAAATTCAACTGACATAAGACAGGTTTACAGAACAAAAATGTTTACAACGCTTGCGCCCTTGTAAGGTCCACCTCTGGCCAGCGTGGCATCTGGAAGAGATACCACTTACTCTGTACCAATAATTAAACAGCAACTTAAATGTTCACCAGAGCCTCTCAATAAAGTTCCAAAGGTGGGCCCATCTCAAATGGACAGCAAGAACATCTTAAAATGTAATTTGCTATGACATTTTTCTCAACTCCATTTTCTCTTGGCTTTTCTCCCCTCCCCCATTCACCTTTCAGCTCTATTTCATTCTCTACCAATGGCAAATTCCTGCTCTTTTTAAATCAAATCTGTGCAGCCTGTATGTTAAACAAGAATCACATTAATACTGACACAGAGAGAGCTTGCGGTTCTTAAGTGATAATATGCGTCAGACAGCATTCTGTGTGGTGTCTGGCACTCAGAAATCACTCAGTAAATTGTCACCATTATTCTCATTAGTCTCCGCTTTGCTGTTCTGACTGCCATGCTGACTCTGCACGGCACATTCCCAGGAGGTTTGCTGGGGCACAGTGTGGCTGAGAAGACAGTGCAAACACTCACACTCATGTATTAAATTTTTTCTTACTTATAAGCAGCCATGATGTGGTGTTTGGAGGCTATTTCCCATCTAAGCAGCCAGAAAAACCATGGAAAGGACAGCGATTCTCCCTGAAGAGGCATGCACGTGTTCCTCCTGCCCCCAGATCTCCTGCCATCATGCGGGGCCACCTCAGAAATTCTGGCGTGGTCCGTAAACAAAAATGAGTGTGTCTCTTCCTGCCAGAGCGTTTAAGAGTTGGTGCATGGTCCTCCAGCTCTCTCCCTTCTGCTGCACTATAAATCAGTGACTAAGGAGATGACAAGGACCAGGTGGAGAACTACAAACAAGGCAGGGGAGGCTCCTTTAGCCAGGGTAACCCTGGGTGACCACGTGGAGCAGAGCTTCCCACCAGTATGCAGTGACTGAGGACTACAAACAAGAAAGGAACTTTTGTTGTTGAATTAAGCCAATGAGATTGTGGGGTTACTTTGTTACCTTAGCATAAACCTAACCTATCCTAATTATACAGAGCCTTTTCAGAACAGATTGCTAATGACTCCCCAGGCAGTGTTCTCAAGAACAAATATCCTGAATCACGGTGAAGAATAATCCACCCTGTTTCTTCCGGCTGCCTGCTTCCTTGTTTCCAGGTGGTCTAGACTATCACAAACATGCTGGGCTTCCTGGCACATGGTGCTCCGGGGAGGCTGTGCGTGGGCCTTGCATGTGTCCTGTCCCTTTGGAACACAGGTGGGTCTGGTCTGAGTTCAAGAAGTGTCTGCTCTATGTACTGAGTCTGGGTATTCATTGTGATTGGAAGACTGGCAGCAACCACATTTCAAGCCAGAGTCCTAAATGAGCTTGATCAAAATGTCAATAAAGTCCCCATTTCTGGTTTTGTCCCTTAACTTTTTGAGATGGAGTCATTTATGCCACAGAGTTATCTTCACCTCCCTTGTGACCATTCTTGTCCAAACCATCGTCTTCTCTTTCTTGCTTCTCCCCTTGTCGTTCCCTGATCCATTCTCCACTCACCAGCCTGCCCGATCTTTTCATAAATCTCAGTATGTCACCGCCCACACTTCTCCCTCATTTCTGCCCTCTCCCCAGATTCTCCAATGGCTTCCCACTTCTTTTTTGGACAGTATCCCAAGTCCTTTACATGGCCAACGTGACCCAGCCCCTCACCATGGCCACTTCCTACAGTCCCCACCTCCTCACCCTCTGTGTTCCACTGCTGTTGGCCTCTCACACGTGTTCCAACTCAGACTCATGCCCATCTCAGGCCCTAGGCACACGCTGGTTGTCCACGGAATAACCCCTCAGCCGTTAACCTACACAAATGCTATGCAGCCTTCAGATCTCAGCTGAACCTCCCAGGGAGAGCCTTCAGATCACCGAGGTTAGATCAGGCTCCCTGTTACACACCCTCAAAGTGCCCTTGGTATCTAACACACACAATGCCTATTCAAGTCCAGGCGCTGAATAACATGATCAGTCATTAGTATTATTATAGTTGGCCAATAAATATTTGATGACTGAATGATTGGATGAATGAACAAACTATGTGTGGGATTTTCAGCACGTTGTTTCACCATTCCATGATTTTCTCATCTTTAACATGAATATTTTGGATTAGTTCTCTCTGAGGTCATGTCTGGGTTACAATTTTTCTGATGAAACTTTCTTTATTTTAGTGTCTGCTATTAAAGGAGAAGCCAAGAAGGAAAATGGGATGAGCTTCCTACCTTCAACAGGTAAGTGGGCAGGTGCTCCTCCCTCACTCACTCTGTCCTCGGCAAACTCCTTGGCTTCTCCGAGGTTCACGTTCTCTACCTGTAGAAGGGGGATTGTATCTATATTTCAAGTTCTTGCAGTCATAGTTCCTGTTTTTATGAGTTGTTCATTGCATTAGGGTTCATGGAACTCCTGGATTCTCATGATCTTATTAAATCCACAAAGACCATGACATTCAATTAGCAATGGAAGAGTTCATAATGGGAGGTATTGTTATATGCCATCATCACCTTTGTAACAATTTCATCTTTCTTTGCCTTTGACCCCCCTAGTTTGAGGGTCTGGAATGGGCTGGGCAGCAAGGCGATGAATGCATTCCAACGTAAAGAACACAGAGGAGTCGGGAGTGGGGCTGCTGCTCCTAACTTTTTGCTAAACAAGCAGGACAAATTTTTTTGCATGCTTTTGCTTTTGGGACATGAGATGGGAATTTCTCTTTACTTTAAAAATTTCATTTATTTTTAATGAGTACATTGTATGTCGTTCAAAATGCTAATAGTACAAAGTGTATAAAGTTAAAATGCCTCCCCAGCCCACCACTTCCCCGCCCCATAGGATACCAGTTATACAGATTCCTTGTGCCTAAGGAGAGTATGTTCAATAAATATTTTCTTTGTTTGAGCCTCCAATTTTCTCCTCTGTAAGTGCTAAAAGCAAGTCTGCTCTACAGGCAAGCAAAGGAATAAAAGGCAAGACGAACACTAAACACGAATAAGTAGGAGAAAAGCCAATATCTTCTATTTTAAAGTTACTAGAATGGTGTTCTTTTTTTCCAAAAAGAGAATAGTTTTAGATGATCTGTCTGAAAATTTATTTGAAAAATGCTTCTGTGTAGCATCCTTGTCCAGAAATCTCTGTCTCAGGAGTGTTTAATTCACGCTTCAAATATTATTATGGAAATCTCCCCAGGGGTTTGTAATTATGAAAAGGGAGTGGTAGATATAATTGTTGTCAAGAAAGCAGTGGTGTTTAAGAAAAGCTCTCGGTGAGGAAGGTGGGACAGGGACTGTCCTCCAGCTTGACAGGCATAGGGACCTTGTAGGCCCAGCAGACTCAGCATCCTCGTAGCCTGGGGATCCTGAACCTAGACGACCCTTGTCCCTCACCTGCATAGAGGACTCTGCTTCCTGGCCACATGACAAACAAGGGTGCCCAGTGTCCCGCAGGGCACTCACTGTGGCTGCTTTAGCTTGGCCTGCTCAGGTGGAGTGCCGCTCAGAGCCCCCGAGAGGGGAGAGCGAGCTCTCGCATGCGGAGCCCAGGTTGTGTGCAGACTTCAGCCCGGCCTGCTTGATCATAAATGCATGTCTCAGACTCCCTTCTGTTGTAACACAGCCAGCCTCCCTCATAGCCATATTGTAGAGAAGGGGCACAGCCCCGCCTACCTCTAACCCCAAAGCTCCAATATTTAACCCATAAGCCTGGAAATCGGGGAAAGGCCAAATTGACTGGACCTGATTTTCAACATGGTGCTTGGAAAGCAGAAAACAACCTAAGCATTCACTCACAGATGAACTGATAAAGGAAGCGTTGTATTTACTCACCATGGAATATTATTCAGCCCTAAAAAAGATGATCTTGCCATGTACAACAGTGGGGCTGGATCCGGAGGATATTACGCTAGGTGAAATAAGCCAGACACAGAAGGACAAGTGCTGCGTGATATCACTTATATGTGGAATCTAACACAGACTCACAGAAGCAGAAAGAAGAAAGGGGGTTGCCAGGGGCCAGGGGACAGGAAACAGGGCCACTGGCCACGTGCGGGAATTAGGAACACCCCTTCCCTTTCCTGGGCCTCACTTTCCTCACTCTTCAAAGGGACTAATGGAGGAGAGGACTTATCAGGATGTTATACATTGTGTGAGGCTGTGCTTCCACGATACAGTTTTGTTCACGAGAACCTGTATTTCAGTGTCTGGAAATGAAGTTAAGAAGGAAAAAGCTGGAGCTGTCCTCGGTGCAACAGGTAACAGCCAGCCTGAAACCCTGATGGTGATGCCATAACTCAGGAAGACATTTTACAGCCTCTCAGGGCCTTGGTTTTTCCATCTGTAGAATGGGCATAAGGTACTTTCCCCATGGGAATGCAACATGAAAAACAATCATTGCAACTATAATAGTAACAAATGCCATGTGATTAAATGGCATCTCATGCCGAGTCTTTCAGGCCTCGGCATTCCTTCCCATCCCCAGGGGTCTTCTCCATCCCCCCAACCAGGCGGGGTGCCCAGAGAGAGGTGCTCACAGCCTCCCATGCTTCCCTGTTTGACGCTGCTCACATGCAGTTCCTCGGGACTCTCCCACCTCCCTCCCGAGCCATGGACAGGAAGCACCCCGAGGAGAAGACCTGGTCTTTTTTCTTTTTCCTTGACCTCTGTACACCCAACACCTAGCATTCTACTTGGCTCTCAGGGGGCGTTTGTTGATGAATAAAGAATGACCGAATGCCTTTGGCATTTCAAAATTACCTTTTACATTTTATTCTTTGATGCTATAAACTTTGCTGAGCAGGCAAGTGGCCTGATATTTTGGAAGGGCTAGTGCTCTGCAGCTCTAGGAAGGGGGTCCTGATCCTTCTGTTACCCCTCAGTTACCCTTCAGTTGTGCAAATTTAGGCAAGTTTTCTTTTCCTCTCTGAGCTTTGGTTTCCTAAGTTAGTAAAGGGGTGGGGTGGACTAGCCCCCCTGCATTGGCATCACCTTGTCTATTTATGAAGATGTGCATTTCAAGGCTACACACAGCCCAGGGAGACTGGAATCTCAAGCAGGGACTTAGAATCTGCTTTTTCACATGGTTCCCCATAATTCTCACGGTCACTGGCCTGAGGACCATGCAGTAGAGGACTCCGAGGCTCCTCCAGAAACATGGGGCTCCCGGGAGAGGCTCCTATTTCTCCCCTGAAGCCTTTTCTTTTCCCAGTGTCTGGACTTAGGAGAGGCAAGAAAAGGTAGTAGGAAGCGGGGGCTTTCTGGATACCATAGGTGAGTTCCTCCTCCCTCCCCCAGGGCTTCATGGAAACTCCCCCACTTCTCAGGACCCCACTCCACCCCCCACAGCAAGCCAACAGCATCTCTCCAATCTTCACGATGCCTTAGCCACCTGGTTATCTGAACATTAAGTAAAAGCTGTTGTTGCCAAAGCTTGAGGGAAGAGCTGGGAGAAGGCAGATTTTGACCCAGCAGCCTCTCTCCACCTCGCTGCACACTACCAATATCTGGGTGAAGAATGATTGATCTATCGATTGATTTTGGTCCTGATATCTGGGCCACATCCCAGGCCTATTAAATCTGAATCTCTGAGGATGGAACCCAAGCATCAGAATTGTGGTAGGACAAAAAAGTATCTTTCCGGGGAAGCCAGTGCCCAGCAAGTTCTGAGCTCCTCCGTCAAACAAGGTGGTTACTTCCAAATCCGATGTGTTGAGGACGCAGGCCATTTCCTTGAGCTTCTCATTATACACACATCCCACCAGTCTCTATTCTCTCCAGCGCAGGGATAAAGTGTTCCCTCAAATAAGTGTTCCTGTGCTGCGCCCAGACGCCCCCTCTCTACTGTAACTTGTCACAGTGTACGCTGCTGGCTGTCCCCTGCTGAGGACAGGAGCTGCTTTTCATCTTCCCGCTCCTGGTGCCCAACAGGAGGGGCAACGTGGGGGAGTTCAGAAAATGTCCAAAGAGGAGCACATGCGCCTGGACGTTGGGAATGAGGCACCATTTCTCTTCCAGAGCTGCCTGCGTGGTCGGTCGATCTGTCAGCACTTAACCTGACACAGGTGGTGAACGGGATGCTGAGCAGAGTTTTAAAAGGTGAGCTTTCTTCAAAGTGCAGTCCAGGCTCGTTTGGGTCTCGGGCCAGCTTCGCTTGCAGACTCCCTGGGACCTGGGCCGGACACAGCGCCCCTCCGCGTCCTGGCGTCTCTGTGTTCAGAGTGGAGACTGTGCTGTCTGCCTGACTCATGACCAGGGTGATAGCACCCTGATGAAGTAGGTTCGCCAGCATGTTGGGAGGAAGCTGCGTTCCAGTCCACAGGCGCCAGCGCCTCTGATTGTAACTATCTTGAGCGAGAACAGCCGGAGCCTCTGGACAGGTCAGGATATCTAGACACAGGATATCTAGACACAGGACATGTGTTCCTGCATTTTTTAATTTGATTTTATTTGATTTTATTATTTTCAGGTTTTACCTTTGTTATTTTATTATGTTTATTGTACTATTCATTTCGATTATCTGTTTACAAGTTTCTTATTTATTTGTTATTGTGAGCAGTCATGTGTCTGTTTCTTTATTTCGATGTCATTGGCAGATAGCAAGAAATTCTTCTCCCTGCTGAGCATCACTTCCTATAGCTCCTTCGCCTTCCACAAGTTTTCTGTGGCCATTTACAACAGTAAGCACGTCTGGGTGGCAACAACGGTGAGCGGTGGGTTGGCGGGGACGGGCTCTGTGTCAGGACTGCTGTGTGGGCTCTGTCTCTTCCCAGTTTCCCACCTGAAGGCGGTGGACCCGGCCATGTTCCCCACACGGCACTGCTACTGTGTGAACAATCGGACCAATGACCTGTCAGGTGGGAGGGGCGACCGCGAGGCTTGCGGCTTTCCTGATTTCGCTTGTGCTCTTTTAGAGAAGTTTGACTTGCTTTTTTTTCTTCTTAGAGTAAGATAGAAAAATGAAGAGGTACCTATTATGCTTAAATAATTTGTCCCAGGGAGTTCTTTTCTTGGTTTTCCCCCTAGAGAAGTAGTCACGTCTGCACAGAGCAGCAAGAACATGATGTTCATGCAGCATTATTTTAATGGCAAAGGCTGAGAACAAGATAAATATCTGTCCCTAGGAAAATGGTTAAAGAGTTTACAGTATAAACCTCTGAAAACAATCGGAGACAATACGAGTGAATGGGGGTGGCCAGGCTGGGCCTACAAACGGAAAAATTTCCATGCCATTTTTAATTAGAAAAAGAAAGTTACAAAATACAATGCAGAATACAATGGCATCGATGAAAACATACATACATAGGCGGACCTGGATGGGCGATTACCTCTGAGAAGAAGATGGGAGTGTGTGTTTGGAACAGAAAAGTATAGAGTAAGGGGGCCCTGTATTGTCCAATTTTCTTTAATGAACTTTATTCATGTATTACTTTTCTAATTAAAAGTATTACATATTCCTTATATTTAGACAACACTGAAAAATAAAGAGGAAAACTACTCTCTCACCATTAATTCACTCATTCAACAATTCTTTATTGAGCGCATGCTTCTGGGTGTGGGGGTGCCGCACCCCGGCTCTCACAGGTGTACAGAACTTAGGTTCTGTTGGAAGGACAGAAAAAAGTGAATAAAGCGCAAACACAGAGTATGTTGCTAATAGTGTGAGCACGAGAACAGTGAAGCAGGGGACATGGTGAGCAGGGAGGCGGTGGTGGGGAGGGCTGCTGTGGTCAGGGAAGCCTTCCCTCATTAGGGGACAATTCACGGGTGACCTGCAGGAAGTGGGGAGACGGCTCTGTGAAACCTGGGGATGGAATGTTCCAGGCAAAAGCCCAGGTGGCAGAGTGAGAACTGGGGAGGCCAGTGTGCTGCAGCAGGCCCGCCAGGGCAGGGCATCATGGGAAATGAGCGCAGAATTTTGGGGTGGGGCAGGAAGGGGGTTGCAGGTCCCATAGAAGTTTATAGGATAACAGGGTGGGGACACAAATCAGAAAAGCCATTGTTCAACAATAGGGCCCTACACAGCTCTTTGGGGTTGGCAGAGAAGGATTTGGGGAAAGGGGGCAACGGAGGAGCGAGGGGATTTAAAGAGTGGGTCCTAAAGTTTTCTGCCTGCCTGAAGTGAGGACTTTAAAAGTAAATAATTAGTGGTATTTCTCTCTATGATTGTTAATATTCCTCAAATCACTGACCTGAATCAAACTTGTAAAACTACTCTGAGATATCCACACACAATCACCTTTCCCCCTCAAGTCTCTGAAATTGAAACCAAGTCTCAGAAGCTTCAACCTCCTCCACCTGTCTTGCAGATTTCACAGCCCTGCTGGTGGACTTCACTGGAAACTCTACCAGCTACCTCACAGAGATTTTTAAGTCCACCTCCATCCTCTCAGGTGTGTCTATCTTGAAAACACTGGGCAAATATGAGATTTGGCATCTGTCACGGAGCATGATCAGACCCAGTGGACTACCCCGTAGGCCAGGCTGCCAGGAACATTAGTGTAAGTTCTGTTTAGACGGTCAGCGTGCCCAGTTTTAACCACCAGTATCTGAAGTTCCATCTTCCCATCAGAGCTGTTCCTGGCGTTCAAGCCATTGGAGGAAGAACCCAGGGTTCAAAGCTGGGGGAACTGTAGTCAGACTCAAGAAGGCAGCTTCTGTGAGACAGCCACGGTCCCATTTTAAAGATGAGAAGACTGAGGTTCAGAGAGGTTGACGGTTTTGATCAAGGTTGTTCGGAATTCAGATTTAGGCCTATATGGAGCCTAAACCCATGTCTGATGTACAATTGAGAAAGACATTCCTCATTTATGAGGTGCAAGCAATTCTTCATATAACCTGCAGGCAACTCACATTCCCCTGGGGAACCACTTTGCAAAGCACAGCTCTATCCAGTAGCCCAATGCTTGGTCTCGCCAGAAAGATAGTTTGCCAGGCCATCGAGAAACTCCTGTTTTAGAAGAGGAGAGATAGAGAGAAAGAGAAATAATAATAATAATAATAAATATCACTTGGTACCAGAGAGTTTTCTAAGGGCTTACCTACTGTGTGTTCCCTCATTGGACCCTCACTACATACTTGCTGGGTAGCTACTGTATTTATCTCCAATTTATCCCCAATTTACAAGGGAGGAAACTGTGGCACAGAGGCATTAGGTAGCCTGTGCAAGGTCATTCTGAAGAGATAGAACTCTAACCCAGGAGGTCTGGGTCTGAAGTTCGTGCTCTTGGTTGCTATGCTAATTCATATAATAATAGTAGCACCTTAGCAACAACAATAATTATTATGACTCTTCACTGAGCTTTTCTATCTGCCACATATCAAATGTAGTGCTTTACCCACATCTCTTTGGATCATCACAGCCATCCTATAAGGGGCACGTGACCACATGTCCATAGTCCCAAAGGGACAGATATACTTATGGATTCAGAAGTCTTCAGACTCTTGGAGGTCTAGTAGGGTGTCTGCACCATCCGTGACCCCTGGCAGCATCCAGGACAGCAGACTGTCATCAAAGACACCCGAGGTCATTTAGCAGAAGGGCTGACCCCTTGCATTGCGTGGGGTAAATACTACAAATCGCCTCACATCTGTCAGGTCAGCTTTGGCCATCAAATGAGTTTTGGTACCAAAATGACACAAAACCTTCCATCTTACAAGGATTTGGGAATTTGGAAATGGCAAATAAGGGACTGTGGGATTAGCATGTTCACCATTTCAAAGATGGGTAAACTGAGTCCTAGAGAGGTCAAGCAGTTTGCTCTTGTTCATGGAACTAGGAGGTTGCGGAGCGATGCTATAATCAAGGAGGCTGACCCCAAAGTCTGTGTCCTCAGCCATTACTTTATACTGCATCCCCCACCCCCCACAAGCCCCCAGACGGTCAAGGCTGCCTTCCGAGAAAAGAGTGAGCTTCGTTTTCCTACAGCATCCTGAGCTAGGGATTTCTAGCTTAATTTTCTTTCTGACCAAAGACCTCACGGCTCCAGACCCATCGCTAAGTCTTGCTGCGTGCTCTTGTCTTGCAGTGAGCCAGACGGATGAATCCGACTGTATCTTCATCTGTGTGATGACAGGAAAGTCGGGTGAGCCCCCAGCCAGGATTTGACAGGCTCTCTGGGCTGCAAGTTCAACACAGCCACCATCAACCAACCCCGAATTGAGCCTGCGGGTGGGGTTTTTGCAGGAAGGAACCTTTCTGACTTCTGGGAGGTGGTGGAGGAGTCTCCGGTTATCAATTACACATTCACCAGCAGCCTGTCTGGCGTCCTGGGTGAGTCTGAACCTCCCTAACTCCTGCTCTAGAGCCTCCAGACCAGGGTCCCTCCGAGCAAACGGAAGGCTGGATGCTGCTCACAAGTATTTTATTTAGCTATACTATATTAAAATAGGAGGATTCTGCCATTTTAAAAAGTTTGAATATATATATAAATTTAGTTTTTGCAAAGAATCTGGCAACCCTGGGTCCTCCCCCAACCCACGGCAAAAAGCAACTGGTGTTGAGCAGCTGCTGCCCTCCTCCCATTAGGAGGGAAACTTTCTCCTGTTTTCCCATAGTCCTCTCTGCTCCCCATTGTCTTGCACTCTTTTCCTGACAACTCAGCATTCTGTTCACTGTGCTTCTTTACATGGCTTTTTCAGAGGCTGATATTTTGGATTGATTTGTCATTCAAGGAGAAACTCTCTTTTTGGTGACAAATGGTGCTGGTCCGAGTAAGGCTTGAATCTCTGCATTCTAAATATTGGATGTGCGATGGATGAGCTTTCAATGATGCAAATGTTCTTTATGTGTAAAGTGACAAACATTTTAAAGCTGTCATCGCCTGTCTCCTTGAATGTGCAGCTACCAGGGAGACAGCTGTGGCTTCCAAGCTCACGCCCACAAGCCAGCAAACAGTGCCAATGACAAGTCCTCTACACACAGCCCGGAGCACCAGCAGGTCTGCTCTGGGAACCTCTCCCAGCACAGAGACCACGCATCCTTCCGAGGGGGAGCGCACCGTGAACACAGACAGGCTGCCTGAGCTTCTCGCCAAGGCCAAGGCCACGGTCACACTGGGGAGTGTCTCTCCCACCCTCCCAGGTTTGGGTAAGAAGCTTTCTTACCCTTTCCTCTCCTGCCCTGTTTCACCTTTCTGTTCCCTCTCGGCTCATCTAAATAAGTGAAATCCTTCCCTTTTTCCTCTCTTTACTAACCCTTCTTCTTCAGCCTCCCTTAAATAAGACATCAACGTGAACCAGTATGGGTGCCATAGGACAAGCCAAGCCAAATGTCATTGACACATGTTCTTCTACCATGCGTTTTGTATCATTTTTTAAACTTGGAAATAGTTTAAATTTTGAAATAGTTTTACACTTATAAAAAGTTGAAAATATGGTAAACAGAGTTCCCTAGGACCCTTCAGCCAGCATCCCCCAATGAAACTATCTTACACACTTGAAATAGATTGTAATAGGAAAAAGGTATTTTTATTTCCGCAAAGCACTTAGTCACGTCTCTCCTAACGTTCACATGAAATGGTGAAATGCGCTCATCAGTCCATGGCAGGGGAAGGTTAATTTGTAGCTGGCTGGGTAATGACACAAAGAATATGTGCGGGACGGTGCCAGCGTGAAAAGCAGCCACTGACGCTGGGCCAGGAGGTGCTTCCTTCCCCCCCATCTCTGAGGGCACGGTTGGTGGCATTGTCACAAAAGGCATGTTTATCCTATTTGGGAATAAGATACAAATGAGCTAACTCTTTCAGTGGGAGTCAGGACTGTCTCAGTGAGTCCCAGCTATGGACCAGAGTCGTCAGAACTGGTTCATCCATTCATTCACTTATCAGGACATATTTAATACCAGGCTAGCTGTTCACAACACAGCTCTGTCAATGTCGCCTTTCCTTCCTGAGCTCAGAGACCAGGGAAAGAGATGCGGGCAAGTAAATAGACAGGTATGATCCAGCCTGCAAAGAGTTATTGTCCTGGAGAGCCCCAAGTGGGGCTTCCCCATGGAGGTAAGAATTGATAAGCGTGAGGTGGCAGGCCTAGACGAAAACAGAACAGTAACATCTTGGACTTTTCTCGTAGCAATATTTTCTCTGACATATCTCCTTGGGCAAGAGAAACAAAAGGAGAAAATAACCAAATGGGACTACAACAAAATATAGAGTTTTTGCACAGCAAAGGAAACCATCAAAAAATGGAAAGACAACCTGCTGAATGGGAGAACATATTTGTCAATATATCTGATAAGAGGTTAATATTAAAATTTATAAAGGGCTTATAAAACACAACACCAAAAAGGAAAAAAAACCAGACAATCCAATTAAAAAATGGGCAAAGGATCTGAACAGACACTTCTCCAAAGAGGACATACAAATGGCCAATAGATGTATGAAAAGGTGCTCAACATTACTAATCATCAGAGAAATGCAAATTAAAACCACAATGAGATATCACCTCACACCTGTCAGAATGGCTGTCATCAATAAATCAACAAACAACAAGTGCTGGTGAGGATGTACCCAGTGCACTGTTGGTGGGAAGGCAGACTGGTGCAGCCACTGTGAAAAACAGTGTGAATACACCTCAAAAAATTAAAAATGGAACTGCATTATGACCCAGCTATTCCACTTCTGGGAATTTATTGGAAGAAACCTGAAACACTAATTTGAAAGAACATAGCACCTCTATGTTCATAGCAGCGTTATTTACAATTGCCAAGATCTGGAAGCAGCCCATGTGCCCATCAGTAGATGAGTGGATAAAAAGCTGCGGTGCATTTACACAATAGAATTCTACCTACATGGCTATAAAAAAGATATTTTGCGAAGGCATGGATGAACCTGGAGAGTGTTGTGCTGGGTGGGGTGGGCCAGGCAGAGGCAGGCAGGCAGGCGCCACGTGGTTTTGCTTGTATGTGGAACCTCATGAACAGAATAAACTAACAAACAAAATAGAGACAGATTCATAGATACAGAAAACAGACGGACAGCTGCCAGAGTGGGGGAGGAGTGGGGCTGGGTGAAAAGGGTGAAGGGGTTAAGCAAAAAAAGACAAAACAAAACCCCAAACCAACAGAAAAAACCTCCTAGACACAGGCTAGTATGGTGATTCCCGGAGGGAAGCGGGGTGAGGGGAGGCAGGAGAGAGGAAATGGGGGATAAACGGTGATGGAAAGAGACTTGATTTGGGGTGGTGAACACACAGTACAATATATAGATGATGTATGATAGAATTGTACCCCTGAAACCTATATAATCTTATTAACCAATGTAGCCCAAATAAATTCGGTAACAAATTCACACACACACACACACACACACACACACACACACACCCTACTACCTTAGAATCCCCTAAATCTCATGACATGCAGCTACGCAGCCAGACAATAACATGACAGGCAACTACTGGGCCAGACAACTTCACAACAGGCAGCTGCTATAGCCAGGGGCTGCTTCTGAGCTCTGTACTATGGTGAGAAGCAGCTACTGTCGAGAGAGGCAGCTTGCTGGCCAGGTGCTACTGCAAGAGGTAACTGCTTTCAAGAGAGGCAGCTACAGGGGCTGGACTAATTAATAAAGGGGAAAATGCCACATGGTTGTGCATGAAAAAGAAAGAGGCAGCAGGGAAACCAGAATGAGGAAAAATATTCAACTTCATTAACTGAAATATTTCTTAGTACAATAGCTAGCGTCAGGACCACACAAAATTAGGAAGTTTTATAGTGTAACAAAGGTGTGATTGCTAATGGCAAGAGAAGTGATAAAATACCTACCTAGATTCCTAACAGAAGTGCTGTTTTTATGTAAGAGAAACTACAAGACTTTAATGAAAGTATAAAAGCATATTTAAATAAATGAAGGAATGTTCCGTGTTCTGGGAAAGACAGCTGAATATTTTGAAGAGGGCAACTGTTCTCAACTTTTTAGAGGTTTAAAGTCCTCCAAGGGGATTTGTTTTGCAAAACTTGAAAAAATGAATTTTAATTCCTACCATGGGAATGAACAAGGGAGACTCTTGCAGTCCCTTAAAAGACCCATGAAGGAAGGCGGTCTTAGCAACAGCCCCACGATGCTGTGGGGCGGTATTATCACCTCAATTTCAATGAAAAAACCAGCAAGAGTTCAGTCACTTGCCCCCAAGTTTACAGCATGGAGGAAGCAGGAGCAGAATGCACCCCTCCAGGCACCCACCTCAAACCCCATAACCTTTCCCCTGCGCCACATGGTCAGAAATCATGTTGCAAGAGCCCACTGTCCCAAAAACTCACACCCCAGCTGATTGCTTGGGTGCCCCAGGGATTGGGGGATTTTTTAAAAATTGGTAGTTAGGAAAATAATATTTAGTTCGGTTTATTTATTCCAGTTCTTGTTGGCATTTAAGTCCCTAGATTATTGATATTATGCTTGCACTTTGCATTTACCCTGTGATTACATTTCTGTGTTTTATTAATTTTATATCCGAATCAATGTGGTCAAGCATATGAATGCCCTGCTACTGTCACTTGTGCAGCTACCAGGAGGGTGACAGCCAACAGGCAGGCCTGGGCTTCCAGCGCACCTGTGCCCCAGGCTCGGACCACCAAGGAGGAGACACCTGGAGGGCCTCCCTGGGGACTGCTTCCCTCCACAGTGACCTCACCTGCAGAGGCCCAGGGGACCGAGTGGACCAAGCAGACTGGGGCCTCAGGGGGCCTTCCAGAGCCTCCTGCTAGGACGCAGGGCAGCCCGCCCCGGAGCAGCCCAGCCTCAGGTAAGAGAGGAAGTTCTCTCCCGAGTCCCCCACTTCTAAACTAAATTTAGCATCTGTTTTTAAAGCCATTTCTAAATTTTTGAAATATAATACACATGCAGAAAAGTAATAAAGTGTAAGTTAGCAACACAATGAAAAATCACAGCGCAAACGCTCTCTTCTCCTTTCCTTTAAGCCATCCCTTCCTTCCCACCTTCGAATAGAGGGGGGAATGAAAACTCCCTCCTCGCAGGAATCTCTCGCTCCCTCCCTCTTTTATGTGACCTCCTGCCAGTTTTTCTTCCCTTTCCCCTTTTCACAGTCCATTAAACAGGTGACCACAAGAAGCTGACATTGTTCATCCCAGACAATTCAACTGCTTTTTTGGCATAGTATTACTATATATTAATATTATTATATTATTAGATATATATCACATATATGCAGTATAATACAGCATATACATAAAGTACATACGTAAATATACTTAGAGTATTAATATGTAATCATGTAATACAGGAAAGGGTGGGCCTCTTAAAGGTACTTGAAAAATTAGCAAGTGTGATTCCAGCTTGACTTTGTGTATGTATTTACGTGTGTACGCATGCGTGCGTGTGATAAAAATACAGAGCAAATAGGACACAAAACAAAGTAAGACTGAAAAGAAATTCACAGTACATTACCCTTGACTATATCTGGGGAGTAGATAAGATTTTTATTTCTTTTCACTCCAAAGCTGGGAATTTTCCATATTTTCTATCCTATAATTATATTTTTAAAGTTTACCTATTGTAAATACCATTCCCTCTGATGCCTGCAGCCGGAGGCCCCCTGCCACGCTGCTCCCAGCCAATGGGCCGCCACAGTCACCGTTCCCGGGCCCTCAGTGTCCGTGAGCCTGGCCTTCCGCCCCGTGGCCATGCTCTCCTCAGGGGCCTGTGTCCTTCTCCTCCCCTGCCCCTGAACACAAAAGGCTTTCCTTAAGAGTTTGTGGAATTACCTGAATTTCTTAAGAAAAGGAGGGGAAGGAGTGGGTGAATTTTTTTAAAATCATGTTTATTCTATTACAGCTGTCTCCATTTTTCCCCCTGGGCCCTACCCCACCCATCCCACCCCACCCCCCTCTCCCACCGTCAATTCCCACTCTGTGGTCCATGTCCGTGGGTCATTCATACAGGTTCTTGCTTAGTCCCTCCCCCTTCTTTCCACCATTGTCCTCCTTCCTCATCCTCTCTGGCCGCTTTCATTCCGCTCCATGTTTCCATGCCTGTGATTTATTTTGTTCGTTAGTTTATTTTGTTGAATAGATTCCACTTACAGGTGAGATCATATGGTATTGTCTTTCACTGACTGGCTTATTTCACTTAGCATAATATTCTCCAGTTCCATCTATGTTATAGCAAAAAGTAGGAGTTCCTTTCTTCTTCTTCTTTTTTAAATGCAGATTGATTTTATTTATTTATTTTTTAATGTCAAAATCCACTATAAAATATTTAAAAATTTAAATCCATTATAAAGTCTCAGCAATTAAAACAACATGAGACCAGCACAGAAGTAATCAAGTAGATCAATGAAATAAAATGAGCAGTCCAGAAACAAACCTATATATCTGTCTAAAAACATAATATATGATTAAATTGATACTTTGAAGCAATGGGGAAAATAAGGCTTATTCAACAAATAAGGTGCATGGACAACTATTACTTGAAATAAAGCAAATACAGAGCCCTGTTTCACACATTATACAAAAATATTCAGGCGAGTTAAAAATCAGTCTGTAAAATCTAAGGAGTTTTAGGAGAAAATACAAACTAATATTTTTCTTACCCTGAAGTAAAATATTCAAACCCAGAAGCTATAAAGTAAAATGTGGACAATATGACTATATTGAACATTTAAGGCTATACAGTAATAAACATATAAGAAATTTAAAGGACAAGTGATAGAATAGGAAAGTATTTGGAACATATCTAAAAAAGGGTTAATAATTTTTTTTAGGGAAAAAAATTCTACAAATATATAGTTGAGCAATGGATAAAGCATACCAAAAAGTCATTTAAAGCTTTTTAAAAATAATAGAAATAGGCAAGAAATATATACAAACAGGTTTAGTTTCAACAAATTACAAAGTAACAATTAAAATAACATCACTGTCACAATCAGATTAATAAGTATTAAAAGTATTGGTAATATCAAATATTGGTGACTGAAAGGAACTGGATATTCATAGACTCTTTTTCTTCATCTTCTTAAAGCAGTCCCTTTAGCATATCTTGCAATGCCGGTTTGGTGGAGGTGTATTCTTTTAGCCTTCTTTGTCTGGGAAATTCCTTATTTTGCTTTCCATTTGAATTGAGAGCCTTGTTGGGTAGAGCAGTCTTGGTTGCAGGCCTTTGCTTTTCATGACTTGGAATATTTCTTGCCATTCCCTTCTGGGTAGTAGTGTTTCTGCTGAGAAGTCAGCTGCTAGCTGTATCGGGACTCCCTTTCATGTTACCACCTCTTTCTCCCTTGCTGGCTTTAGGATTCTCTGTCTTTGATATTTACCATATTAATTTTGATGTGTCTTGGAGTGGGCCTCATTGGGTTCCTCTTGAATGGGACCCTCTGTGCTTCCTGGACTTGTGCGACTTTTTCTCTCCTCAAATTAGGGAAGTTTTCCATCATTACTTTTTCAAACATGTTCTCTATCCCTTGCTCCTCTTTTTCTCCTTCTGATATCCCCATTTTACAGATATTATTATGTTTCAGGTTGTCTTGCATTTCCCTCAATGCCTCTTCATTCGTTTGGAGTCTTTTTTCATTTTCTTGCTCTCTCTGGGAGCTTTTTTCTACCTCATCCTCCAGCTTGCTGATTCGATCCTCAGCTTCATCTAGCCTGCTTTTGATTCTTTCTAGTGTGTTCTTCAATTCAGAAATTGTATTCTTCATTTCCTCATGTCTCTTAGTGATAGTTCCTATGTCTTTTTTCATGCTGATATAGTTTGCAGAAAGTTCCTCGTCGTTTCCCTGTAGTTTTCTGTAATTCCCTCTGAGCTCACTGAGCTCATTGAGCTTCCTTAGAACCGTTGTTTGGAACTCAGTATCTGATAGTTTACTTGCCTCTATTTCATTTAGTTCTCTTTCTGGGGATTCCTCCTCTCCCTTTTACTGGGGGGTGTTTCATTGTCTTCCCATTATTCGTGAGACTCATCTTTTTCGCTTCTGCTTCTTAAATTGATCTGTCTTGATTTCCTGACTTTGTGGTGTGAACTTCTATGGTAGGAGACTGCTGTTTTTTCTTTCTGGATCTGCCTCTGATGATGTCAGATGTTGACCCTGTCTGACCTTAGGCATTCTGTTTGAGATTTCCAGGAATCTACTGTCTGTGGCTGTCTCCTTCAGCTGTTAATCTAGTCACTCTGCACTCAGCAGTCAGGCTTAGGCACTGCAGGGTGGGGCTGAGTGCCACCTGAGGGTGTGGTTATTGTGTCATCTCACACTGTTGCCACTTGGAGGCATCGTCTGCCTGAACAAGATGCCTGCTGCCTCATTGGGGATGAGTCAGCACCGGGATCCCATCAGCTACTCTCTCCATTCTCTCCCCAAAGCCTCCATCTCCAGTCTCTTCTCAGGTGTCTCCAGACCACTCTGTGCTACTTTTAGCCAGGGATCTACTATCTGCGTCTGCCACCCTGTACTCAGCTGTCAGGCTTTAGCACCACAGGGAGGGGCAGAGTCCCTCCTGGGGTGGAGTTATTACGTCATCTCACACTGTTGCCACTCAGAGGCGTGGTCTGCCTGAGCAAGATGGCTGCTGCCGTATGGGGGATGAATCAGCACTGGGGTCCCACTGGCTACTCTCTCTGTTCTCTCCCCAGAGCCTCCTTCCCCAGTCTCTCCTCAGGCATCTCTAGCCCACTCTGTCCCCGCCTTTGCTGGAGACCAGGGTAAGTGGCTGCAAATAAAAATTATGTGCTGGTTCTTTACACAGCTCTTTGCGTCACCAGCTGCCTGTCTCTGGTAGAGAGAAATCCTGTCGCTTTTTGCAGCTCGCTGTTATCTCTGTACTTTTTGGACTCTGGTGCTGCAGGTTGGAGATCTCTCTTTATGGTTTATACCCCGCTCTTCTCAGGGGGATCCAATTGGCCGTTTCAATATCCTTCTGGTGCTGCTGCCTGTGGGTGCCCCACCCGCCTTCTCGAGTCTCTACCACATTCCTTACCAGTTAGGTTATGGTAAAGCTGATTTTTCTGTCTGTCCAAGGTTATAAGGCTCCTCTCTCACTATTGTTCAGTGGTTTGTTCCAGGTGATTTCTCCACAATTTAGCTGTAATTCCAGATTGGTTCTGGGAGGAGGTCAGTGTGACTTCCATTCCTTCCTCCTCCATCTTGATTTTGTGGATGAATATTAATGGCCATAAAAATAAGCCTTGAATTTTCTCTCATAATGTGGATTACAAAAACAGACCTGGAAAAACAACTTTGATAGCCTTCATTGGTGAATTATGTAACTGCACAGGGAAAAAGAAAGGCTGACACACTTGGGCCTGTCCTGGACAACAGCAGCCAGCATGGCCCTGAGCCCTGACCTTTATTTCCGATGCAGCCGCACTGAGAGCCTCACTTGGCCGGGGCTCTGTGCCCTGATGAAGTGTCCTTAATCTTTCTGAGTCCTGGTTTTGTCACCTTTGAACCAAAGGAGAGGACACCCACTTTCGAGGGTGACTGTGAAGACTAAATTAGGTGATGTCTGTGAGGTGTTCATCTTAGCACACAGCATTGTGGCACCTCTCAGTCAAGGGCAACTACCGCCTGTCCTTCTACACCCACAGTAGCGGCGTGGTGGTCGGCCTCGGGAGACACACTTCAGCGAGAGTAGGGACAAACAGGACACCTGCCAGAAGAGAGCATGAGACTGTTTCTGCTGTAGGTCCCTTTTAGCTCAAATGCTCTGCAATTCTATAGTCACTTTGCCAAACTGTAAATAACAATCACAGACAGGTAAACTCGGTGTTCAGGGCACTGTTAAGGCTGCTCAGTTTCTAGAAACACACCCAGGCACCAAGCACCTTCTGTGTTCAGTGGCGTACAGTCCAGCACCTGAAAAGGAATCACAGGAAGACGCTGACCCAGAGGAGGCCCATAGTCGTCTGTCAGTAGACGTTTTCTGCTGCCCATCATTACATCGCATTATTAAATCTCAGTTCCAACCCAAGGTCCACGGAGAGCAGAGGCTATTTAAAGTTAACTCTGCCTCACCCTCAGTCCCAGCAGAGTAGCATAAGTAATAAACAGTGTCACTTAACCCCCCTCTGGGAGACTCCACCTCACCCCTCCATGTCACCCTTTAGATTCCATCCACGGCAAGCCACGCCCCACTCATTTCTCTGGGCCTTTGCCCATGCTCCCCGTCTTCTGCCTAGAAGGCCTGTGTTCCTCACTAATCCACGTGTCTCTTCTGTCTCAGAGATGACGTCACCTGCCGACAGGCCCCGCCCCAGCCCCAGCTGAACTGGGTGCCCACCATCCTGGCTCACATTGTATGCCAGCCTCACCCCTTTCCTACCACGTAGCCCACTCGTGAAATTGCCTATTTTGGCTTCCTCTCCCTTATTCCCTATAAGGAGGCTGCTTTGCTGGTTTTGCCAAAGGCCAGAATCTTGACAGCAAGGGTCATGCCCTGTGGCTCTTAAACCAGGACTTTGTGATCAAGAGGATTGAGATGAGCCCTTGCTCTGCCATGAAGAGGACAGGCCTCCTATAGGATGGGGATGGAGTGTGTGTGTCCACAAGACTCAGGTGAATGAAAAGCGTGCTGCCTTCTCTTTGCCCAGGAGCCCCCGCACGTGGCCCTGCCTGTGTAGCACTGAGACACCCCCCTGCAGTGTGTGGTATTAGTGGGTTTCCTGAGGCGCCGGCACGCTGTACCGCAGTTACTGCTGGGACTTGCCTCTGCTGTGGGTCCTATTTCTTTCCCATTTCTGCATCCTCAGTGTCCTGCCTGGTCCTGGCTTGATAACCGACCTGGGATGCACAGGGCAGGACTGGTGGCCCAGGGCCTCTGCTCCCAGTCGGGCATCCTGAGAAGTGCGGGCTCAGCTTTCTCTCCTCTCCTCCCAGGGACATTCACCCCTGGCACACAGACGTCAAGTCCGACCAAGGCCCCAGCCCCCAGGTACCCACAGACAGGTAAGAACATGTGCTGGAAAGAGCAACCCAACGCCACAGGCAGGAAACACAGCCCAGGGGCGGGGGTGCAGTGGGACAGGGTGCCAGTAGGCGACCAAGCTGGTGACTGTGCTTCATTGGTTCTAGCAGAAGATCAGGCAGGAGAACTAAGCCTTGCTGTGCTGTTATGTTGCTCTCTGGTCTTGGGAAAATCCCTTCCTCTTTCTTGGCCTCAATTTTTCTGTAGGTTTCAAGAACTCTTTACCTTTAAAGTGCTTTGATTCTCTGCTTTTGTGTATAACCTAAGGCCATTTCATTTGGATTTTTTGAGGCCGTTTTTGCTCATTGCAGGTGATCTCTCTTGGCCATTTATCCCTGGAGAAGAGCCAGCCCTGCTCCCTGGACCCCACCAAGTTCAAGTTTCAAGTACGTACTAGCGCCCTGTCACTCCTGTTGCTTTTGTTCACTTTGGATGAGGGTGCACAGTATAATAAAAGGTTTGTTTGATCATTCCAGAGTCAGACTGCTGGGTCAAATCCCAGGCCTATTGTTTACTGGGGAGGAGGCCCCCAGCACTCAGCTTCCAGAATTCAGAGCCCTTGGCTGTAGAGCGAGAACACCAATCATATGGGCACTGGAAGTGTCCTCTTTTCCCAAAGGGTTTTGTCTGAGGCAAGATAATGTGAGTGGAAGTGATTTGGAACCATAGAGCTCCATGTAATTTAATTCAGTCAACTTGTATTGAGTGAACACCTATTGAGAACGTGCTGTGCGCTTCACAGATAGAAGCTGTTTTTCTCCTGAGCATGGTGTTAGCAGAAGGAGAAGGAGGAGCACTGAATGACTCTGAAACCCAACGCCCATTTCCTGGGTGCAGTTTATTTTTTTTCTTTTTTCTTTTCTGTTTTAAGGACACCCTGCCTTCCCCACCCGTGCACACTTAATTCTTCTGAAATTCTAGGGGAAACCCTTTCCTGGGCTTGGATCCGGGTCATCAGAGGCTCAGGGGGTCCCATTTCTGTGGTTTGTGTATGGCATTTTCCCAGCTTTCGGACGGCTCACTCTCCTCCTTTGTCTCCAAAAGGCAGAAACGGATACGTAGTGAGGCCTTCACAGCTGGTTGGACCCTCAGGCCCCTCCCAGCCCTGGATGCCTTTCTATCCCGGTTTCCCTGAATGTCCCCAGACCATGCAGTTGTGTGTCAGCAGGGCATTATTAAATCGCTGGAGCCTGCACACAGCCTCCGTTCTCTTATCACCCCAGATCCGCTTCAGCCTGCTTTCAGCTGTGGCGAGAGGCTTTGCAGGCACAAAGACATGATTATGCTACCGCAGGAAATTGTAGCCCTTTCTTCCCCTAGGGATTCGAAAGAGACCCACTCACGGTGCAGATGGTGGCGGCTGTCAGGCTGACTTTGAGAAAACAAGTTTTCTGTTTCTGTATCTTTGTTGTTATGTGTTACTGAGTTGGCTCGGACTCCTGGCGACCCTGTGAATGAGTGACATCCACTTTCCTGCCCTCACAGCCTGCTCTGCCCCTGCAGACGCCCGCCAGTGGCTTCTGTCATGGAGTCAGGCCGGCTCCTATTTGGTCCTCTTCCTGCTGCCTTTGATTTTTCCCAGCATCCTTGTCTTTTCCAAAGAACCCTGCCTTCTATATCTACCTGTATCTATACAAGTATATCTTTATTTGAATCTGTATCTATATATCTATATTTACTTACATAGCTCCATCCATCCATCCACCCATCCATCTCATGGGAAATATAAGTATAAAATAATGGGGTTCTGGCATCTTCCAGTAAATGGTTCTTCCCATTTACAAACACAGTATGCCACAAAAGTTTTGACATTCATTTATTCTCCCACTCCACAAATATTTACTGAGTTCCTACTATGTGCCAGGCACTGGGTTATTCCTATTTTTACTTTTTCTGTGCAGTGACTCTGCCGGAAAGATAATGTTACCTTCATCAAGCTATTTCAGTGAGTCCTGCATATTAAAGAGTGACCCCGTGTGGAGCCCACATCTCTCTAATTCCAAAGCCTGTCCAATGTTTGAGGTCTGTGTTTAATATTTACTTTTCAGGGAAGCCTTCTCTGATTCCTTCCAGGAACCAGATCCCCACTTTGCCTCTCGCCTGTCTCTCAGACCTGACACAGCAGCTTTACTGGGCAACGGTGAAGCAACGCCACGTTCACCTGTCTGTCTCAGAGCCCCCTTAATCAGGGGCAGGACTCTACTCACCTACCACAGTATCAATCAAGGGGAAGATGGCTGTTAAATTTTTGTTGGTTTGAATGGTCTAGGATTGTGTCTTGTAGGGTGTCCTCGGCAGCTCCTCAGAGAGGGGGCCATCACAGCTGCCCCTGTCAACCCGGCCATCCAGAAGCTCCACCCGTGCCTGATGGAGCTGTGTCGATTTTTCCAGCAGTGCCTCTGCGTGAGCCAGAGGAGGGACCCCAGGGTGCAGGCCGTGAGGTAAGCTGGGCCCCATGTTGCTCTCCCAGTATTTACATGCATCCTGTTCCACACGGCTTCTCTGCAGGCCACAGGAGGCCAGGCCTTAACTAATCCACAGGCAGGTGGCAGGGGTACCTCAGGGAATGGACTCTCCGCTGAGTTCTTCACTAAACCATCACCTTCTGGAGAGCCAAGATGGAACTTCATTCACTTTGGGGTCCCCAGAACCAAGTGCAGAGCCTGACACAGTAAGTGTAGTAGAGTCAAGTGGAGTTACTGTGTCCTATCTGGTGGAACGGTAACCGAGGACTTCCCTTCAACCCAAATTCCCTGAGACTGGTGAAATTGGCTAGAAGATAATAATCAGAGGACGTGGCCGTCTAAATGACAGTTCTTTCATAAGCCTGTAGCAGTCATTTGCAGGCCAAATGAGAAGGCTGGTAAGAAGAAAATTAGAAGGCAGACCTCATGTTCTATTAAGAAGGTCTGGGCATGGACACTTGCCTGCCCTGGAATGCTGATATGCACTTCTGTCTTCTGGAATTATTCTTGGCTGTAAACCCAGAAGCAAACAACATGGATAAGAGTTCCGCCCCATGGTGGGAGGCCAGCCTCTCAGATCTTCAATGTTATTTTCAAAGTCTACTTGTTCTACCCTTCAGCTTTTCCTGTCTCCGTTCTCCACTGGCTCTGAGCCTCAAGTTCAGGTTTGCAGCCTTTTTCCATCACCCCTTTCTGGCCCTGGTCTTGGATCCCTAAATGACTGTGGCTGTTTCCTGTAAGCAAAGAGGGAAATAAACAAGATCCATAGAACCTAGGCTGTTAGCAAGCATGGTGGACGCATTCTGTTTATGTAGAAGGGTAGCAGCATTCTTGCCTACATTGCCAGGTTATTGTGAGTTGACATGAAATGACACAGTGCCTGGGAGGCTGTACTCAGTGGTTGCTGACTGATGAAGATACACTTGTGGTTGTCAGTGTCTTGCTCCCTTATCCACTCTCATGGCCAAGTTTGAACCCTGCCTCTAGCATCTTTGACGTGTTGCGGTCAAATCCCCAGGGGCCATGCCAGCTGTTGACCAAGAAGATATGTCAAGGTTTTGAGATGTCTCCTTGAGAGTATGAGGTCACACACTTACCACAAAAATAGCCCCAGGCCTGGTTATCATTCCACTCGACTCTCGGATCCACTCTGCATTTTTGCTAGTCTGCTCCGCAAGGTGGCAGAGGGATGGGGATGCTGACCGGTACATTTCACATTTCCCAGGATGCCTTGGCAGCCCACCTCCTGTACGTTCATTCAGTTGGAAGATGCTGGCAGGAGATAGGAGGACAGCAGAAGGGAGAAGCCAAGGTTTTTCTCCCCCTTTACTTTTACTTTAAACAATATTTCCCTTTTGGTTTTTTTGTAACCTCCTTAGAGTTCTTCTAACCCCGGTATAATTCCCAGTATTAAATTCCCTCCCCAGAACCACGTGGGTTCTGTATTTCTCAGCTGGGTCCTGACTCACATCACTCTTATCGTCTAGTTACAGAGCAGGAGTGCCCTCCGGCGTGGAGTGGCTCCCCTCGGTCAAAGTCCAGCTCTCCTCCTCGAAAACCGCGTGTCCTTGGGCAAATCCACTCATCTCTGGGCCTCAGTTTCCTCAGTTCTAAACTGATAGGGCTGGGAAATTGTGACAGCTAACTTCCTCGAGTAGCTAGCTGCTCCCCAGAGTATGCTAGCATCACAGAGTAACGCAGGTGAAAGGACAATTAGAGAACGTTGGGCCCACCCTCCTCATATATCAGGTGAAGGATTGAAAGGGAAGTGGATTCCAAGTCCACAGTGAGCGAGCTACATGGTCTACCCTGCAAACCCTTCCTCCTGATTACGTGATTGGTGCTGTCTTGCCTGCAGCCCTTTGAAGCAGTCGTGCAGGCACCAGCCAAAAGCAGGATATTATTTTGCAGAGTATTTTGCTGCATTTTTAACTGTAATGTCCTGTATTTTCACTTCATCTCCTACATGCAAAAATAAATGGACATCATCACTTACTGAGCACCTATCACAAGCCTGGCGCTATTCAGGAACTTTGCAAATGTGACCTTGTTTAATCCTCCCAAGCGTATGTTCTATCAATTGCCTTTCATTTATAGATGAGAAAGCTAAGGCCTAGAGAATTAAGTAATCAGCCTAAAGTCACACATCCTAGTAAGTAGTGATACTAGGACTAAAAACAAGCATTTCTGTCTCCAAAGCGTACGCTTCCTCCTACTCATTCTGTGCCTCTTCTCTCACCCTCCATAAAGGTGGAGAAAGGGGATTCCTTGCTGTGGAGAATTGTTCATTATGACTTTTTAAAATTCTGCTTGTCTCCCAACAGCCACAGAAGATAGTGGTGGCTCTCAACTCTGATTTAACTTTTTAGGTACTGTCTTGAATACTATTCCTGGTTTCTGAGGAATGCAACATACATCTGTCGGAAGGCGAAAAGGGTGTCCCACTCACACAGTGAGTATACAGCTTGGCTATGTTGTAACTTGGCAATAAATGCATCAGTGACGAGGTTCTAGAACTCTGAGTCATTTTCCTGCCTGAGCGGGGGCCCAGTAACTCACCGAGTTGTCACTAATCTAGACAAAAAGAGTCTAGGGTATTACTGATTCCTCTTTACCTAACAGTTTGATGTTTACCGTAAGGTATTTAAAAAAAAAGAAAAAAAAAGCAGGAGTCAGCCAGAACAAACGCTGTTTTTTCCCGTGTGTGACTTTATTCTTCCTGAGTCCCATGTAAGCTAAAAATACAAACAAACAACGAGGAATCAAGCGGAAGAGAACCCCCACGGAGACATTCAAATTCCTGACCAAACCTAGTGTGTACAAATAATTCAAGCAACAGAGGCTGCGTGAGTTGCGGGAAGGGGGTGTGTGGTCCCTCTCCACTTGTCCTCATGGCATCAAAGCCCACGTGCTCTCAGAGATGCGTAGCATCAGCTTGTTTTTCTCCCACTCCTGCAGACAAAGTGGTCGATTTGGCCCTAAAACCAATGTATGGCCACTTCATTGTGCCATTTACCCAGACTCTCTGGTCAAGGGACTCTGCTTTTCTAAAAATCATGAAACTGTATTCAGCTCTGAAAAATGCCTCCTCAATGTAACTCACATATAAGCCAGGTGCTCACATGGCCCAGTCTTGGCAATGTTTTACATAAACAGAAATTCAGCAACCCATTTTTTCCTTGGGGCTTTTAAGGAACAATAAATGAATACCATGACAGCACTTCTTAGAAACTCTTCTTATTCTTTTGTCCCCATGATTTCTTATTTCCTCCAGCTACCACCTCAAAGCCTTTATCTAAGCTTTGTTTCCCAGCTTACCACTCAATAACTCTCCAAAACCAAGCTTCCTGGCCCTTCTCTCGGTTTCCAGATGCATCTGCTGTTCATTTTCATTTCCTTTTGCCTCATACTTTCTTCCCTCTCAAACACATTCCCTTATTTCATTTAAAATATTTTTTAATTTATTGATTTGAGAGAGGGAGAGAGACATTGACTTGTTCTAATAGTTTATGCATTCGTTGGTTGATTCTTGCATGTGCCCTGACCAGGGATTGAACCCACAACCTTGGCATATGGGGACGACACCCTAACCAACTGAATCTCTCCTCTTACTTCTCCTGCCTTCTCTACCTATCATCGCCTTTTTTATTTTTATTTTTTGCAGCACAAAAGCCAAAAGTGGGGAGTGGGGCATAGGGGGTTCAGTAGTCAAACAGAGAAATCCTTTTACTTGGTGTAGGTAGAATCAAGAAATCTTGCCGATTATTTATAATTCAGTAGCTCTTCTTTTGTTCTTGTCACAGTAAAATCACCACAGAAACAACATATCACATTTATAGTGACACAGCAATGAGTTTAGTTCTATGCAACCTGGGGAGATGAGGTAGGTACACCTGGGTATTAGAAAATATCACGGAGCAGAGATTGGAAAAATGAAGGCTGCTTTTGACTCGACTCTGCTGCTACCCAGCAAGGGGATCCTGCGCCAGCTCTTTCTAACCGTGCAAGTGGAAGGAACAGAGTCTGGGTGGCTCCCTGTCCAGACCACTGCACACACGTGCGCTCTGGAATTGCCTGGTGCTGTCAGAATTTATGTCTTTGTGGCATTTCCTCCTCAGTATTTGAGTTTCCTCTTCCTGTTTTTTTCAGCCTTAAAACAAAAATGCCTGGAGAATATCTGCAAGTCTGTGTGAGTTCTGGAAAAAACAATGGGACCTAACAATAAGTTGGACAACATCTCTTCACCCTGGCCGCCGCCCTAGGTGGCTGCATTTGCAGAATCCAGCAGGCTTCAGCTAGATATCAGTTAATTGAAAGCAGTCATTTTGGAAGTAGCATCTCTTTCTCTCCTGTGAACCTGCGGAGGATAGTGAAGGCAGAAAGCTGCATGTTAGAAGGCTCACAGGAAGGAGTCGTGCCAACTCTCCTGCCTGCCCAAGGTCATAGAAACATAACATCTGTACTCAAGAAACTCCCATGATGCTTGCAGCAATTCTGAGACAGGAGACACGGCAGAAGGGGACACACTGGCATGAACAAACCAGTCTGGGCACTGAACTGACACAGTAACTGAAGTAAGTTCAACCTGGGACCTGAAAAATAACAATAGGCTAAATGAGGAAAACCAAACCTGTGATCTGGAGAGATTCACATGGGATTTCTCTACTCAGCTCATTCACACTTGGTTATGTACAACACTTGTAGTACCATAGCACCCAGATGATCTTCCAAGCCCCTAGAGTTGGCAGTGGTGGAAACCTCCCATCAGGAGGAGGTAGAGAGAGCCATTTTTGTTGGTGTCTCACCCTGATTCCTCATCTTTGTTTGGGGGTCCCCATAAGCACCCTCAGCTTCCATGATGGACTAACAGGGCTCACAGACCTCAGAACAGTTGCTGTATTCACATTTACCATTTATGGCAGCAAAAGGACACAAGTTAAGATCGACAAAGGTAACAGGTGCAGAGGACAGGTTCTCCTGGAGCCCGGGCATCAGCTTCCAGGTGTCCTATCCAAGCAGCGTTTCACTCATAGGACATATTCTCCCTGCAGTGATGTGTGACCATGTGTATGGAGTAGCCTCAACCAGAAAACTCCTCTGAACCACAGTATCCTGGGCTTTTACAGGGGGTCAGCCATCTAGGCCAGAAGGGCCCACGGGGCTGACCTGGTTACTCAACCTTCAGCTGCTCCGGAGGCCAGGCTGACACTGTGTGGCCCAAGGTCCCCACTACAAATAGCATTGTCAGCTTAGCTTATGTGACACGGCCCAAAGGTCCTGTGTGTCTGTATGCGCACGTGGCAACATCCCCCTATTTCTGAACAGGGGCACTTGTGTTGCGCGCTTGTGGAAGTGAGAACTCAGGGGCTATCGGGACACCATGTAGAGGTTTAAGCTCCCAAGCAGCCACCTCTTTTCTTTTATGTCTGAGTTCTTGTAAAACCCTCACTCTCACCCTTTCCACCAACAGAGGAGAGAAAGGCCAAAGCTCCAGGGATGGTTTAGGCCAGTGGTTCTCAGTCGGGGGCTATTTGAACTCCAAATGACAGTTGGAAATTTCAAGAGACATTTTTGTTTGTCACCACCTGGGGAGGGAGACTGCTGCCAGTATCCGCCACTAAACGTCCAACAATGCACAGGGCGCCCCCACAACAAATGATCAATTGGCCCAAACTGTCCACAGTGGGAAGGTCATAGACTAGGGGGAGAAAATGAACCTCCACAAATGCCGTGAAACGTCCGGAACAACATAACTATGCAGGGTGTTATTATGCCTCAGCATTGAGCAGGAGCCATGCTCTGAAGATGCTGCACGGATGAATTTTGCTCATGGGGCTGTATATCCCCACTGGAGATGGTCTGTGCTAGTGAGGAAGAGCTAGAGCAGCGCAGCTTTGTTTCTCCGTGCACCGAAAATGCTGGACAACAATTTACGATCTATAAACAAAAGCTTCCATGCACAAGAACAAGTAATTATTCAAAGAAACACTTCAATAGACTCTGTAAAGGCTCAACTCTCCCCAGATTTCATCGTTGGATGAGCCCTGGTTGTCCAGGACTGAACAATGTACAGGGTTCGCAGCCAGGCTAAGCTCTAAGCCAAGAATGATCCCATCGCATGTGCACTGGGACAGACACCTCAACCTCGATGACACCGTTTGTCCTCTCTGCAAAATGGAGCTGATGTTCCATCCTACTGCTGTAGGGATGGTAAAGACAAAATCCTGTGAAAATATTCATGGTATGTGATAGGTACTCAGTATGTGTTCGTTCTCCTTGTGAACATCTGGAAAGGACACAATTCTCACGGGGTCATGAAGGCGGACACTCACTATCCCACAGGTAATGAGCAACCAGACCTGGCACCAGAACCAAGACTCATTATAAAGCCCCATCTCGCCCCGCCCTCTCCTGCCAGCGCTGGGGCAGAAAATCCCTGAAGGAGCAAGGCCTCAAATTCCCAGGCTTGAGGCCAGGAGCAGGGAAGAGTCATCCCAGAGATCCCGCTGAAGAATTAACTAGGCCAGACAAAGCCAGCACTCTTTCCCCGCGGGAGGGCCTGTGTGGCTTTCATCTGTCTTTCATCCCCCAGTGAGCCCCTGATGACCCTGAGACATAATCCCTGGGCCTCCAAGCCTTTGAGGTGCAGTGGGGGTGCAGAACAGGGGAGCCCTTGTTCTCTAATTAGAGCCTGGGTCTCCCTGAGGCTCAAAATGGGGCCCGGTGCAATGGGCCGGCACCTGCTCAGAGCCACAGCTTCATGAAGCCTCCTCCCCCGCAGAGGCAGCCCACCTGCTGGTGTTCATGAAAGGCTGTCCTGTCCATGAGAGAGGGGGTGGGGCCACATGACCAAGGGTCTTTCCTCGGGGTATAAAGGACTCGGCATCCATCTTGTTTAAAGCCGAGGATCATACATCCAGCTGCTTTCCAGCAGGACCTGCACGGTAGGCACCCCCTTCTCCTGACGGGGTGGGGAGCGAAATAGCGTGGGAGGGATGGAGGGAGGGGGCAAGGATTGAGGAATGAAGGGAAGGACAGGGAGGGAGAATAAGGGTAGAAATGGGTGAAAGGAGAGACGGAGTCAGGAGAGAGGGAAGGACAGGGAGAGGAAGGGAAGGATGGAGGAATGGATGGAGAAAGGAGAGAGGGGTGCTCTCAAGGGGTGTCTGAGACCTGGCTGCTACTCTAGGACGTAGCTAGAAACCCAAAGCAGTCTGCGCCCTTGTGCGAGGAGAGGCCATGCTGGAGAAACAACGCCTGGTTCATTTATCTGGGGAAATCGCCACCAGTGAGGGTCCTACAGACCTGCAGGGGCCAGTGGCTCTCCCCAGGGCACATGTGAGGAAACAGAATGACCACTAGTAATGGTCGGCCTTACTGAGCATGGCGCCCCGCCATGTACAAGGATTACCCATTTGACCCTCGTGATGCCCTGATGGAGGACCACCACATGGGCATTTTACTACCCATAAAGCAAGTTCCGGGCAGCCTCAGTGCCTGGCTCTGGGCCTCGAGGGTAAGGCAGAGCCTGACCACCCCCCAACCCTGGGTCTGCCCAGCTAGAAAGGCCTTGCTTTCAGACGATGACTGCGCTGCATGGAACTGGTTATCAGGCAGACCTTGGTGAACCAGGACTCAAGTGTATGCAGACCACTGTGAGGCCTGAGGACCCCTCAGGCCCACAAACAGCATGCCCCATTCCCCGCCCACCCCCCGCCGCCAGGGTCACTGAGCCCAGCAGGTTCCTTGGGCAAATGAGGAAAAGGGGGTCCTTCCTCCAGGTGGACACAGCTCTGCACCCAAGGGCCCTGACCTGGCCACCAGAAGGTGCTGGATTTCACAGCTGCCCTGGCCGTCTCTCCCCTGGACCCTGACTTGCATGTCCCCGATCCAGGTCTCCCTCACCACTGCTCAGGGCTGCACCCGCATTTCCCTTCTCTTAGCTCTTAGCTGGGGATTGTCAACGCAGGGTCACAGTATGTCCCAGCAAGTGGCCGGCCACTCTGAGGGGCCTCCCAAGCAGGTAGCACCCAACATGGTGCTAGTTCTTCAGCCAATGTTATTAGGCTGCTGATTCTGGATTTGCTGGACAGGATGGCCGTGCAGGGTGACACCCACGGACCGGTGACCTCAGTTCACATCCTGCGTCTGGGGCACCGCGGTGCCCCTGCTGCGGTGCCTCGTGGCCAGTTACCGCTCCTCTCTGAGTCTCCCTTCCCCACAGACAGCGAGGCGTGTGATAGTGGAAGTTCTAGAGCTTCTTTACAAGCTGGCGCATGGAGAAAGCTGGGTACAGCACCCGACACAAAGAATAGCCCGATAAGTGGAAGGGGGTGTTTAAAGAAACAAGGTCTGAACTTACTTCGTTTCTAATTGTGGGAGAATATACATCACATACGATTGCCCGCTTTAGCCACTTTTAAGTGTACAGCTCAGCGGCGTCGCGCCCATTCACAATGTTGTGCAACTGGCACGACCATCCGTCTCCGGAACTTCTACATCTCCTGAAACTGACCCTTCGTCACCATGAAATGCAAATTCCCCACTCTTCTTTCTGAGACTCCGGCCTTTTTTTTATATAAAAACATAATAGAGCCGAGTCAAGGTTATGTCTGTAATAAGGTCACTTTTCCTCATTTGCATTCCAAATAATATATACCTGAAAATCCAATAAACAAATTTGCAATTCCAATAAACACCACCCCCAAGCCTGTCTTCGTTGAGCATCAGGACAAACCAGGGGATGTCCCCTGAAATGAGTGTCACATGAATAAGAAAAAAAAACATGCGCAGCGCTGAACTGACCACTCTCCTATGTCACCAAAAAGGGGCTTCAGCTCGAACAGGGAACTGGGGCTTTTCTTGCAGTAGGTACTATTTCCTGTGCCTTTACTGAGTGCCAGACACAGCAGTTGTAATGACTATGTTTTTTGAGCCATTTCTGTTCATCATGCTCTGCGGTAAATGTCCGGCTTGGATTAACCCCTTCCATTCTCACAATGACCTAATAGGCAGGTACCGTTGTTATAATGAGCCCTGGATCTGAGAAGGGGGACATTTACACCCTAAATCGCCAGTCTCTCAGACCCACGATCTCATCCGTGAGATGAGACTTTGGGATCAATGATTCCAATGCTTCTTCTGAGCTCAGACAGGCTGGTTGCTCTCATTGTGTGGTGGTGACAGTAAAAACCCTGTCTCAGTAAGGGCCGGGTAGGGACATCGGCCCAGGCAGGTGGGTGTGACTTTGGTGGGGTCCTCTGAAATGCCACCAGCCCTCACCCACGCACGGGCTCTCCAGCGCATGTCACTTTCCACCTGGAGACACCCCAGTCCTCGTCCTTCATTTTCAGTTGGGGTTCACGGCCGTGACACGGACTCTTTCGGACCTATACCCCCGCAGAACAAAGAGCCTGTCTGACCTCCAAAGTGACCCTGCTCTAAGGCTTTGTGTGGCCCAAAAAGGTTGTAGGCAGAGCACGAAGCCTGAGAAAAATCAGATCATAACCAGAATATTAGAGGATGCCCGGGCCGAGGGGGACTCCTGAGGAACTCCCACCCCACCCTTTCGCATCCACTCAACAAACATTTATTTCACAGCCGCCCGAGGCTGTGCTAGGTCCTGGGGGAGGTTCGTAGAGTAGCGACCCACAGCCTGCAAATGTCTTCTCCTCTGAAACGCCTTCCTCAGAGCCAAGCCCCGCCTACAGGTGGCATGCTCACTGCAACGCCGGGTACCCGTGCATGACCGCCAGGGCATGGGCGGCCCTTGCCACAGGGAGGGCAAATTGCAGGCTGCTGCAGCCCCGCAAAGGGCAGGCTTGCGAGTGGAGCGCTGGCTGCGTTTCAGCCGCCGCTCCCTCACTCAGTGCAACATTTCTCTCGTTGTACAACACGTACAACCTCGCACCACGCCCCGGAGCGGGCCGCTGGGGCAACGTGGCCCCCCACAGCGTTATCACACACACTGTGTCCTAAAATCACGCTCGAAAGCAGAATAGTCACCGTCAACCATCCATCTAACATTTTTTAAGGAGTGACATTCCCAGGAAGCTAACATCGTTCCAAAATCCCTCTGGCCCTGAAGTTGCCTCCTTCCCTGTGGAACACGCACTGAGCGCAGGAAGTGCCACTGCAGTTAACGCTGCTGATCTGAGCACACGGCAGCTGCGATGGAAATGGGGTGGGTTCCTGGGCCCGCCCACCCTGTCCCTCCCCCTCCACCACCGCCTCTGAGACACATCTCTCTAACCCCTGGGAGAGCAACAAAGTGCTCCAATTGCTGGAAAGCCAAGGAAAGGAGGCAAAATGGAGCATCATTTGCTAGCAGGCAGCGTCGCCACGCCTTGGCCAAATTTACTCCCCTCAAGTGATGTTGGTACGAAGGTTCAAAGTCAGCCTGCAGAATAGGTATTCAGAATGCCGCTGCATCGTCATGCATGGGTTATTTGAAATTCAATTGGCCAAAGTCAGAGTTGAGCTCTTGCTAAATTGCCTCCCTTCCCCATTAGTCTGTGAACAAGTCACAGGTGTGCAGAGCGTTTTTCTCCCCGCGCATTTCGGGGTCCCTGCAATATGCCTGACACACAATAAATCACCACGGAATGAATGAATGAATGAATGAAGCCTGTCCTCAAGGAGGACCCAGTGAAGCTTCCATTTTACAGATGGATAAACGGAGTCTCCTGGATGGCATAGAGTTAGATAGGGGCACAGCTGGGGCTTTCTCCTTTGAGCTCGCTGCCCGGTGGCACAAGGGCTCCTGTGGCACTTCTGGAAGTACACCCATCACACCCCGCTGCCTTCTCTCCCAGGGGGCTGCTCCTGTGGACGCCTCAGTCCCGCCCTCTGCCCTTGGCGATGGCTGCGCTTCTCCTCATAGGGGTGCTGGCGGCCCCGGGTGTGGGTGAGTACCGTGTTTGACACCGCGCTTCTCTATGGCGTAGTGCGTAGTTACTGACACTGCACACTGGGGCGGGTTGCCAAACTTCACCTGATTTGCTCATGACTACGTTATCCCCTTGCCTAATGAGTGATGGAAGTCAAACATCAATGATAAGCTATAGGTTTAATCAACTGCTCTTTTTGAGCACACTGTATAATGCACGAAAGGTGAGGTGGAGAGCCAGGAAGACCGAAGGCAAGGGGAGCAACCTTCTCTCCACCTGGTAGCCTCCCCCACCCCTTTGCTCACGGGCCTCCATGTTTTGCTGATGACCACGGAGGAGCCCCCCTGACAGGCAGCTGCAGCTGCTGTCCCCTTTTGTAGGTATGGCCAGTGTAAAGAGTGAACACTTGGACCCCCCATAGTCTAAACTTGGGTCCCAGGTAAGAAACGTCCACTGCGCCCTAAGCTCCCCGCCTCAGGGAGCTTTGCACTGGAGTCTATTTTACCAGCCCCACCTCTGACAGAGATATTGGCTCTCACTTCCCTTTGTCCTCTGAGTGTTCATCTCCTTCCGGAAGCCCTGGGGAGGGGGCCTGGGCAAAGGCGGGTTGCGTGCTTTCCTGATTGACCTTCCCGGTACAATACTTAATACTAGGACATCCCACTTTTAACAACTAATAGGCCTCATCCTTCTGCGATCTAGAGGTGGCGTCTCCTACCTTTGCTAAACATTTCCTAGACTAAGAGCCTGCGATCCGGGTGGGCACCGCTCACGGACCCTGTGGTGGCGCAGTTCAGCCACCGTGTACTCACTCCTCCACTCAGCAGATAGCGATGGCGCTTCCACTGTCAGCGTGCTTACTCTCAGAGTTCCCAGGGTAGTGGGGAAACAGTTACACAGACCGAGCATCGCAACATGAGATTGCAAGGGCAGCAAGAGAAGGAAGCCTGGCCTTCGCGGAGCCCAGGACAGCGTTCCTAACACACCCGGGTCGGGGCCAGGTGGAGCTCCTTGAACTTTGAGAGGAGCCCTAAAGTGGGGGAAGCGTTGGTAGTGCAAAGGGGAGCAGATGAAAGGGTGGGCACCGCAGGCCTAGGGCACAGCAAAGTCAGGATGACAAGAAGTAGCTTGGTGTCTAGAAAATGTAAGCTTCTCAGCCTCACAGAAGAGAAGGGTTCAGGGAGGAGGTGGTGCGGCAGAGCTGGGCAGGAACCAGTGCAAGGAATGCCTGGGTGCCCGGCCAGAAGCTGCCGGAGCTCGCCTGGTTGCGTCATCCATAAAATGGTGCAATAACATGCGCCTCGCAGCGTCAGGCCGAGGGTGGGAGGCAGCGACCATGCAAACTGAAGCAGGAACAGTACGAATGCCAAATGCCAGTCACTCTCGCATTGAACCCGAATCAGTTTGATCCTGGTGAAGTTTATCCTCACCTTCCTTCTGGACTGCGTGAGTGAACGAATGCAGTCCCCTGAGGTAAACAATTTAAAAGCCAGGGTGACTTTGTCGGTTGCTAATGAAAATGTGTGGGTGTCGATACCCTGAACATAGGGAGGAGTGTGGGGGGGCCAACGTCCCCTATGAACAAATATCGGCAACAGGACCGTGTCCCACCCCCAGAACAGCAACTGAATGACCCGCTGCACAAGGAATACCCGAGAAGTCATTATCAAGGAACGGGCAGTAGCTTACAATTCCTGCTGAAGCGTTCTGAGCTGTTGTCTGGGACGCTATGAATTAGTTTCTGGGTCGGTGAGGCCAAATGTACCCTAGCAATTCCCTGGACTCTGGGATAAGATCTCAAATAGAACTGAAGCCCCCTCCTGCCTGGAAAGTCTGCATTACTGTCCGTGAGAGCTGCCCCCGAGACCTAGCACACGGCAGGTGCTGGAAAAATATGCACAAGATTGAGCTGACAGGCATCCAGCTGCCCCCCGGCCTTGGCCCGGCTGGCGGGCGGTGGCTGCGCTCGGACCAATCCTGCTTCCCCCTTCTCAGGGAGCCACCCTCTGGACACCCCCCACCGTCCTCAGGAGCTGCCTCCAGGACTCTCAAAAAACATCAGTAAGTATTCTTTGAGCTTTTCTTAGGAGACCTAGCTGGGTAGAAAGTCATCTGGGATATTGGCAGGTAAAATGACCCCTTCTGAACATACCCAAATGCCACTTACTGCTGTGACATTTGTAGGTAAAGGGATTCAAAAGCCTCTCCCTCGACAGTCTGACCCACCACTGGTGTCTCCTTTGAGACAAAATACTAAAAATTCCCATCAAAAGAGAAGCATCAGCTCAAAGGGGAAACCAGAAGGGTGTGGCTGGTCTGATCATGAGGGTTAGAGGTAACTGGTATTTTAGCTTCAAATTGAGCTCTGAGCTTCCAAAGGCAGGACCACAATAGACAGAGGATGTCGTATAGTTATTAGAGGACCCCTAACGTTCCTGGGGGAAGGGAGTGCTTTCCTAGGGGTGGGTTATAAGGATTTCTCTGGTAGGTTCTTACATGGATGTCACTGAAGAACTTAACGCATACCAAACCAGCTGCCTGTTAGCCCCAACTTCAGCGTTCTTATCCGACCTCTCGGGGAGGTGAGCTGAGTCAACCAAATTATTTGTGCATGATCCCTGCAACCAAAATGATCAGTCCCACCCAGGCCCAAATGACAAGTGGCCCCTCTCCAAATGGCATAGTCCCCATGGGAAGGGCAGTGCCCACCAGGAGATCCTAAGGAGAACTCACAGGCCACACTTGGCACTTAGAAGGATCTAGGCCAGGAAACAGTGTGCCAGCCGGTCATGGCGGCCATCCTTCTTCAGCGACAGTGGCCTTGCGGTGACAGTGCAGAGTCCAGGAACCCCAGGTAGCCGCTCAGGTGGAGCAGCCCCGGGACCGTCCCTGGCCTAGAAGCTTCCTTCTCCATAGGAATCAGTGCCCCTAGTAACAGCTTCATAGCTACGGTTTCTAGGACGCCCAGGACATGCCTGCCGGCAGGAGTCACCCCACCTGGTATCCACCTACCGTTCACCTGTCGTTCCTCACCCATCCAGGGTGTTTATTTTTGTTTTTATTCATTGAGCAATGTTGCCTAGTAACACAGGTCTTGTTACATCTTATCAGGTCTCTATGGTAACCTGTGTTATTAGAAAGTTAGCCCTCGGTCAAGTCTATCCTTAGAAAAAGAGAAAGGGTTTTTACTGACTCTTCACCCAGGGGGTAGATGGGGAAGGGGAGAAACCAGGCTCTGTCACTGTTTTCTCTTCCTTCCATGTAGATGTCACATTCTTCAATGGCATGTTTAAAAATGTGGAAAGTGCAACGGAAATTTTTGGTAAGTTCAATCTGTATGTGCCTTTGTCCCCCGGGTGTCGGAGCATACCACGGGGTGGGGCAAATCTCAGCGATGACCTTGGTCTCTGCCCCCTGGGCTCCCATGCCCCCCCCCCAGCCAGCTCCAAACAGTGTGACCCCGGCTCTGAGCAGACAAGTGGCGCCATTAGTGCAGGGCGCATCACCGAGTTGCCCGGTAACTCCATAGGTTAGTGCTGACCGCAGCCCGCTCGGGGGGAGTGGTAGCCCCATTCTACAGGCGAGGAAACTGAGTCTAAGGAAGTTGAATGACTTGTCCAAGGCCACACAGCTAAGAGGGAGGAGTTCTCCTCTGAATCCAGGGCTTAATCTCCCTACAACGAAGAACTTTTATTTTCTCTCCCTGAATAATAACTATACATAAGGCCTAAGAATTTCAATGAGCGTCAAGTATTCCATTTATCAATAACATATCTATGAAGCAACTATTCATTACCATAATGGTTTCTATCATCGATTACTTAAATTACTCAAAACATAAGATCATATTATGATGGACACAGACCAGAAGATTCTGGACTGCTATTGAATTAGACAGTACTGGGCATAGACGACATCTAATTGCATATACAACTGAGTATAGGTACTTGTAAGTTTTTGAATGAAAATACGTATTTACGTACACACACACACAAATCTTAGAGTGGCTTTTCTTATTAGCGTAGAATCATTTCTTCATGTTTTTGATTAGGGCATGCAGAAATAAAACATGGGAAGGAAGTTTCCGTGAGGTAGGAAGAAATTGGAACAGCCAGGGATGGCTGTTCACGGGTCCTCACAGGCAACTCGAGATCCCCCCAAGCTCCCTCTTGTGACCCTGTGCCCTTCAGTCACCCCTCTTAGCCCTCAATGGTCCTCCAGTCAAAAAAGGCAGGAGTGGAGAGAGCATGGGCACGAGGTTTAAAGCCAAAGAGCTGGATGCCGTTTTCATGCTCATCTTGTTTGCAAGATCGTTTTTGTCATCGTTACTGGTGGTGATGCCTCGGGCATGGCTCTGACCTTCAGTGTCTACCTGTGAAATGAAGGTGGCAGAATAGCACCTGCCTTGTGCAATCTACATGAGGTTTATGGGGTAAGTGACAAAGTGAATGCTTTCTAAAGCATCAGTCACTCTATTGGGCTATTTCAAGCACCGTGTCAGGAAAACAGTAGGTGCCCCCGAATTACTACTGCCTGTACCGTACCCCTTTTCTTCCTGCACTGACCTACAGTCTGTAGTCTAGCATTTGGGATCCATTTAGCAAACCAACAGTGACGTAAATAATAGAGCTATTTAATTAGTGCACATAAGCCGTCTGAAGGCACCAGGACTGGCGCAGCACGTAGCTCAGCGCCGGTCGGAGACCCAGCAGGCTCACTCTGTCTTGCCCCACTGCTCCCCTGGGCGTGCTGGGTTTCCAGCATTAGGTTTGGGACCTCATGGCCGCGTTCCCGTCAGCACATCCTCCCCCATGTTCAAGCAAGGAGAACGGTATAGATCAAAAGGATCTCCTAATATGCCTTTATTCTTTATTAGGAAAAAAAGACGTATTTTCCAAAGCCTGTAATAGACTTTCCATTTAGTTTTTTTGATCAGATCTGGGCTCTATGCTCAGCCCTAGACCATCACGGAAGCACGGGATGACCATGGCCAGCTGAGAGTGATCATGTGACCTCCCCAAGGCCCCGGGGGGAAGGCGCACCTTCCCTGCGTACTGTTCACTTTTGTTGGTAAGGAAAAAGGGATCGTGGTTGTCAGATGGGCAACCAGCAGGGTCCTCAGCTTATAAAACTACTTTGCTTTAATAGTCCAACACAGTCCCAAGTACACAGAAGGTGCTTAGTAGGTCGACAAGGCACTCGCCGCTCAAGCTGCAGGAAGTCACAGGCCAGGCTCCCCCCCGGGCGCTGGCTCCCAGCGCCCACCCTGTGCTCCCTCCGCAGACTGCCTGGGCTCCCACTTCACCTGGCTGCAGGCCGTCTTCACCAACTTCCCCGCGCTGCTCCAGTTCGTCAGCGGCCTGCGGTGCGTGGCTGCTCTCTGCCCCCGAGACCTGGAAGATTACGGCTGCACCTGCAGGTTTGAGATGGAAGGGCTGCCGGTGGACGAGTCTGACAGGTGAGCAGGGCCCCAGGGGGCTGTGGTGGTCTGACCGGTGCTTGGCAGAGCAGGGACACAGAAAGCTCCCCGGACTGGGGGCTCCAGCAGTGCCGCAGCTCTATGACTCACGCACTGGGTGATTCCTCTCCTCATCTTTAAATTGCAGTTAACCTGTGATCTGCTCATGTCCTAGGAAATTATCAAGATGTATATGATGTCCAGTAGGCAAAACTTTAGTTTCTCAGAGTTTGGGCCTGCCAGCACCAGAACCACCTGGGTGCCTGCTAAAATGCAGCGTCCAGAGGCCCAGCCCAGCCCTGCTCACTCAGATCACCTTGGGGGAGAGGCTGGGCATCTGGACTTTAAACAATCCTTCCAGGTGATTCTTAAGCATAAACATCCTGAGAATTATCTTTAATTCAGGATAAGTGTCTGTTCAATTTTCCACAAACACATGCCAAATACCAATAATATGCAAACACCGTGCTTAACATAAACAGAATGCTACCCCTGACTCAAAGAGGTGCATGTCTAGTGGGCGATACCGAGAAAATATAAGTAAGTGCCCATAAGGATGCCTTCCCTCCCCATGTACAAGGTGAGTGCATGAGAACCAGATACTATCAGACTGGCAGTCAAATTTAAAATCTTAGAAGCATCAAGTGTAAGCAAGGATATGCCAAACGGACGCTGGCAGCTGGAGGGCCCTTTAGGGAAAAGTTGGTGGAATCTGTTAGAGCACCCTGACATGCCGCCAGCGGCCCGGAAATTCCTGTCCTCTGTTCCTGCGGGCTCTGTGGCCTGAGACAACACTATTTAACTTCTTTGTGCTCCAGTTTCTTCCCTATAAAATGGAGGTAATAATAATGTTAACTTTATAGAGAGATTATTTAGGATTAAATAGCCAAATACAAGTTAAAGAGGTTGGGATTCTGCCTAGCTTATTAAGTATTTGGGAGTATTAGTGATTAAGCAATAGTAGCAGTTGTAGTGGGGCTGGAGTAAGAATAGTGACAGTAACGAATGACAGTGGTATTAATAGTACCAGCAGCAGTAGTAACAATCATTGTAGAGCTGTAGGGATAGTGATGGCGGTACAATAATAAAGTGCTGGTAGTACCTTCTAGTAGTAACAGTAGGTACAGTATCTGTTGTAGCATTAATAGTAATAGTAGTAGTAATAGTAGCGATAGCACAACAGCAGCAGGACTAGTAGCAGTAGTAGGAGTACTAGTGAAGCTGTAGTAGCAGTAGTAGTGGTAGTAACAGTAGTTGTAACCATAGCAACAGTAGCAGCAGCAGTGGTATAGAAGCAAGAAACTGGACCCAGTTCTCAACTCTGCTCCAAGAACAATGCCCCCACCCCACCGGTACCCAGATCCATGTGAGGGCCTGTGCGTTCTCATCCACACAGACTCACAGAAGTAGAGAGGACTCCTCTTTGGAATCCAGGGGGCAGACTGTGGACTCCCGGGTGTTTTTCCTTTGGGACCCTCTTGTGAATGCACCAGGGCAATTCCTGGGCTCCCCAAGCATCTGGGTTCCCCTTTCTTGCTCCTATTGTGTGGGAGGCTCTGTGGACATGCCTGACTGCCACCCCACTCAACATCCTCCGAGGAGGGTCTGCACAGCGGCATTTCCTTGTGGCCCCAGCACAGAGCCCAGCACCTGGCACAGAGACCTCAATAAATTCACTGACTGACTAGGTGGTCAACTTCCAATTGCTTTTCAGAGATGGAAAAAAAATCAGTGAATTGATTAGAAAGTGATATGTCCTTGACTGACAAAGACTAATGGCTTTGGAATTAAAACACAGATCTGTCCCATCTCCAAATCTCCAAGAGAGGGTATAGGTCACCTGTGGACGAAAGGGCAGTGTCCCATTCCTGGGACTGTGAACAAACCGACTCCTGGAGCCGGCTCACCGACAGGCGGAAAGGCAATGCTGGTTCTGCCGGGGCATGGTGCCAGGGCCATTTCTGGCAACGTTTTCCTTTGGGGTCCTCCCTTACCACTCCCTTTAATTATTAAAACACCAACACCTTGAAAACTTAGGAGTCAAAGGAATGAAGCCGTAATTCATCACTGTCTCCGACTTAAAAAGAATGATCAAAGTGCTGATGGCGAGAAACTGGCAGGATTGTGGGTCACGCTCAACTTCAATTACGTTACACAGTTCAGTTGACGGGGATGGGGATTTTCAAACTCCTGGAGGACAGGTTACTGCCACCTTGAACTTGCACACCAGATTGCAAAAATAATTGCTCCCATTTTTTGAGCACATGGCAGGATCTATATAGATGACTTCTTGAACCCCTCCAAATTCTTATGAGTTATGTCGTGTGAGAAATTTAGTAACTTGCCCAAGGTCAGCAGATGCCCGTATATTTTTCCTTCTTTCCATTGGTCTCCACTGGCCTCCTGTGTGCCGGTGCCACCTGACCGCATTGAGTGTCAGCCACACTCTGTGATCAACCTTGACCTTGGCAAGTTACGGAGCCCCATGTGTCTCAGTCCCCGCATATGTAAAGGCTCATAATAATAACAGCACCTGCTGCATAAGCAATATAATTCAAATATTGTGATAGTACCTGTATGGGTGTGTGAGTGCACTGACTGTCTGACACAGACCACCGCCAGGAACCATCCAGAAACATGGGGTGATTGCAGGCTGCCTGCCTCGCTGCTGACCGCCCCCCGCACTCGCCCTCACCCCTCCCCTTCCTGCCACAGCTGCTGCTTCCAGCACCGCAGGTGCTACGAGGAGGCTGCCGAGATGGACTGTCTCCAGGACCCGACCAAGATTAGCACAGATGTCAACTGCGTCAACAAGAAGATCACGTGTGGTGAGCATCTCCAGGTGTCCCCGGGGGCTGGGTGAGAGAATCCAGTTCAGAGGCCCCAGGCAGGACCAGGCCAAGGGCTCCCAGAGTTCACGTTCCTCATCACCGCCACTGACATCATCGTCATCGATACTTCGGGCCCCACGAGAGCCGGTTCTATGGCATCTATATGTTGCACAGTAGGTGTGCGATACATGCTTTTTGAGTTGACACAGTACTTAATCAGCAGATTATTTGACTTACAATTTTTATATTTGAGCAACCCTGGGAAGTTGGGAAGGGCAAATAGTTTGCCATTCACATGTTGTATGACATTGGGGCAATTATTAGCTCCTCGGAACCTCAAAATGGGGAGAAGAAAAATCTGTCTCAGAGATTTGTTATGAGTTAAATAATGCTCATAAGAGGGTTAGCATGGTGACCGGTATACACTAAGGACACAATGGTGGAAGTGGAGGGAGAGGCTGCGATGGATGAAGAGGGCCCTGGTGGTTGTTTGTAAGAATCAGCTGTCCACTTGGCTTGCTGTGTGGCTCCAGGAAGCTTATTTCACGTCTCTGGGCAGAAGAAGCAGAATAAGCAAAGGCAGAGAGAGAGGAGGAGCATGGCGCATTGGCGGCGCCATCTTGGAGCCACGCTGTAGCAGTGCCTACTATGTGCTATACACTTGATACCCAGCAGCTCTGATCTTCTAGAGAATCTTATTAGATAGGGGTCATTATTCCTAGGTTTCATACAAGGAGAGGAAAGTGCAGAGACAATAAATAACTAGTTCAAAGTCACATAGCTGCTCAGGGGCAGAGCCAGCATTTGAATCCAGGTGAGTTTGACTCCATAGGCCAGGCAACAAGGACGAGCTGGAGTAAGGAGCTTCCAGAAAGATGTGAGGAGAGGCATGGGTATAAGTCACTAGGTGGAGCACACACTGAGTACTGAAGGCACTCTTCATTCATTCACTCGTTCATTCATTTATTCATTCATTCATCAGATATGCACTGAACACCTATACCACATCTAAAACAAGTGTCTAGGCATTGGGGACACCCTGATGTTCCGGAGTTTCTTCATGGCCGTCAGACACTGGAAAATAACAAAACCAAATGGTATACCCTGCGAGGCTATAGCCTATTAGATAAATGGCAGGAGCTGTGGAGGACTGTCCATCAGGGAAAGGCATAGGGAGGCTGGGGTGGGGGCACCTGTATAACTAGGAAGGTCAAGAGAAGCATCCCAGGGAGGCTGAGTGTTGAAACAGTGCGTGTGGACCCCAAGGCTTGAGGTGCCTCGTGTGTTCAGGAAACAGGGGCCAGTGAGTCAGGAATGGGGTGGGGAGGGAGAAGGAGATGAGGCCTGAGAAGAAGCAGGATCAGTGGCTTTGACCTTGAGTTGGGAGGTTCTGAACACACACACACAAAACACGGTGTGGTGGTGTGACCTGAGTTTCCAAAGGGCTGTTCTGGCTCCTCAGTGAGGACAGATTGAGCCGCAGTGGGGGAGGGGTGGGGAATTGTTAGGATGCCCTTGATGTGACCCACGCAACGGGTGATGGAGTGGCCAGGATAGTGAAGCGGAGAAGGGGAAGCGTGGGCAGACTCTAAAAAGGTTGAAAGTAGAGCCCGTAAGATGGCCCGATGGGCTGTGTGTGAGTGTGTGAGGAAAGGAGGGCGTGTGGGCCCGGCTGGACCCACCCGACCACTGAAGAGATGGCGCAGACACCCGAGATGGGGAGACCACAGGAGGCAGGGGGTACAGGGAGGGGGCAGAGCGGGAGTTCAGCGTCGTAGTTTGCATCCCCTCTTGGGATTCCAAGTGAGATCTTCCAGCAGGCTCTGTCCCTGCTCTGTGCACAGAGTCCAGGGACCCTTGTGAGCGCCTGCTCTGTACCTGTGACAAGGCTGCCATCGAGTGCCTGGCCCAGTCCACCATCAACTCCTCCCTGAACCTGCTGGACCCCTCCTTCTGCCTGGCCCAGCCTCCGGGTAGGAAGAGCCTGGCCCTGCATCCTTGCTGGGGTTGACGATGGGGGCAGGAGCTGGTGTGGGACCCTGGCATGGGTGCTGTGTGCCTTCAGGTGCCAGGTCCAGCTCCTTCTCACATTCCACACACCCACTGCTCTCTCTGGGTCTCCTTTGCAGAGACAACCAGCAGGAAGGAGCTGACGGCCCTTCTGCCCGGAGGTAAGGTCTCCTAGGGAGGCTGTTCTTCTTACTCAGACCTGATGGGAGCTGGTGGATACATGTGCAATATATGCCTGTTATTCTTTGTTCACCAAAGTTCCCATGACCTCTCAGGCCCAACACCATGGGTGCCTGGGGGTGGGAAGTTCCAGATACTCCTTTGCAGAACACCCCTCATTTCCTGAGCTGGGTCTCTTCCCCAGAAGTAGTCCTGCAGTGTTTGGTAAAGAGGGAGCTGATGCGGGCATGTGTAGTGGATTTCTGGGTGTGTGCACGTGTGACATGGTGTGTGCATGTATGTGCGTGCACACGCGTGGGGGGGGTGTGCCGCACCTCCAGGTATTCTCTGAGCCCAGCATCCTTTTTGCTCTGCCGTCTTGCCTCCCCTTAGAACAGAGAGCTTTTCAAGTCAGGATGCCATACTCCACAGCCACAGTCCTTCAGGCTCTGCTACCCTTTCCTTGTCACAGCCTGTGCTCGATAGTGTCACCTCCCCCACCAGGACTCAGAGCCATCTGGAGCCCCTCTAGAGCTGGGGCCTTTTGGGCACCCCTGCCTTCTGGGAGGTGTATGAGAGGCAGGGAATCCTAAGACAGAGGAGCGGCCCCCTCCTCCCTCGGTCCTGCAGTCCTCGCCCAGCCTGTTTTTGGTTGAGACCCTTGGAACTTGGCATTGACCATGTGTCCGTCACTCATGGCTGTTGGGGATTCTCTTATTTTCAGTGGAACCTGCGGAGCCCACAGACGCCAGCCTGGTGGCCCTCTCAGGAGAAGGTGAGCTCAGAGGGACAGGCGTGAGACATGAACGGCCCTTTTGATTGTAGCATCAGACTACTGGCTGGAACTACCTCCCCTCAAAGGCCTTCTGCCTGGGCCTGCAACAGATCAGCTTCAGTATCTTCCAGAACCAGCCCTCCTTCCTCCTGCCCCTAAACCTCTGCTCCCCCAGCTTTCTCCCACACGCCGACTCCCAGCACGGGAGGATTGCCAGATGAAATGCAGAATGCCCACCCTCAACCATCTGAGGTTGAACTTCAGACAACAACAAACAACTTCTGAGCATAAGAATGTCCCATGCAAATTCTGGGACGTACTTAAACTAAGAAAGTATGTGTTATTCATCTGAAATCCCAATTTGGCGGGGTGCCCTGTATTTTTATGTGTTAAATCTGGCAACCCTGCCCCTCAGGGAGATCACTGTGCCCAGTGTCTCCCCAGAAGTTTGTTTGTTTCTCCCCTCTGTGGCTGCTGCTGCTGCTGCTGCAGAGAGGAGGGAAGCAGAGGCCTGTGGCGTGGCTCAGCCCTGGCCAAGCCCACGTCCAAGGTCATCTCATCCCCAACATCTCCAGGGCAGCCTGTGCCTTGGGGTCCAGGTCTAGAGAAGAGAGGAAGGGCCACCTACGCCCCACCAAAGTGTCACTGGATGCCCTGCCCAAGCAGTAGCCATGCCCAGTGACTTCCATTCTAAATGAAGGACGCTGCTGCAGGCTTCTTGGCCCGACAGATCATCCCCAAATCATCCCCAAATCATCCCCAATTGGTACACTTTCCATTGTCCTCCGCCTGAACCATCATCCCCTTGTGGCCCGAACCTGGGAAACACTGCAAGGAAACAAGGCTCCTTCAGGAGCCTAGAGTCTAACTGGGGAAGGGGAGCAGATGCACACACCGCTGCCTCCCAACACACAGGCACTACACCTGAGACCTAGGTGGAGCACAGGGGTGCCCTCCAGAGGAGGCTGCAGCCTGAAGGCGGGGCCTACACTCAACCACCCAGGCGCAGGCAGGACAGTTTAGGAGGAAAAGCTGGAGTTGTTGTGAGTGTTGTCACCTCCATGGGACGAAGCACTCATGCGCTGGGGGCAGGCAACTTTGGGATAGAATCCAGACTCTCCCATTTTTCAGCTGTATGACTTTGGCAGTGTGGCTTAACCTCTCCAAGCATTACGCGGGGGTCAGCCAGCTTTCTGGAAAGAGCCAGAGAGCAAATGTTTTAGACAGAGGATCTCTGTCACAGCGACTCAACTCTGCCATTGTAGCAGGAAAGTGGCTCTGGACAATCCGTAACTAGATGGCCGTGGCTGTGTGCCAATAAAACTTTATTTACAAAAACATGCCAAGGGCCAGACCATATTTTCCCAGCCCCTGAAAATGGGTGATTATACTTGTCCTTTATAGAGGCAGAAGATTAAATAACAGAGAGCATGGGAAGATTCTGGACCAGCATCTCCTTCCCAAAATTCTAGTGGAAGTAAAGACAGCACATACCATCAAGCCCCACGCAGGACAGTAGACGGCTAGCTTAAAATACGTAATGTCATTTAATGCCTACCCAGCCGTATGAACAAACTTTCATGCTGAGATGGTAAATTGAGATGGAGAAAGAGGTTGTCTGAGTTGTGGCGCTCAGTGGTAGGGCTGGAACTCAGGCCTCCCACGGGGTCTTTCCTTCCTTTTAGAATAAACTCCCTCCCACAAGAATCTGATAGAATCAGGGTAAATACTGGCTCTTTCTCCCATTGGCTGGTTTCTTCACCTGAACACAGGACTGACTAACACTCATCTGGCCCCTTGGCCCCTGAATTGGAACTGAACTGAGCACCAACTTGCAGACATGCTCACTCCTCAACCAGATTGCGTGGCCTCCTCTCCTCAGCCCCTCCGCTCCCAACACTCTTTGTTTACATCTGACCCTCGCCTGCCGAAGGGGCTGGGCTGATCATTGGTAACTGATTGGTGATTGGGTGGTTTCTCTTCACAGTGTCTGCTGAGACCAGAGGCGACCAATTGACCACTCTCTCCAGGACAAGTAAGCCAAGGGGACTTCAGAGGACAGCAGAGGACAAATGCCATCTAAATAAATATCTGTGTTCAGTTTGGTGACCCCTTTTTGTTAGGACCCTGAGGAAGTATTAGTATAATATTTTGCAGATGATGTAGGAGACTGAGGCTCTGGGGGCTTAAAAGTTCCAAGTCGTTCGGCAGGTGGTTTGTTGGAGTGGCCCCTCACCCCAGGCTTGAGGCTGTAAGACTTGTTTTCTTTCCATTTTTTGACACTGACTCACAGAGAACAACCCCCTACCTAAAAATATCTGAGCCAAGAAGTCATCAGAAGAATTGATCTAACGATTTACATTGCCTGTGGTGATTAATAACCATGGGCGCTTGATTAATAAGTGTAAATCACTGAAAATAACTCTTTACTAATTACTAAGAATGGTGACAGGGCGGAGACATTGTTGAGGACCTCGATGTGCGAGCATGTTTCTAAGCCCCTACATACAACAGGCTCTGAGTTATTCTTCCCTGGTTCTGGGAGACCCACTACCACCCCCGTTTTACAGGAGAAGCCCCGAGAGGTAGAGTCATTTGCCTGAGGTGGTCCAGCGCAGTGTTCTTCTACTTCTGAGCTGAGGATTCATTTTGCCTTTGAAGAGAACTGTCTGCCCCAGCTTAGAACTATTCCGATTCTCTTTGCTGGAGCGTGTGTCCCCCACTTAGTAAATGTCTATGCCTGATGTTCACGTAATGCCATCATCCTCTTGATCTCTGGCACATAGAATTTTAAAACAGTTCTTTCCTCTCCAAAGCATTTTGCAGTGACCATGTCTAGCTCTTGGTGGGTCAGCCAGCAGTAAAATAGTAGCCTAGAGAGTGGTTCAGAGGGTCAACCTTAGCAAGTGATTTGGGCTTGCGATCTGCCACTTTCTGGCTCCGTGACATTGAGTGAATGACCACACTCTTCCTGTGTGTCACCTTTCTCATCACTTAAAGGGGTGAGCATTGTACTCACTCATGGGGTTGCTATTAAGGTAATATAAGCAAAGCCCTTAGGGCTGTATCTGGTATGTGGTAAGCCTGAGCCTCTTCCGGCTGCTGTGACAAAGTACCACAGACTGCGTGGCTTATAAACAACAGGAACGTATTTCTCACAGTCATGAGGCCGGAAGTCCAGTGTCTGGTGAGGGTCCTCCTGATCCGTAGACATCCATCTTCCTGCTGTGTCCTCATATAGTGGAAGGGACCAGGGAGCTCTCTGGGGTCCCAAGAGGGCACTACTCCTATTCGAAGGGCTCCACCCTCATGATGGAATCACCCCCAAAGGCCCCGCCTCCTACCACCACCACATTAGGGGTTGATATTCCAACATGTGGACCTGGGGGACCAGACATTCAGTCTGCAGCATAGTACGAGCTTAATTACTGTTTTAAAAAAACACAAAAAACTCATTTCACAGAGAAACAGAGTCTCAGCTGCCTTCCTGGAACCACCTCACAAGCTAAGGGAGTCACCCAGTTCTTCTGCCTCATTCTTCTCTGTAAAAAAAAAAAAGTGTGTGTGTGTGTGTGTGTGTGTGTGTGTGTGTGTGTGTGTGGGGGGATTACATCATGAGGGCAGAGCCCTTGTGACTAGGATTAGTGCCCTATTGGGACCTCAGAGAGCTCCCTGGTCCCTTATATATGATATCTATAAATCATATATATGTATGTATACATGTATATATGATTTCAACAGACTCACCTGCAGCTGAGTTTTCCAGCAAGCCCCTCTGTGTGTGTGTGGGGGGTCTCCCTCTGGCTCAGTGGTGGCCCTGCCCATGCCAGCCCCTCTGGGAGACCCGCAGGGGCAGAGCAAAGGCCATGTGGCCTCCTGAGCCCAGTGGGCGGGAGCTGCCTCTGGAGAAGAAGGAGGGACAGGCTGGGGTTGACACGCACCCTTGTCCTTTCTTGGGAACAGAACCACTCCAAGACCAGGAAGACACAGAGGCCACGAGGACAACGACCCCCCCGGGTAAGCACGCTTGGCTTCTCACCCTTTGACGACATTGTTGCCTTCTACATGTCTATCAAGTCCGGTGTGCTCCGAGGAAGCCTTGGAGAAAAGACACCAGACTCAAAATGGAAGAAATCAGGAAGCCTGTCCACTTTTAGAGCACCTGAAAAGGTAGACAAATGAAATGAAAAGACCAATCCATTCATAGAAAGAAATGGAAGCTTACCTGCTCAGAAGAGGCCTTTAATAGACGCTTCCCTCCAGCCTTCCCCAAGCACATCTATGGCCGCTCTGCCCAGGCCTTAACCAGCGCCCAGGGCTGGGCTGGGTTGGGAGGTGGGTAGGGCCCAGCTTCCGCCGCTCCCCTTGTCTGGGCCAGACCGGGCTGGATACCTGGCTGCCTCTAGCTGGGAAGGCGGGTGGGGCTGACTCACAGGACAGCCCAGGGGCATCCTGACCGGGCTAGGGAGCCTGTCTGAGGAAGGCAGAGCCAGGTCACGGTAGTGTGCTGGCCACGGTGGAGACCCTGCTCTTGATTCTCAGTAGGATGAGACGCTGTTGCAGTGTTTGCAGGGTTTGAACAGTTTTGCTCTCCTGCATTATCACGGACCGGGAGTTGGCTTAATTTCTCCATCATTCGTGTTTCTTATCAACACTGCGATGGGGCTTTCCTTGGCAAGCGCGTGAGAGTGAACACGGCACAAACGTAGGCCTGAGGGTGACAGTTCTCATCCACGAAATGTTGTCCTGGGGGTCCAGCACAGGCTCCTGTCAGGGTCAAGGTTATCACAGGAAATTTGGGAATCCATGTAGCATCCCTGGAGCCCTGAGACTCTGTTCTGACGTCTGCCAACCCAGTCTGAGGACACTGTCCCGGTGCTTTGCTGTTCTGAAATACCTGTCTGCCTTTGGCCTTGACCTTATGCCCATCTGCTCTTCTCGAGTCACTTTTTGAATATGGGTTCTGAGGTTGCGCATTTTCAGGGTCTGCAGAGATCGCTGCCACGGCCGGAGGTGTGACCGTTGTTCCCGCCGCCGGCAGTGGATCTCCGGGGCTGGCTGCGTCACCCGTCCGACGTGGGCCTGAGCTGACAACTGGGAGAGGTGAGCAGAAGCTGGCAGAGGAGTGCCTGTCTCCTCCCAGCCTTGGGACCCTCTGGTTAGCTGGTTAAAAAGCCACTGTCACACACCGTGACCTTGTCATGCTGGGGACACTGGAAGGTGCCAGCCCCTTGCCGGTGAGACTCAGACAGGATGGACCTCCATGGGCGCAGCTGCTGGGAGGCTGGCCTGGGGAAGGAGGCCCCTGACCGGGCACTCTCGCCCTCTCACTGGCCAGAGGGAAACGGCCGGGCATCGTCCTGGCTGTGGTTTCTTGGAAAGAATGAAACACTGGGTCTTAGCGACTCTCCGCCTTGGCTCTCCTCCCTCGGGGTGACTTACCGAAGGTCCTGCACCTGCACGGGCCACAGGCTGCTGGACACAGAGGAGGACTTCGGTGCTGCCTGGGCCGCCCTCCGCGTGCGGGATGCAGAGCTCTGGCAGAAGCTGCAGTTGAGAGGGAGGCCGGGCCTGGGGGCGCTCCGCGAGAGCTCTGCCTTCCCAGTTCTTCCCCACCCAACCTATGAAGACGGGGTTTGCACAGTAGAGGAGGAGGGGAAGAGGGTGGTGATGGGGTGGGTGGGGGAGCAAGAGAGACAGAGAGAGAGAGGGACAGGTGGAAAAGCAAGGTGCTGCAGGCAAGCCCCACCAGCGTGCGCTAGCCTGGTGAAGTCAGGCAGCCTACAACGACCGCCAGGACCCTTGTCCCCCGGGAGGCCAGGCTCTGACGGTCCCTCTACGCAGTAATAAAGTGTGGCCCAAAGGGCATCTTTGGTCTTGGACAAGTCCCTGTGCCTGAGGGGATGTCATGAGGAGTCTGGGCAGAGTAGTAGCCCCGTGGGGAAGACTTCTCTCTGAAAGACAACGTGTCCCGGACAGAGGACTAGGCACAGAACAGTCTCCCAGAAGAATGGTGGTGGGAAGCGGAGGACACGGGGTCCTGGGGGATCAGTGGCCATGGGGAGCCCTGCCCCACTTCTGTGAAGGATGTCCTGGGGTTCCTGGCTCTCCTGAGTCCTTGTTTCTTGTCAGCTTGTGACAGGGTCACCTTCCTGCACCTGGGAAGTGGGGACAACACACAGGTGATGCCGCAGCTGGGAGAGATGCTCTTCTGCCTGACGTCCCGGTGCCCGGAGGAGTTTGAATCTTACGGCTGTTACTGTGGGCAAGAAGGACGAGGCGAACCAGTGGACACCCTGGACAGGTAGGGCCATGGGCAGGTGGTGGGCCGGTGGCAAGGACGCTACCTGCAGTGAGAGGTGACAGCCCTCCTCTGCCTTGGCAGTCACCTTCGGTCTCAGAAAGAGCTCGGTGCCCTCACTGTCTCACTCGGGGAGGCTCATCACCATCACGGTCCGTTGTCCACGGGAGCAACTAAGTGTCATGCTTCTCATGGGTTGTCCACTGACGAAGGGGCAGCCAGACAGATCCAGGTCATTGGAGGTGGGGGTCTGAAGCTCTGCCACAAAGACCTTCCACCCACGCCGGGGGGGCGGGGCATCACTCTGCAAAGACACTTCCGAGGACCCCAACTCTGCCTATTTAGCAATGAGTGACATATAGAATTGCGATCTCCAGCTGGTTTGTTCTAGCAGAGGCCACTTTGAAATGAGCCTCTCAACAACTTTTAAGTGTAACTGGTGAGTTTTATATCTGAATTTTATATTTACCACCTTTGGGAAGGATTTTCCCTGACCTCATGCACTCATTGATTTATTCACCCGTGCATATGCGCATTTGGCGCACATTTCGTGAGCTTTGGCTCTGTGCCAGCCACTGTGCTCGGTGCTCAAGATGCGAAAACGATGAAACCTCAGTGAAGCAGATCACGCCACCTGTGCCTGACAGGAGCTTGCACAGTGAAAGAGGCGGACAGACAATTTTACAGAAACCCCACCCATTATAATCCCTGTGTTGGGAGAAACAGAGGAAGTGGTGGAGAACTCGGCCTGCAGATGAGTTTGGGGACTAGTCTGAGAGTAGCGGCTACGTTTAAAGGCTGACTGCAGGAGGGCACTGCCCCCGTCCGCGGCCAGTGAGAGGGTCTCCAGAGCAAGACGCCGCCTCCTCCCCATGTGTTTACTGAGGTTTTGCTCTAGGTCGGGCACTTTTCTAGATACAGTTCTTGGTGCCCAAGGTAGCTCCTCCGCTCTCTTTCAAGGCTGGAGACCAAGTGAGGTGCCCTTAGGTGTGGGATTAACTGTTCTATTATGTGAAAGGTTGCAGGGAGGGGGTCGCCGCTAGTCCACATCGTGCCTTTGTGTCAACCTAAAACCAGCGCCCAGCCGCAAGCCCCCGTTTTTCCATCTGCTGGAAAATTATTATAATAAATATGCTAGTCATTCCTCTGCAGTCAAGAGAAGTGTAAAATACAAAAAAGGAATTTTTAAAATTAAGATGTGCACTCCAGGTGCGGCCTTTTTGTGCCATGCGCACCCTGGACAACCATGTGTGTTGGCCCCCAGTGTGTGGCTACATGGGCCCTGTGCACCGGGAAAGGGGGCTGTGCGTGCGGAGGAGCTCCCGGGGCAGCTGCGCGCTCCGGGCACTGAGGGGTTTTCCTTGGCCTTAGGTGCTGTTGGTCTCACCACTGCTGCCTGCAGCAGCTGAGGAGACTGGGCTGCCTGCTCGAGAGGCTTCCTCGGTCCCCGGTGGGGTGCACGGACGGCGCGCCCAAGTGTAAGTGCTGTGGCCCCGCGCAGTGAGTTATTCTTTCATTCAGGTCAAGGTCATGACCGCAGCGTGTGCCGATAGGCGCCTCCGCCCTCACCCCCCTCCCCTTACCCTCCCCACCTCCACCACCGCAGTTTCTCATCGATCACGTGACCTCATACTCCTCTTAACTTCGAGGCACATGTTCCTCCCCCTATTCCACCGAGGAGGATGCTCAAGTTGGAGAGGCTGAGTCCGCTGCCTCAAGTCACAGGGCTGGCGAGGTGCAGGCAGGGAACAGACACCAAAGCCCACGTGCAGGGAGTGCTCGCCGTGTGCTGCTCTCACTTAGCTCTTGCTGTGTGCTAGCAGAGTTCACCCTCACAGCCGTCGTGGAGACACAGCGCTGGGAGCCTCCCCAGGTTACAGAGGCAGGGGGACCGAGGTCCCAGGCCCCACAGGGGGAAGTCAGTGATAGCGCTGGGACTGGGCCCTAACTCCACGCTGCCACAGGCCTTGAGCCACGTTGGCAGCTCTCGTTTCCTAAAAAGCAGGACCCTTACCAAGTGGGATCTTCCGAAGGACCCCATAAAGGGGGACACTGGCCCTGGTGGAAGGGACAGGCGGGCCTGCCGCGCGAGCCCTTTCTGTCATGGAAGCTGGAGGCTCCTCGGCCGCCGCAGTTCAGGCCTCGGGCTGGGACGGCTGGAAACTGCCACACCCCCACGCACACCGCACATTGTCACTCCGAGCAAATCTAGGCTCGCTCTCAGCACGGGCCCTCCTACCCGCATTCTCCAGCTCCATTTCCTCTTCCTCATCAGCGGATGCATTTCCCAGATGCTTTGCAGTTTAAAAGGATATGCCCCGCGAGGGTCGTTTCTCATCTGCATTTTCGTCTGGGGGAGCCCCAGGCGGGCTTCAGTCCCCTTCTCCCTCCCTTCCTCCGCACATCGCACGCACATCTGTCCCGCCTTGTAGGATCATGTGTCTCTCACTTCCTGGGAGCTCCACACTTACACGTCACTGGTCATCCATCCATCCATTCACTCCCTCAATGATCTACTTGCCCAAAAAGGCTTCATCAGGAACCAGGGGAACGGAGCGTGCAGGTCCCTGCCTCAAATCCCTCAGAGCCTGGAGGGAAGACAGACAAGCCTGCGACTTTGTAATCTCACGTCCTAAGTGCTAACAGGTAGGGCAGGTGTCCTGGGGCACAGTCAAATGGGTTGGCACCTGCCAAGTGTTGCAGTGAGGATGCAGTGTTTGGGAGAAGTCAGGAGGACCAGCCAGGTGAGATCTTAACAGGATGGCCACTCCGGTGGTGGATGTCCCAAGAAAAGGGAAAAGAGAGAAAGCGTGGCATTTTGGGGACGCCTGGCAGTGCAGGACCAACGTGTGGTTCTGTGATGCTGGCAGAGAAAGTGGGGGTCGGCGAGGCTGTCGAAGGGCAAGGTGAGGCTGGGAAGGTGGACAGGTACCACCAGGTCATGAACCCAAGACTGAAACACTGGCATCTTGTCCTATAGGGGACAAAGGGCCATGCAGGGGCGGTTAGAGAGCCCATGAATGACAGGGTCAGATTACACTGTCATGGGATGCAATCACACCAGGTCTCACCCGCCCAGCCCAAGGCTCCCCCGTCCCTCTGGTCTCCCAGAATCCAGAACATGCCTTTGTAGCTTGAACTCCCATGGAGTTTCAGGGAACCAGTCTGACCCCCTGTGGGCTCTGAGCTCAGTGTCCTGTACCTGCTGCAGGTGACAAGTGATGAGGCAGGAGGGGATCCCGGAGCCTGCTCTGTGCTCTCCTGACACTGAGCACGGGGCGGAGGCTGAGCTGCTCCAGGAAGCAGGCTTCCCTGTGTGTCCGCTCTACGCTTCTCTTCCTGCTGCTGCGATGACACATGTATGGGGCTGACGTGAGGGCCAGGGTGCGAGGTTCGAAGGGTCGGTGTGATGGGAGAGCACGTGGCTGACCTGGCGGGGGAACACTCCAGGGCAGGGCCAGATGAAAACAGGCAGCAGACCAGGCCCGCCTTTGAAAACTACAGATAACAAGGGTGTTTGCAGAATGCGTGTCTGTCTCAGCACCTTGGAACACACTGTGCATGAGCCACACATGCTATCAATCCTATGCCTGCTGCGTGCAACTAAGACATTCAAGAAATATGGTAGGAAAAAAAAGAAGTATGGCAGGGATTCACTCGAGGGAAGCCTGCAGGGAAGATGCTCTATGGAGCCTGGGGGCTCAGGGAAGCTTTCTGGACCCGGGGGTGCTTGGGGGCTCTTCACCAAGTGAGTTAATCAGGAGAACAAAGCCAGCAATGATCCCAGTAGCAGAGTCAGGGTGCGCTGGGTGCCAAGAAGTTCAAGGTGGGGGTGGGAGGCCAGCCAGGGCTGAAGGGGCGGTTGGGCCACCACGGAGGCCTTCCCTAACCGTGGTGCCATGTCTCACGCCTGCTCTCTGTTCTTGTCCTCGAAGGTGCGGGGCAGAGCCTGTGCGCGAAGCTGCTTTGTGTCTGCGACCAGACGGCAGCTGAGTGCATGGCCGCTGCCTTCTTTAACCAGAGCCTCCAGTCGGCGGGCAGGCCCGAGTGCCCGGGTGGCCCGGCCCTCTGCCAGGGCGGCGTGCAGGGCCCGCCTTCCGCTTCCTCCCTTGGCTCCAGCTCTGAGAGCAGCGAGGAGGCCCTTCCCCAGCCAGTACACCTGAGAAGAACCTGAAGGTTTCTGGGGAAGTCACAGGGTCCTGTGAGGGCCAGGCCACAAGGCCCCAGATAGAGCCCCAGGGAAAATGACAGGCACACCCTGTTGTCCTGTTTCTCTTGTTACGGTAACATCTTTGGGCCTCAGTCTCCTCCTCGGTCTTCCTCTGAGCAGAGGCTCAAAGGGAAGGAGAGGCAGCGAGACCTTTGCACACAGGCATTGGGATGTTTCCCAGCTCACACGTGAATGTGCGTGTGGGGAAGGCAGACCAGGTGTGGTTCTATACTTCCTGTAGTGCACTATGGAGGCTCAATAAATATTCCAATCAATGTTTTTTTCCCCTTTGGCTTTGTGTGTTTTTAAGAAAAGTTGTAAATACTGGTGCATGAACAGATCACAAAGGTGTGGTGATAGAGACAGTGAAGGAAAAAATGTCTTTACTCCTTAATCATGGGAAGCTAATTTTCTTCTATTACAAGAAAGCCAAGGGAGTATGTGCGGTCCGTCTCATGAGAGCACCTGAGTCTCCAATAATCCACCAAAGATGCATGCCAACGACCGAGGTGGTACCTCTCGCTCGTTGCCAGGGGAGTGGGCATGGGCCACGGCCACCTCGGTGAAGAATCACTGCCTGAGGAAGCCCCCGAGGCCACCAGGCACCACGCAGGTGGCAGAGGGCCCCAGGGCAGCCTGTTTTGGAGGGAGGCTTCCTGTAATTCACAGAGCAGGGAGGTGGGGACGAGATGCCACGTGGAGACGGACGCAGGGAGGGCGGCTGTGCCCCACAAGCTCCCACCGCGGGCCCCCCGCCCCCGCGAGCTGCGCCTCACGTGACCAGCAGCCACACTGCCTGACACTGCCAGGGGTGTGAGGATGAACCCATTTGGCAACCTGATTTCTCACTCAAACTTTTTCATGTTTAATGACAGCAAAATAGTCAGTAAATTTATTTACTGAATGTAATAATAGCTATTATAAAAATGTACTTGTGCGCCAGTTTTTTGATTTTGTTTTATTGCTCACATGTGAATTGCACAGTGAATTTTTACATTTCAAAAAGCTCACTTCATTACATTTATTACATTTATCGCCATGAATAAGTTTCAGACAAGAAGATGAGAAATGTTGTGAGGAGGGGAAGTTAACTGCTGGTAAAGTGCTCCATTTTTCTAAAAGACAATGAGTTCAGAAGTATTAAGTGGGGGGGGTGTGTGTGTGTGTGTGTGTGTGTGTGTGTGTGTGTGTGTGTGTGGGTGTGTTCAGGCTAACTCCAAAGACAACCAAACTCTCTTTGAGCAAAGACAACACAAGTATAAGAGGATCACCTAAATGTTAACTATTCAATGTCAAGGAAAAAACAGAATGATATAAGCATCTGTATACAGCAAAAAGAAAGTGATTAACAGTTTATTAGGAATTTTACATATCTACAAAAATATAGCAATACAGTGGACTTCAACAAGTCCTATACTTTCAGTCTCAAAGCTGGTGACAATACAGTATGCATGCCTCCTCCCTGCAGGATCTCCTGGGAGGGACAAACCAAAAGGAAGAGCCACTTCTTGGGAACCACTGTTGATACGACCAGTTCCATAACCTCAGGTAGAAGGAGGTCTACTGTGATTTAAACACAGAATGGGCCCCACAAAACCAAAAGTTTACAAACAGACCAAGAGGAAGAGGTGACAGACGTTAGCGGAAATGGCTGTCCTCTACATGCACCACATGCACTGATACATCACAGAGAAACATGAAATTCTGTACAGCGAAGCTGGTTCTGCATGAGTGCAAACGAATATATATCTTCTCTTATACTATTAAATTATATATTTTTCATACAAAAGCACACAGTGTTAATCTGTAAAATGACATCCAAGTGGATGATTGTTTTTGCATGTCCCCCTGCTTTGACTTTTTAAATGCACTGTCAAAAATGAATATCCTTTAAAAATACAGAAAAAAAGGAAAATTAAAAAAAAAAAGTCCATAACATTTGGCCTATTAAATGGCAAAACCTTTTCGCTGATGGAGAGGCAAACACAGTGACGGCGGCCACGGGCCCCCGCACCGCGGCGGCAGTCCTGTCCCTCGGAAAACGGGGGCTTCCTCTCCTGCGTTTCATGAGGCGCCCGGGATACCTGAGTGCCCTTTCATAGGTTCCAAGGACTAGAACCTTCTGCAAGACGGCTCAAGATGCCGCACTTCAGTTGAAACATTCCGAACATTCGGAGCGCGCTTCCTTAGTTTTTTCTGTTTTCACTACAGGTGCCCAAGCAATCGACACAAGGGTGTAACGTGCCAGCCTCGGCTGCAGTTTTCCAAACAAAAACAAGAGCCAAAAACTGAATTCTTTTTTGGAGCTGCAATTTTTGCTAGGTATATTTTTTAATTGGAAAGAAATGAAATCTGAAAATGTAGAACTATAAACAGGTTATTTTATAAAAATGTTCTAAAAGAATGTTATAAGACTTACAGAGAAAGTTGTTCATTTTGCTGTGTGATGGAACTCACTAAAATGCACGGAACTTTAAGAAAACACTATGGGTCTGTTAGCACACGAATAGAGTGTCCACAGTTTCAATCAACAGAAGTTTCCTTGACAATTCTCAGCACACTTGATTACTAAAACCATAGGCACCCTTTTCAAATGTAATATAACAAACCCTAAACAGAAATGCATACAAGCTGCAGTTCAAATCTTACAAATTAAAAACCCGTTTCGGTAATTTTCTCATTATGAGGATTTAAGACAATGCACAATATAAAAGTGTAAATTAATGTACTCTTAATAAAAATCAAAATGTATACTCTTCACAGGTGAACTAGTTGCTATTTTAAATATATAGCTAATTTAATTAATGGAGCAAAAGCAAACTACTACTATAATTTCAAAGCACAGTCTGTAAACTAATACATCTTATGATGTAAAAAATATTGCACAGTTTGGTATCCCAACAGTAAGCTCTGAGTCTCTCAAGTATCCCGCTCTCGGTGGAAAATACAGTATAACAAGAACTCGACACTCTAGAGTACAGCACTTTGAGGGTCAGAGCCTATGAATATTTTCTATATATGTCACTACCATAAACCAGCTGAGGAATGCCTATCACATGTTACCACGGTGAGTGAATACAGGGACGCCTACCACAATGTCTGGAACACAGGGACAAAGGCCACAGAGCTGTTTTGTGGCCCCAGAACTGTATTTGTAGGTTTCTGCTTTTGCAGGTGACCAAAAACAAAAGCAATCCTTCTTCTAAGCAGCTATGCAAATGTTTAAGAAATACAGTAGACACTTCATACATCTTCTAATGCTTGGAAGGCTTACTTTAAAAAAAAAATTACATTTTTGAAAAGTTTAAAATATACTGTTTAACAATGAAATAATTTTGAGACCAATACATGTTCAACTTTAAAAGCCAACAGAACTTCCAAAAAAATGAACACGGCACACACCTATCTTCCGCAGTACTCTAAATCACAGACAGCTTCAAAATCTCCGAGGCGGTATGCCGAATGTTTGGTCACAGGTAGGCTCCACCGTTACTGTCGCGCTGTACGCTAATATGCAGTAAGTAAATCTTGAAAACCATCCGCCAGGCCTGGATTCTTAGGCTTTAAAATCCTATGCTGAGGTCTTCCTGAGCCACTCAGTATACACACAGATCTGGAAACTTCATCTCATAGACTGGGACAGACTGGTACTGGGCATGCCCAGAAGTGATGGTCAGCGTTCCCGACGGGCTGGGGGGAGGACTGGAAAAGAAGGACAGGCATTGTCGACGGGTGCTCCCCAGAGCGCTTCACCGCACGAAGCCTTCCGATGGCGGCTGCCCACCTCGGGGGAGGCTCCCGCCCTGCTGGCGCCGGGCCGGCTACAGCGGGGACAGACCATCGTGCTGTCGAGCTGATTTTAAGTCTAAACCAGGCCTTTTCCTTTGAATACATGTACATATAACTTTAATAATGGGATTACAATCTACACAGTCTTGTAAGCTTGCTGTTTCACTAGTACAAAATCTTTCAATTATAAATCTATCACTCTTTTTTGATAACAGCATGATATTTCATTATATGGCTATATCGTAATTGATTTAATCCAGTGGATAAATGCAGGTTGATTTCCATTGTTCATTATTATAATTAATGCTTACAGGTCTATTCTTTTACTTACCTAATTTTATCCTGACTGATTAATCATCTCCTTGGTTTATTGTCACACAAACAGAATTTCTGGATCAAAGTGTACTCTGTCCTCACAATTCTGCCTTTGGTATATCCTGCCAGAATACCAGTCATTTATATGTCCAACATGTGAGTGTACCTATTCTCTTACATCACTAGAAATCTTGGGTGTAATCAATGTTTTTGTGTTTAAATTGGTCCAATCTGACAGGCGAAACAGAGTTCATTCTTACTGTTATTTTCAATTTTGGGCTACCACTAATGCTAAATACCCTCATAGATTTAGTATTCATTTTATGTTTCTTTTAAAATGACTTAACTATTTGAATCTGCTGCCTATATTTCTACGCAGATATCTTTTTCTTATCAATTTGGGAAACTAATTTTTTTGTCCTAAGATACAAATGCCTTTCCACAATTCATTATTTAATTCTCAACTTTTCTCTTTTTTTGCCAAATGCTTCAAGACCTGACAAAATTGCAGTGATTTTCTTACGATTTCTAATTTTTGTATTATGCTAAGGAAATTTTCTCCATACCAAGATTATAATTCCTGTATAAATTCTAATATTTCTATGTATGTTTCTAAACAGAGTTAAAATTTTCTATTTTGGGAGGAGGGGAGGATCCCGCCTCCCTCCCTCCCTCCTTTGCTGGCCAATAGTCATTAGCAGCTGTCCACACACGATTTATTGAACACCTGTTCTTCTCCCCCCAAATCTGAAATCTACTCAATTCTACTTACCTGCACCCAAGCCCAACCTGTTACAAGCACCAAACATCTACCATGTTTTCCCACCTGGAGAGGAAAGTGCTTCTCTGCTTTCTTCCCCCGCAGCATTTCCCTGGCTGCTTTATATGTGAATTCTTCCACAATGTCTTTAGAATCTTTGTTCAGTTATTAACCAAATTGTGAAGATTTGGGCTACAACTACAGAGCAATCTGCAGAGAACGGATGCCTTTAAGACAGTGACTTCCTACCCAGTGACAAGGTATGCGTTTCCGTGTACTTAAGTGTCTAATTGTACTTCAGAGATCTATGGTTTCATGATGCATATAGTTCTTTGAGTTTGTTAGTATTTTATAGTTATGAATGTAATTCAATGTAATGAATTATATATTGTAATAATTTTACATTATGTACAAATATTAACTTCATATAATTATCTAATTGTAAACTGTTCTTAATTAAGTTATTCAGTTGGTTACCTTATATTTTCCTGATATATTATCCTACTTTTAGCAACTAACAATTATTCTGCAATTACTGTTCCAGCATTTATAACATCCCTTTATGATTTTATTGAGGGATGATTTTCATAGAGTGAAATGCAGATATTAAGTATACTGTCTGACAAATACATAAATCCATGTAAATCACAGCCTCATAAAGATACTGAACACTTTCATCCTTAAAAAAAAACTCCTTTGTGTGCCTAGCCAGTCACTCCCTCCCTCCCCTCATGTACCCCCTACACACTGACGTCCAGGCACTATATCCTGGTCTCTATGACGAAGATCAGTGTTACTTGTTCTTAAATTTCATTCAAACCGTCTACACAGCCTACAGGAATGGCCCACAGAAACTACACTCCTTTATGTCTGATTTCTGTTGCTCAATTTTTTTTTAGAGTTATCCAAAAAAATATATTTCTTTTAATTGCTGAAAGCCCTTCACTATAGTAAGAATACCACTCGTGGTCTACTACCGTCTATCCATTCTCCTGTTGATGAACATTTGGTAATTATAAGAAAAGCTTTGAAAACATTCATGTACGTGTCTTTTTGTACACTCAGCTTTCATTTCTCTGGGTAAATGCTGAGAAACGGGACTACAGGATCCAGGGCAAGGATACATTTAACTTTATAAGGAACTTTATAAGGCTATGGTTTGCTAAGTGTTTACACCACTTTAAACTCCCACGAGCAATGCAGGGGAAGCTCTTTGATAATGTCTGATACACTGCACCCAGGGAAATCTTTTCTTTCAGATATTATGTCATTCAGTTCTTGAACTACAATGTGGTCCTTTTTCAGTTTCCATTTCTCTCTCAAAATACGTGTATCTTTTCCTTTAAATTCTCTGGGGTGTGCGCACGCATTTGTGTGTTAAGGGCCCTGTCTACTAATTCCAATGACTGGCTCATCTGAAGGGCTATTTACTTGCACCTTATTTTCCTGCTTTGTTTCACTGCATTTCTTATAACTTTTTTTTTATTGTACTAGGGTCAAAGTAAGTGAAAGAACAATGGAGCCTGAAGTATAAGATTGTTTTGTTTTTTCTTCAAGAATACAAACTCTTCCCTCTGTCTGGTGCCAGAGCGAGGCACATTAACAAGACAAAATATGTCCAACAGGCACTCGGAAGGTACCCTAAGGAGCCTGTGTAGCGTGCCTCGGTCATGTCAGCTATCCAGAACTGCTGCTTCCTAACTATGTGACCTTGGACAAGTTGCCTAACTTCTACATGCTTCTGTTTCTACACTTGTGAAGTAAAAATAATCACTACCTACTTTTTAGGTCTGTTGTAAATATTAAATAAAACACTTAGCACAGTGCCTAAAACACCGTAAGTGTTCAAAAATGTTGACAATTAGTAGTTAAGTATCCAGCAAATGCTATTAGTAGTAGTTTCAGTACTAACAAAACAGAATTAGTCATAACACTTATTCTAAAATATTAAATCTACATAGTTATGAAAGTGTGATTAAATGTAACACGGTGGTATCTAGCAATATTCCTTAGAGGAACATGGGTTATGAATTTGAATTTTGATTTTTCCACTCACTAGCTGGATGAACTTCGGCAAGTTACTTTACTTTTCTAAGCCTCAATGTCTTTACCTGGAAAAGAAAAAGATAGCATCTACCTAACTTTTCAGGGCTGTGGTGAGGATCAGCAAAAACAACCGATACAAAGCAAGTAGCATAACATCAAGTACACAATAGACATTTACGATTACAACTAACAGGCATCGAAGAGATGCCCACATCCAGCAATTTTCTCCGAATCTAAAGTATATCACACATTGCACATTTCAGTCCCATTCTTTGTTCTGAAATTTTGTGAGCGATTCTCAACTTATTGAGGGTTGGCAGGAATGGTGGGGAAGTGCCTAGAATAAGCTGTGAAAACATGCCTTGCATATGAAGCAGGAAGAAAGGCTGAAATAAAAAAACAAGCAGACTACAGCACATACCTGTCTTTTACTATAGGACACTGGGATTGAAGCAGAACAGACTTTATTGATCAAGTTAAAAATATAACAGATAAGCTGATGGAGAAAAGAAGTGCAGAAACAGGGCTCTTATCTACGTCTCCTCTGCTGCACCACTGCCTACGAAGGCCGCTTCCGCACTGAAGTCAATTAAGAACAGGCGGAAGCGCTCTCCTTAGACGGAACCCGGAGCTTGCCTCTCCCTGCGTCATGCGCTTCAGTTCTTAATAACCAATAGATACAGATTAACCAAAGTATACTCGATACCATGTTTTGGAGCATAAAACAACTTATAACAGACTCAAATGGAGATGACTTAGGAAAGCTCAAGGCAAGTTTTGTTACTGCCCTAGAAAGGACTCTGAGGTCAAACCACAAGACACTGTAGCTTTGCAGGTCAGAATGGTTAAACAGGAGAAATTACCTGGTTCAACACATCACTATAATGTGAGTCTTCCAAATTACACAAACAGCCTTATAAAAACACTTCAAAGGACAGCTAGAAAAGCCAGAAGACACCTGCACAAGAAATGGCATCAGACTCTGTCCAGCAAAGAGAATGGCTCCTAATACACATGAACCTATAGGACCTCATGTGTATCCTAAATGAAAAGCATAATCAGCCACAAATTTATTGGGGGCTAATAGTTCCCAGGTTGTTGTAGTTTTATTGCTGTTGTAGTAACAAATAACAAAACCCTTACCGTATAGTGAGTTCCAGTATTTGAGTAAGTCTATCGTGAAGCAAATTTGCCTATAAAAGAGAAAACATGTTAAGAACAAACTTACTATTTTCCAAATACCCATATGGATAATACATATGCAATTTGAAAGACAAAGCGTAACTGTAGCTATTATACTGAGAGTATAGAGAATGCTTTAATGTTCTGGTTTTGTCTGTCTCACGTGATATAAAGTTTCTCTTTTATTACTTTTCTAATCTCACTGGTAAAAACAAACCAATAGATACACAAAATAAAATACCGACAGCAAAATCTTTGAAAATCACTGCAAAAAAAAAAAAGTATCAAAGCAACAACAATCCTTAACATGTAGTCTGGGATCTCTCGTTTCCATCAGCTTATAGCATAAAAATAAACTATTTAGGCTTCACAGCTACCTATGCTTTTAAAGTTTTCGGTCCCTACCTGATACATTATGCTGGGTTCTGCTGATTTGCCTAAAAATGGAACCTACCGGCTAATTACCCAGGAAGTTCCCCCCAAACACCCTCCACCCCTGCCCCTTCAACATTTATTTACTTACTTTGGATTCACACTGTGCGGCTATTTCTTCAAAAGGCGCTTTCTGGAATTTCTCTATGACAAGGCGCCTCTTTTCCTTTTCCTGTTCTTCCATTCCATTGGTATCTATGTATATGTTTATAAATACCCGTTAGAAGGAACACAGGACTGTGCCAATGTCCACAGGAGTAAATGATATCAAAACCCAAAAGAAACAATATTTATAGGACTGCTTTTACGTGAAAAAAACCCAAAAGGTGTAACATGCTTGAAATGTCTTAATTAAGGCTGGAAAGCAACACATGCACAAAATTATTTAAACCTACGGGTTAAAACTACACAACACCCGTTACAGACTGCCTCGGTCTCCCTGCCAAACAAGCCAGGCCTGCTGGCCCCCTCCCTGAAGGGTGCCTCCTCCATGAGCAGTCACGCCGCGCACAGAGCGAGCACTGCATTCCAAGTCTGCTAAACCCGGTGTCGAATGGCACAGTACAGACAGCGTCACTCAGAGCCGCACCGTCCTGGCCTTTCCCATTTATTCACCGCAGCCTGAAGAGGGCTTTTTATTTTGGGATGACATGTGGCCTGTCTCGTCACAGGGGGTCCCTTCCTCCGCACAGACTCTGGCAGAGCTGGGCGGGCACGCACCCGCAGCGTGTTTTAGCGCCACCCTCGTTGGGTGCTGGCATGCAGGCTGCTTGGACTCGTGAGAGGCAGGCAGGCGGAAGGCTCAGGAGCCCTGGTCAGGTCAACGGAGTGATTTCTCACAGGCACAAGGAGGGTAACGAGCAGGGTAACGAGCAGCGGGGTGTAACGGGGTGAGAGAGGGGCTGGCTGCGTGGGGGAGGCTGAGAGGGCGCCACGTTCATTCTTGCCATTTCGCCCATGGGATCGCTGAGGCGGAGACAGGGACAAACCCTCCTGAGGTCACTCAGCTGGAAGTGCTGGAGCCAAAATTCATACCCAGGGTGGACTAACTCTGCAGTCTTCAGTGATCTTTGTATAAAATATTACTCTGATTTTTTTTTATAATTGTAAAAGCCAAAAGAATACAGCTGAATAAATCAATTATATGCTTACATAGAAATCAGCAGTGTGTGTATATATACACATACACACGTGTGTATATATACATATGTATATATGTATATATATTATATATGCATGTGTATATATATATATTTTTTGCCATATTGCCTTTATTTATTCTGGCATTTAAACATGTACTAAGATACACATAAACTATCAAAATATTAGGAGAGTTAATGAGTACAAAAAAATCTCACCAATTGCTTTCTTTAATGTTTCAAAGGTGATTTCTTCAGTGTTACTAACCTGGAGAAAAGTGATTTTAAGTAAAATAATTAAGAAAGATTAATACAAATATTACTTTCACCTAGTAAAAGTATATAAAAAAGTATATAAAAACTTTTTTAATCCTCATCCATTGATATGTTTATTGATTTGAGAGCGAGGGAAAGAGAAACATCGATGTGCGGGCAACACCAATAGGTCGCCTCCTGCACGCGCTCAGACAGGGGGCCGGGGGTTATCGAACCTGCGCCCTTTCTGATGGACGGGATGGCGCTCCAACCAGCTAAGCCACCCAGCCAGGGCAGTCACGGAAGAACTCTACAAACTTTTGTCCCTTTGTGTCGCCTCGATTTCTGATTATCCTCCACAGTGTCCTATGAGGGCCACCCTTTCAGTGGCCATGACAGCGGCCTGCTGCAGTGGTCCCCTACAAGCCCACACACTGACATTCGCGTCCCCTAGGCAACTCAGCCAGTGCTGAGTTAGAACCAGCCTCCCCTAATGTGATGTGCAAGAAGACCGCGGTCCGCCGGCGGAACTGCTTCCCAAGGGAACAGTGCTTGCCGATATTCAAGGCAGAGATTATACACAGCTTCCGCCATGGAGCACAGAAAAACTAACTGCTCTATAGTCTCTATGATTTTGGTACCACATACAGCTTACAAATCAAAAATGAAATAACCTACAACTTTAAATGGTTTAAAAGCAAGACTCACTACTTTGGGAAGCGTTCAATGAGTATAATCAACAGCTTAAAATAATCATACTCTGGGTCTTGTAAGGTCAACCACCAAGTCTTACTGTCCAGAAATACCCTTTTACTTGGGGTTTTCAAATTTCACTGTTGCTTTGAGATATGTAAAAGATTTGAAATCCACCACTTAATAACAATAAAAAAGTCAGTAATACTTTTTGCGGCACGAGCCCATTTTCAGGAGGAATAAATATATCCAGCCACTATATTATCTCTGAATAAAAATTAAGAAATGATAGGTTGAGTGTTTGCCTGGGGCTCTGGTCATCCCTACTTTTAGCTCATGCGCTTCTTTGCTAAGTCTAAGCCACAAGACTAAGGAAAGCAAAAGACTTCATGCTTTGCACCTTCATTCTCTGTAACACAAAGGCTCTGACTGGAAATCAAGCAGCAACGAACAGTTCCACTGCCTCAGTTTTTCTACTGAGGGTTCACACTTCTAGTTGAAGCCAGACTGAGCTTGGAAATCTTCTGTGACTTTCTTCTAGGTATTTGGAGCAGATATAAAAGATTAGGCTCTGGCTGGTCAATTATTTGTACCTAGAAGCAATCTAGTGCCTCAATGAAAAAACACACAAACGACTTTTGTTTTTACAACTGGCGAAGGGCTTGGACTTTTGAGAAGGCACCGTAGTACCAGAGAAAGAACACTGGAGATTTTTACTTATGACCTGTTCAGTCGGGATGAGGGAAAAGCTAACAGACTTCACCTAATAACTCTTTTCCGCTATTTGTTCTTGTTCTCCTCAATTTGGGTATCTGTGACTCAGTCTCTGAGCATCCATATTGAGTCATTCTGTCCCTGTCCTTTGAATGTCCTTTCTCGAAGTTGCTTCCAGTCCCCTGCTGGTCCTCCCCGCTCCGCCGGCAGGACAGAGGACTCCCGCCCGCCCCTCTCCTCTCCAGCCTCGCTGCTCTGGGTCCTCGTACTGGCCTCTCACTTCCAGCTCCTCTTTCCAATTCCACCTACTCGGCCTCTCAAATTCACTTAATGAAAGCACAGCTCTGAAGTGACACACCCACATTCCAGTGTCTCCCCACTTCCTACCAAGTTACATACAAAGCCTGAAGGCTGGCGATAACACCGTCTATAATTTGTCTTCAATCTTTTTTCCTAAGATCCCCTTTTGAGAAAGCTATTTTTTAAAAATTTTTTTTATAATAGTGTTTAATGATTAATGTATTTCGTGCAATGAAGCTGCTAAATGCAAGCCGCCTACTTCAGATAGTGCTCAGCTAAACTGGAATCTGTTCCACCCCAGCCGGTGTGGCTCAGTTGGCTGGGCATTGTCCTGTGAACCGAAACGTTGCTGGTCCGATTGCTGGTCGGGGCACATGCCTGGGCTGCAGGTTTGGCCCCCTGAGGCGTGTAGGGAAGGCAATCAATCGATGCTTCTCTCTCACATCCATGTTTCTTTGCCCTCTCCTTCTCCCTCCCTTCCCATCTCTAAAATCAAAAATAAAATACGTATTAAATGAGAACGTGCGCCAACTCTATAACTGGGTGTGCTGGGGCTGGGGGAAGTGGCGCAAAGGCACCACCCCAGAGGCGCTGCGACACCCCTCCTCTCTGTGGCCTTTGCCTCACTTGGGGCCTTCTGATCGGGGACTCCAACCGAGCACGGGCAACACCCCCGGGCCTGCCTGAAGCCTGCTGCTCCTCTTTTCCCACTCAGACCCCCTCTCACGCCACTTCCACTGATACCTCCATAGCTGTGCGGCGCCCAGCACAGCAGGTTCTGACTAATACTGACTCGATGGTAGAATTATTGTTTTGCTAGCACACATGCAGGGCTCTTCAGTTACATTTGGGAAAAAGGCAGGACTATATATGTCAAAAAAAAAAAATCTGTTACTTGTCCTAGCGCAAACAACAACCCTTTCAGCTCACCACTGCTTAATTCTGTGCAAAGACAAATTGATTATAGGTAACCTCCCATCACCTTCCACCCATTCCCCCAACAATGAAGCCCTGACTATTACACCTGTTAGAGAGCACAGCTGGTGCTGACATCAAACGTCACGCATGTCCATCACGCGCGGCAGTCACGCCCACAACGCTCAGAGAGGGCACCCGGCTCAAAGGCACCCCGCGACCCTGCGTTCTGCTACTTAAGCTGACCATGCTGCCTCAGGAGGCAGGGACGCCGCTATCATTTTCGCCATTTATAGTCTTGAATTAATTAAATGTACTAGTATATTTATAGAGATTTTCAGAAAAAGTTCATATATATAAAAGTTCACGTATGGCAATTTTTAGGAAAAATTTACTAAGTGATTCACAGTAAGCTAAGGTTTGAATTGCAAATGTTGAAACTGACGTACCTCATGGGGACCAGGTATTTCAACAGACTATAGTAACAGTGTGAGCTGTATCTAGAGAAAGCACCAGTTTGCTATGATCTCTATCTAAATGATCTTCTGACTGTTCTTTGTTATTAACCCTAAAAGCAGATATCAGATATGTATGAAGACTAACTGGGATTATGTATGCAAAATTTCAACTAATTTTGACCAAACAGAAGAGTCAAGTCAATGTACTTATTCATAGCCTGGTATTCTGTTACACCATTAACTGGTGAATACCTAACTGACACAAACTTCTGTTCACACCATGCAATTATTTAGTTTCCTAGCCTAGAAGGTAATGTATTTTGTCTTCTGGTATTTGAACAATCATTCCTAAGATGACAAATAAGATTCCATAATGGTAAGTGGGTTTGAAACTCCAACATACTCGAGGAAATCTTACAGCAAACTGTTCACTTAACTTTTCAAATGCTCAGTGTGAGGCATATTTGACTTTGGACTTACAGCAAAGAGAAAGGATCTTTAACAAGTTAACAAATGTATTAATGGACTTTTAATATAAAGTTCATGTTTAAGAATCCTCCTCCTATACTATCTTTATACAGATGTCTCTTCAGCTCATTTTATCAAGAGAGACCATCTGCAACAGTTTGAAGTGCTTTATATGTATCCTTAAAAGAAATAAAAATGGTTAACAAAAGTAAAATGGAACAATACCAGTCAACGCAACACAGTATGCTCTTGGCAAGATATAGTGTATAAACTAAGGCTTTAGAGATGAATTTCTTCCCTCGAAACATAATTTTACCAAATTCAGAAGCATTTAAAGAGCTAGTAAGACAGCCTCCTTTCTAGTAAGGAGCACAGCTATTAAATGGCTTAGATGAGGTGAACTGGGAGAAGATGCTTTTTCTTGAACCTTAAACTGGCAAGAAACTTTCAACCAATCCCAAAAGGCTAAGTTCCAAAATGAACACTAACTGCCTCTTAATGCCCTGTTGATAATTTTGTAATAAAGTTGATTGCTTCTACCTAATGGGGAGTTGAACCACACATAAGCTTGTCAGCTGTGCCCTGGCCACCAAATCGTTTTAATTCCTGAATATAAATTAACTGGCGGGGATGAGAAAGGGGTAGGAGAGAGGAGGTCGAGAAAGCATGAACTCAGACAACTTCCTTCCCCTTTTCTTAGATGGATATTCTTTTAATTATTTATATGGTACCAACTGAGAAATAATGAAATACCTAGGAAGGCAAACAATGAGTAAGTCACAAGGAGGAGGGTGACTTGACATGCTGGTACTTCGTCATTTTTACTTGACTATCAAAAAATTCTCTGGTGATTTGTGTGGAATGAGCCCCAGAGAGGGCCGCTGCTTTTTCTTCCTACCACTCAGGAGGGTACTCTTGTGCTCTATTGAAACAGAAGGAGAGCATTAAATCTTTGATGTTTCAAGTAAGTCTCAGTCCCCAATGAGTACATAGGCAATTGAGATGGCTTCACCTACATTAGATTATGTTTATTATCTAAAATGATACAAATGTCCCTCATAGATGAAGCTTTGAAACTTTCTAAAAGTGAGGAGCATCCGTCTCCACGTGAAGTGTCTAATTCCATTTACTCTCATAATTTATGTTTCATAAATCTTTAAAGATAGAATTTCAAGACCTCCTAATTTAGTATCAGGTCTTATGTGACATTTTTTACTTATATAAAAAAAAATCTTACTTGGTTCTGTCCTACAGATCACTTTATTACACCAAATTACAATGTGAAATCTAATAATATCATAAAACATGTGACATTTATGTATCTTTACAGGTAGCCAAAATGAGTTTACTAAAATAAATTACAAGTAAATTCAAACCTAAATCAGATTAATTTTTACTAATGACAGAAATTGGTGATTTGGGGATAATTTAGAGTTGCATTTGCTCCTTTTCAAAAGCCTGGAGGGGCAAAAAAATTTTTCGAATTGATGTCTACCTCAAGAAACTACTGCGTTATGAACTCACAGAGACTTACCACATCGTCAGACGGAACGCTGCTGGGTAAAATATCCACCTGAATGGATACGGTGTCCACGATACTTTTTCTTCTAGAAAGTCGATCTTCATCTAAAATAAAAAAATTTCCCCATTATATGCCAGTTAGAAATGAAATGCCATTTATAAACTACATATTACAGGTTTCAAAAAATTTCAGGAAATTAAGAGTCATGTTTGCACTTTCTGGATGAACACGGTGCTGCACACTCAGGCTGCAGCTGCACACACACTGTGTAACCAGCTGCCACTGCATCTTTCCAATCCTGCTCTGCACGTACTGCGCTTTTATTCCACTGACGAACTAGAAAGGAAAAGGCGAGGATAAAGAAACCAGTTTCTCTCTTATTGCCTACTCCTCCCCTCCAGAGCAGCCTGCCACGGGAGTACTCAATGCTATCAATCCGACTTGGTCGTTTACCCTTTTCCTGGACACACACAGTAAGGCTGCAGTTCCTGGCCTGTCTGTGGTTAGGGGAGACGTGTAACTAGTTCCGGCCCAGGAAGCATGAGCAGCGTTCCCAGGCACGGCTGCCCCATCAGCGGGATTCCAGACACGGATGATATGACGATATGCACACTCTGACTGAGCACAGGTAAGTCTTCGCTGTTTTAACCCTCCAAGGAGCTGCGACTGCCTGTTACCGCAGCGCGCCTCAGGCAGCTTTCTCAATCCCAGCACCAGCAGCAGCTTAGGCCGGAGAGCGGGCGCTGTGGGGAGCCGTCCCGTGGGCTGCGGCGAGCTCGGCAGCATCCCGAGCTGCTACCCATTAGATGCCAGCAGGCCTGTCCCAGCGCTGGTCACCGAAAATGTCCCCAGGACGAATGTGTCCCTTGGATGGACAAAATCACCCTCAGCGGAGAACTACCACCCTAGTCCAGCCCGACGGGTGACAGACCCCTCGGTAGTTCCCCGACTGCCACCAGCGTGTCGCAGGCCTCTCAAAGCACCGAGCGCAGCACTGCGGCGAGCAACCCCCCGCCACCTGATGAGCTGAACCAGCCTTCTGGGCTCTCCTGTCTTATCAGCGCCAACAGCAACTTCAGCTGCTCTAACTCACCTGGTGTTTATGTCATACGTGTGCCTTTCCTCCATCCTCTGCGCACGCTCTACCATGCCTGCCTCCCACGCTTTTCTACCAACAGAATCCCCTGCTGGAAGCACTTTATATTACCTGTCCTTCTTTACGTCCCGCCAACCAGAGAGATTCATATCTTCCAAGGCCTCACTGAACATATTGCTTCCTTAAAAATCTTAAATATTACTCCACTTATTTCTACTTATCCCTCTTTCTTCTAGGTACAAAAATTTCCTGTCAGTTATGAGTGATCTTCCCTTCTTTGGTCATTATTACCCTTCAGGCATCTACTGGGCCTTGTACTACAGAGACCTAAGTTAATGTCTTACCTCCCTGACCCAAGATCAGATTAATTTTTACTAATCAGTGACCGACGCCCTTTGCGTGTGTCGCCCAGGAGTCCCTCAGGTTCTGCTCTAGGTGAGGCTGGAGGCACAGAGCTAGCACACACTCAGGTGACAAACTACTACGCCGTATTGCCATGCTAGAGTTTTCAGGTTACTGTTTTACTGCACGTGGCTATTACCGAGCTGACAAGACGCTGCCTTCTTTCTGTTTTTCCCTGGCGATCATGCACTTCGATACAAATTAGCAAACACAGTGACAATGGAACTGCTACTCAATAGCACGTGGTCACCACTGCAGACCTGCTTTTACCCCCAGGAGGGCCAGCTTCCAAGGTCCCACTGGAACTCAGGATGAAGAATAAACAGCCTGGGTCACAGAGAGCCCCTGAAAGAACGTCTAGGTTAGTGTGCGCAGGCTGAGGAGGCTGCAGAAAAGGGTCAGTCGAAGACTCAGAGACAAAGGAGCAGAGGCTCGGGGCGGGAAAGGGACCACCGAGTGGCAAAAACCGATGGGAACAGAGGGGAAGTATAAAGGAAAGAGAGATCAAAAGATTCCAAATTGTAAAAGGGAAGGAAATAAACTTTCATGGGAAACTCTAACAGTATATTCTTGAAATGCTGGGGTTTTTTTGACTTATATAATCACCTGCTTACAGGTTCCCGCGGGAACGCCACAGCACAGCTACGATCGGTGCCTCGTACGCCCTCACAAACGCAAGGCCCCTGGCACAGAGCTCGCGGGCGACAGCGCCCCGGCCCCCACGGCCGCCTGCGCCTGTGCCCGCGCCGCCCTGCAAGCCCACCGCGGCCCCCGGGGACGGCCCCGCCCCGCTGACCTGGGGGCCGCCCTGTTACCGCCCCAGGGTCTGAGTACAGGCGCCCAGGGAGACCCTCGCTTCGCTCCCCTCCCCGACAGGGGGCGGAGGCGGTCTCAGACACAACCTGCCAGGTCCTCCCCATTTTCCACCCCCCTCCTGTGTCTGCTGTTTATACTGGTGATAATCCGCAGTTCCCCTGACGCGCAGGGCCCTGCCTAACTCCTCCAGCGATGTCCTGCCGCCACCTGGTGTGTCTATGAGCGATGTGCACAACTGCGCTCCGACGGCTAAGGAACCGGGAAAACGGTCTGGCACGAGCGTAGCCAGAACAAAAGTCCTCTCAATGAAGTTTCCATGGTGATTTAAAAATAAGATATAGATACGGACCTAACTGTGTATAATAAATCATAAATGTAATTAGGGCTGCCATACCACTCAGGTGCCATTCAAAAGCTACCTGGGGCCAAATGGAATTTCAAAAAGAAGTTACCTACACAAAATTCAAAATACCATAGTTCAGCGCTGATACTACTCACACAGGTGTACTTTTTTGGTCGTACAGGAAAACACAAAATTCCATCTAAAATTAATGCTTATTTAACAGAATAAAAACAAACTATAAGTCAAGGAATAATGAAATCATTTCATTATTATTTCATTATTTCTTTTGGCATATGTTCTTGAATCCCTTAATTTTCAAAATGAGTATCTGACGGTCACACAGGCAAAGAGAAACGGAACACCCAGCTGACTGTCTCACCCGGTGTCACCCCTGCCCCTCTGACTGTTCTCCGTTAACGCTGGGCACCTACACCACTGGCTGCTCTAAAGTACCGAAGTCTTTGTGAGTCAGAAACATCTTATTCTGTCTGAGCAACTTCTCTGCAGTTTTACAGTTTAGGTACTGAAATACTCAGGATTCTTCCAGTCGGGGATAAGGAGGCATTACGAAAGGGCTGACACCTCTTTCAGGGGTGGAAGGAAATGGAAAAGAGCAAACTACCTGTTGAAGAAAAGCACCAGAACATTCACTAAAAACAGTTATGAGCTAAAGGACCAGGGTACAGGGAGTAAGCGGTGGAAATAAACTGCAGCTACGGGGAGGGTAGAGCAAAATAACAACCGAGCTTGTAAGAACATAAAATATGCAGGCGCTGGCTCCATTCTCTAAAAGGCACGTTTTATTAAGCTGTTTTCCTAGAGGACAGGTGACGGGAAGGGCAGGCCAAAGCAGCCTTGATTTACCTTTGTGTTTGTGCCTGGGCTTATGAGGTTTTTTGCCTGAAGAAAAGAGAGCTAAATCCAAATTATAAGAATAAAATATTTTAAAACTCTTTTAAATTACAATGCTCTGCTAATGTTTTCATTTTTAACATTTTTATTTCCCTATGGAATTCATGAAGAGCAAAATCTTTTATAGTACAGGATTAAAAATAAAATGCAAAAGAATTCATTAACATCTCAGACTATTATGAACAACTATCATAGTAATGAATGTATATATTTTGGGTCCACATTATAAAAGAGGTAAGTACTTACAAAGACTGCGCTGCTTTTAGTGATTATTCCATAAAACCACCTCACTGAAATCAAACAGTTCTCTTCTACAACAGAGGTATCCCCAAAGGAAGAACTAGTTCCACCAAATTTAGTATTTATATAATCACCGAGTAAAATGAAAGTGGAACACAGAAATTGTTTGATTTCAATTTCTAAAATAAAAACTGCATGTAAGACGCCCTGCAGTTTTGCCTTGAAACACAAGAGAATTGCTGCATTCAATGAAAAGAACAGGAGGAAATGCATATGTGTAGAGGGAAACGTATTCTTAACTTAAAAAGTTTGAATATTTCTTTGCCTAGCAAATGATCTGCTCTCTTTCAAGTGACAAAAGCTGCTTAATTCATCAGGCTCAATGGACACAAATAACTAATTAAACAATTTGCACCAATTTCCATGAGTTAAATTCAATATTGGTTGAAGAGGAAAGCTCTTGCTTTCCTTCTTTGTTTAAAGTATATTATTATTTAGTATAACAATAACTCAAGGACTCAATCTGTTCTTGATAAAATCATATACAGGGGTGGGCAAAAGCAGGTTAATAATACTGTAAATAATACAATTAATAATATTACAGGGATAAACTATTTCATATACTCACACCTGTAAACCTGTAAAGCTCACCCCTGCATGTATGTATCTTTAGAGATTTACTAACTGTTTCAAGAGGAAAATTTAAAAATACAAGTCAACGTCCTGCAGCATTTGAAAAAGCTGTGGCACAGTAGGTAAACAAACAACTAACTTCCATTGCTAATTGGGTATGGAAAAATTATTGAAACACATCACTAGAACGAGTCCCGGTCAGCCTCCCCTTACCTGTGACCTGTGGTACGTAGGGCACTGACAGTCTCTCGACACTATAGCCACTTCCACCAAGTGACTCTGCAATCTTGTTGGTCAAGAAGTACAAATCTTTGTCATGCTTCTCTAAGGATTTTGGAAGCCTGTCAGGTCGATCAAACAAAAGTCAGGCAGTGTTATTTAAATGAGCAAAAGTAAGTAGACATGCAAACATTCTAGGTCACAGCCTAACTCTTGTGAACGCAGGCTGCAGTCAGCAGCAGTGTGTTTGAGAGGAGTGACTCGAGCTCCTCACAAGCACGCGGTCTGTGGCCCCTCACAGCGAGAGTTCTGCAGCGATCCGTCCCCAGCCACCCTCGGGGAGGGGGCGGGCCTTGCACGTTGTTCCGGCGGCATGCCCACGCTAAGTGAGGAGGAGGACTGAATTCGGCTTTCACTTTCTGGCTAACTAAATGTCTACTGAGAGAAGAAACTAAAAATGCAGTTTACTGATAGTTAATGGGAAGACATGTTAGCTAGCCAGCTGATACGGAGCACTTGCCCCTAATGAAATGAACTTTCATTTTCCTTTGAAACTCCTTGGTTTTATCTTATGCTGACACTTTCAATATTAAACCACTTTACAGCCCAGAAATGTGAAGAGTATACTGTTCTTTCTTTTGGTTTGGAGAGCAATGAAGAATGCAGGGTATAAATTATTAATTTTCCTTAATAAATTCTTTCTCCCACAATTTTATGAGGATTGTTATCTCTTGTTTGAAAGTCTTGAACAGGATATTATATTCCCTTAAAGCAGGGTTTGTTTATATGAAAACATGCTATATTTAAGAGATATATCTCCATATTAAAAGATGAGTTTTTCATCAAAGCTTGATCTATGTGTACCTAAGCCCTATGCTTATCATGTACAAGAACTTCATAGCAAGAGAAAGAATTTCGACGAATTGAATGTCAGAAACACAAAATATGATTATTATACAACACCAGAAAATTATTCTAACAACAGTTTATTCCTTTATAATAATCACTGACCGCCCCCTCCTCGAAATATAATGAATTAACATACATGCACTTATCTCTGAAAATATGCTCTGGCAGAAAATAAGGGGCTTCCATAGTTCGACTTTCAATGACCTGAAATATATCCAAAGACAAAACAAAAAAATCAAAACCTCACTTCTCAGGACATTGCTATGAAAATGTGGAAAACTAACAAAAAAAAAAACCAGAAAGTAAATATAAGAAATACCATTACTTTATTTTGGGATTTAAACTACATTTACAGCTCAAATGCAGAGTTCACTTTGTTTTTACATGTATTATTTTGAAAACTCATCAGATAACAAAATCATGTAGTAATACATGTAGTAAAAAACAATAATACCTAACATCTGATTAAACCTGCTGCAAAGGGGTAAGAACACATTTTCTCAGTAGCCCCTGTCCCTGAAATCCCTTCGCAAAGCGCCAGGCCCATGCTGAGCCCCTCCTGAGTGCCTGCTGCAGCCCATGCGTGACGTCTCGGTCTGGCTCCCCTGTCAGCCGGGAGCCACCCAAAGGGCATGCCCTGCTCTCAGAATATTTCTCTCTCTAACAGCAGGCATTGCGTATTCACCCAAACGCTTGTTTAGGGAGTGAAAGGGTTTTCTTTCTCAGAATGCTCTAAAATCCGACATTTTAGCCAGGATGGAGAAATGCACAAATTCCACCAAATGAGGTTCCCCTAACTGTTATTAAATCATGCAAGTAATTATTAAATGACTTACTGCTGAAAAAAACTAGCATAATTGAATGACAAAGAACAAATTTCTGAGAGGCACATTAGTTATTCAACTTTTGAGATCTGGCTTACGTAGGTTGGTTTAAAACAATAACAACAGAAATAGCATCATTAATCATTTAAGAAAATTGAGATCTTAAGATTCATAATTGCTGAAAAGAAAGAAATTACCTAAGAAATCACACGAAGTAGCCTCGAAGAAAACCAAGTATTCTATCCAACCACTATGTAAAATATTCTAACAAAATAATAGGCATCACAGAAAATACAAGAGTTACCTGTAGTTTTAGCTGTAGTTTCAATTTAGTCACTGCATATTTTTATAGAATTATCCTAATTTAGGCAACATAAACATCAAAATTACAATGAATAATCACTAAAAGAAAACGAGCCATCTTGTATAGAAAGTCCAACCCCGCTGGGCTTCCTGAACACCTGACCTTGGTGACGTGCTGGCAGAAGGCAGGCACCGCGATCATCTGGCTCACGAAGTTGAGGTACGCAGCGACCAGCGCCATGATCCCGCAGCGATGGAACATTGGCAAGTTGTCCTCATTGATGATCGCACTGTCCTTTAACCAAAACAAGCACAGCACAAGGTCTTATGCTCCATCAGTGTCTCTCTGATTGTTCTGGAAAACTGCAGGTAGTTTGGAATGCTAACAAAAATGTCATCTTATATGAAGTTTTGTTTGTTTGCTTGTTTAATTCTGAAAGGAGAATAAATTCCCCTTTACAGAATTAAAATCTCTCAAATAGCCTTTCCTAAGGAAAATCTCTCAAATAGCCTTTCCCAAGGGAAAAAAAGTACACATATATTCAATGTATACATTAATATATCACTCTCGTACACATACATTATAAATAGTCTCATGACCTACTGTCCTTGTAGTCCACAATATGTAAAGCCCTACCAAACAACTCTACAGATACTATTTAATGACTACCGTCCCCACTCCACTCCAAGTAGGAGCACGGGGACTGCGTTGTCCTAGGGCCGTGAACAATATTTAGCACACAGTCAAATGCTCACTAGACATTTGTTAAAAAAAAAAGTGTCCCTGGTCACTGTCTCGAATATTTCAGATTTAAAATAGATGCCTTCCTTTAAAAATTTATGTGCTTGGATAAAGGCACCACCACTTTAAAGATGATGTGTATGTCATACAAAAACGTTTTCTTCAATGAAAAGTAACAAAAGCATACCTGCAAAGCGATGGCTAAGCGAATGAGATCAATAACCACTTCTTCATTGGCCAATTCAATAGTTATAAGAGCGAGAGAAGTATAAAGTAACTCATAGTTTTTCTGAACATTGTCTTCCTCTTTACAGCCCAAATATATGTGGCGATAGAGTTGCTGCCCATTCTGAAAAGGGTAATGACAGAGGAAAGAGATGAGTTTGCTTAAAATGCAGTAAAGGTGATTTCACATGCATATAACCACCTGCAAAGTAGCTACCTTATTGTCATGGAAGAGAGATTTAAACTGATAATTAGGTGGTCGAACTGCAGTCCCACCATTAACATCTACAAATATACTGGTATACAACTACAAACTAACATTAGAGATGAAGAATAAGCCTGAAATAAAAACAGCAGTTAAGACATAGTTTTAATGTCAACAATGAAAATGTTTTTAGTAATAATTGGCAAAGACAAAAGCAAATCGGAGACCGGTATGAGAAATAACTAGAACGGATGACAGAATCACAGGAGTCCCGGCGACGGCGGAGGACATGCGGCGGAGGGGGCGGTGCTCGGGCGCCCTCGACTTACTGCGCAGCCGCCTTCGGGGGGCCAGGGGCCGTCCAGGGAAGAGCCCCCGCAGCTTCCGCCACACATGGGCATGGGGTTCCCAAAGGTAAGTCTAAAGCCAGCACATAGGGCCAAGGTTACAGAAACTCCGCAGGGGTTGCACAGAGGATTCCCCGAAACCAAACCCATCCAAGTAAATGTGTTAGTAAAGGGTGGCTCCATTTCAAGGTCATACAGCAATATAAAACTACCCAACAATTTAAATGGCTTTAACTTGCATTATTTTTCAGAAGACAGTCTTACCTTTTTCATGAAACTTGCATCTTGTCTACAAATTTTTTCTCTTTTGATCTTCAGATCAGCTACATCAGGTATTATTCTAGAGAAAATCAATGGATCATTTTTTAATGAATAGCACATTTAGTTATAATATCATCTCTTACGTGACAAATCAATAGTTATACTTAGGGGCTACATAACACTCATTTCAATGAGCATGTTAAGTAACCTATATGGAATGATACCACTGAATTAGCATATTTAATTAAGAACTCACAAAGTAATCTTGACTCCTAATGCTCTAAGTTTAAGCAATATCAAAATAAAATTCATGTAACCAGTGACCACTAGTAGTTAAGATCTCTGAAAAGACCTCCAAACAACTGCTGACTTAAACTATTTAATAATTAAATTAAACTATATTAATAATTAAATTGAATTCAGAAAACCTAAAAATCCTAGATGAAAAAAATCACAACAGTTAAATACATGAGCGTAGAAACTGAAAAACATCATCGTTAAGCCTATTTCAAGATGGCGCAGTACCTGATCCCTCGAAGCTTTGCCCTGTTGTCATGGCGATCCATGAGATTATGCATCACTTCCAAGACTAACTGTCTCAGCTCATAGTCTTCCATGAGGGATGTTGATAACAGCGGATCCAGGAAAGACCCTGGCAGCGCAGTAACAATTGTCTTGGCTTTGTAACCAGAGGTGACCTGATTGTGGGGAGAAAAGTCAAAGGAACAAACAATAACCTTTGGCATGAGTCTTCCTTTGGTAAAATTCTCAGACTGTTTGATGAGAAGCGTAAACTAAGGGGAGCAACAAGTATGAACACAAGCCTGAAGGAAAACCGGGAAGAATTCTGTACGATAATGAGGGTTGTACTGAATTTACAAATCCTCATTCATAAAGAGAGTAAACTTAGTAACAACTCACATTTCCCACATGCCAGCCGCGCATCTAAGACTATGCGTACGTCAGCTGCATCCTCACCACATCCCTGTGAGCACGCCTGTCCCCGGCCTCACACGAGAAGGCTGAGGGTCAGGGAGGTGACGCGTATACGGGGTAGGTATATACAGTGACGGATATAAATGGATAAAGGAGATTAGGTAGCAAATGATACAAGAAAGGGCTGAGAATGTTTAAATTCGTAAACTATCATTTTATTTTAAATTAAGCTGCTTAGGTTAATAGGGATAAATTTTCAGTTTGGACAGCTGTACTTTTAGGTACTTGATTTGACATTTCTGGGTGAATCCCTACATTCTAAGTTGAAAGCTGTTAAAGAGCATACACTTAAGTACCGTTAAGCATCTTTACCGTGCCCCACAGACCTCCACTCAGCTGCCTCAGTGGCACAGTTAGGATTAGGTCAGGGGGATTTACTCAGGGAATTCGTTTAATAAAAAACTTAGCACCAGATGAAATTTCAGTTGGTAATTTCAATTCATATTTACATCTGCAAATGTACCTGGAACATCTAATATTTGTATTTGGGCATGTGTCACAGGATGGAGGGGACCCTGTAAGTCAGAAAAATTCATGGGATAATTGCTACCCACCTAAAAAATAAAAATATATCCATGCCTCACACCGCATATAAAAATAATCTTCAGATCAAAGTTTTAGATGTAGAAAGCCAAATTTTAAAAACTTTTAGAAGAAAATATAAACAAATGTGTCTGTATCTTCAGAAGAGGAAAGCAGTTCTTAAGATATAAATAAAAAAGAATGCAGTACATAGGAATGGATTGATAAATCTGGCTATATTAGAATTTAAAATTTCTTTATGACAAGTACCATACACAGAAGTAAATACGAAATAACATACTTTCATACTTCTCCTTGGTATGAAATATTTAAGAAATGTGATTATGTATGAGAGATGTTCAGAATAAACTTTAAAAGCCTTGATTTGAAAAGGACACATTCCAAACAACACGCTCCTACTCGGCCTCAGCATTGTGCTGGGTGTCGTTGGATCAAAGATGCATACACTGCCTATAAAACAAATACAGAATCTTGCATTTCAGGTGTGCTTTTCCTTCTCAGCTATTTATAGCTGAATTCTTTTCCAAAAGAGAAGCCGTTACTTGGTCAATATGTGAAAGAATAACATGATATTTTAGACAGAACATTGGATTTCAGGTCCAAGTTCCATGCTTTAGCTCCGTGACCTTGGTGAACCTCCTCCGCTCCTTGCACTGAACATTTCCAAGCCCAGGCATCTTCACCTCTAAAAGGACAACGCTTCCTGGCATGTTTCATCATTGTGAATGTCAAATAAGATGATACGAGAAGTAGGAAAAAACAGCAAAAGTATAATAAAATAAAAGAAAATTAAAGCATAATACTTAATTACATAAACCACAGGAAAAAAATGAACCATAAACCGCAGACTATGTAAGAAAAGGAAGCTAATAACAGGAAACTGTTCTTTTCACTTCTTCAATAATTAAAGGATAGATGTGTTCTTCACCTGTTGTGAATGTCTTACCATAAGTAAAGATCTCAGCAACATGATCTGAATGCGCCTGGTTCCCAGATCCCTAAAATACACAACACGCAGACATTACCTTATCAATAGTAATTAACAGCCACATTACTTCACATTTACTTATTATTTGCTGATTTTAAAACTATTCATACAGGCTAGGTAGATTTTAATAATATCTAAGTCATGGCTCACTTTATACTCTAAATTTCATATGAATTAAAGGGTTGTATGTAAAAAAATCAAATTTAAACAAAAAACATTAAAAAGTTACTAGCTGTCGAAGGAAAGAAACCTAATGCATGTAAATGACATGAAAATTAAAACATAGGAATACACACCAAAACAACATAAATTAAAAGATATAAGTTGGGGAATTTACTTACTATAAATATAATTGACTAATATATCTAATACGTAAAAACAGATAATTCAAAAACAATTAACAAGTGGAAAAGGGTTATCTAATTAACGGTCACAGAAATATAAATCAAATAAGACTATTATTTCATTACTAACGTAGCAAAAAACACAAAAGTATTTATAAACTGAAGCTTTAGCATGTTGTAAAATCAGGTCAAATCTATAAAATGAAAGGATCAAAACATAGGATATTTGAAATCACTTTCAGTTATAGAATTCTAGGAATAGGTCAATATTCCTGCTGCATTGACATTATTAATTTTTTTTACAGGAAACTTGAAGCTTTATCCTAAAATACCTATGTATATAGACAACGTCCAGGCTAAACAAACTTTCCGCCTGGTCAATATAAGAAAATCAGAGAATTTATAATATACTAAAAACTGATTCTAAAAGCATACAATGCTGGCGAAATTCCTTAGTTACCTTATAACATAAAAATACTACTTTCCGTAGGATTTTTGTTGCTAGTAATTAAAAACCATACAACATTTTCTAGATTTCTTTAAAATGAAATCAAACCAATATTAAGTTGAAGTTTATTGCTTGAACACTTAGGAAAATTACACATGCATACCCTAGTTGGCTGATATCCAAAGTATGGGTGGACGTTCCAAAAACTGGCACTTTCCCCATAATGAACATCATGATTTCTGACCTCTGATAATCTGGTAGGTTACTTCCAAAAAATCCTATAAAATGTTAAGATAAATTTACAAATTAAAAAGTTTACTTTTCCATATAGTAAAAAATTATATAACCAAAGCTTTCACTATGTGGTAATACAATGTATTTAAACTCTAATGATACTATAATTTAACTTACCTAAAATCATTTAGTGATACTCCATATAGGATTTATATAACGGACTAAGATAAAATCAATGTCTAAAAGTCTTTTACATATAGTTAACAGTGGCAAACCATCATCAATTTGAGTTGGAATATTAGAAAAAGGAAAAAAAACCTTTTGGTAGTATTTCTGATGAAACTCTTGTTCAAATACTGTGAACCTAGATTCTTATTTTGCTAAAGAAGTCAAAAATTAGGTCACTACTTTGGTTTTCTAGGACTGTTAAATGTTTTAATATGTCATTATAAAGGGCCAAGATTACAGTTTAACTCTGAGTTACTTCAACATAGATAACTTAGCTGATGTTAAGAAATAATAACTTATTTAATTGTCATTTTTCTCATGCATTCTTGGGTTTTGTGGATATTTTAATTTACCTGCTACAGCTTTTGAATATTTACTTCCTGGTCACAAAAGATTTATATTAAATTAACATTTACTCAAACTTCAGACTTTGTTGTTTCTTTGAAAGATCAGAACAGGTATCAAATCATGGCTGTTTTTGTTTATATCTTTAAATGTAACATAATCATTACAGAAAAATTCTGATTTATAATATTCCTTTAAGAATAAATTAACTCTTCAGCTTCTACTATTAGAGTAAATAATAATCTACTTATGCAAACTCAAATTATTCTACTCATGATTTTGATTGGACATGAGGTTAAAAATAATATCCCATTGGTTAAAAATAATTTCCCATTATCACATACTTTAGCAATAAAAGAATCTCATGATTGTCATACTACTTAATCTGCATAAAATATATTATTCTAGCTAACATTTAAGGAGCACATATTTCTGGGTTAATACACTACTTTGTATTTGGACCTCACAACAACCTTATGAGACTAGGTACTATTACTATCTGTTTCCCCTTATGGGAGTGAGGATAAGAAAGGTTAAGAACTCAAACAAGAAACTAATATTAAGACCTGAGATGAGGGCTACTACTCCTTTCCAAATTCTATGCCATTATTACTTTCTACTTCCTCCTTATAAGATACTTTGAAAGTTTTTGAAGAACCCAGTTAGAAATATTCCTAATCACTATACTAAACTGGACACTGATTTTCTGTTCCAAGAAAGTTTGTCATTATCACAAGGACATAAACTCTCCAACACGACCAACTGTGAGGCCAGTCCTGAAAGTAACTCATTCTCTATGCCTGCTGTTCGTTGGAACGGCTCAATAAAAAATGCTAATGACCAGCGCCACCCCCGACCCCAGAAAAAAAGAAGACCCAGGGAGCTCTGTGCTCCATTATTTTAGAAGAAAGAACCTGGCCAACAGCGCCATAACTTAAAGTGCAAAAGCTACAGCAGCCTGTTCCGTGGGCCACCAACAGAAATACCCAGCTGATCTGATAACGGCCAGAACGCGGAGAACTTCTACAAGAAGATATTGAGAAAATCAGCAGTGTGATTTAAATAAAAATCTTACTCTCTGTGCTACACTGTATTTCCTTTCGGTCATGTTTTAATTTTCACATATTATTTCTGAATGTGTTATGTCAGAGAATTATTGCTTGAGTCTGTTGTATGTATGTTTTATAACAAAATACCTGAGAAACAATAAATTAAACATTCTAAAGTAAAACAGTAACACTGCATTAATTAAAAGTTGCAAAAGCAATTTATATTAACTGTTAGAACAAGATGAGCTGATTTGAAATACCATATTAAAATATCACTGAAAATCCATAAAAAATGCAAATAAATTTAATAGTCATGCCCTGGCTGGGTAGCTCAGCTGGTTAGAACATTGTCCTGATATTCCAAGGTTGCAGGTTCAATCCCTGGTGGGAGCACATACAAGAAGCAACCAATGAATGCATAAATAAGTGAAACAATAAATTAATGTTTCTCTCTCTCTCTCTCTAAAATTAAACAAAGAAAATTAAGAGTCACCTTAAAAGCTAGTTTTACCATACACTGATACTAATTGTTTTAAGCAATGACTAGAATACCTTTCTTGCTTTATTGAGATTTCATGGTAATATTGAACTTACTACGGTTTCTTTTTCAGTCGGTCCAAAAAATCTTAACCACCTATTATGTGTGTTGAGTAAGACACACGTGGGCCTCTGCTGTCATGAGGACAATCAATTTCTATGCACGTGACGAGGCTGTAACCAGGTAAAACAGAGGCACCGCACCGAGCAGATCAACCAAATGCCTCCATGAGGTGAGAGCGCTACATGCACATCATGAAGCCGTAGCACTGGCCTGGGTGTGTATACGTGTCCAGTAAATAGGTGCTGAATACACAATGCATGTGTGCATAACCATGGGACTTTAGAAGTAAGATGACAAAGAGAAACTTTGTATTATATATTCCAAAGGACTATAAACAAGGAGCTCACAGGGAGGGAAATTACCCAGATAAGGGTAAAAGCTGAGCACCAGAATAAATCGATCCATGATTCTATTATTAAAGACACTGTTAGTGACCATTAGAAATTAGGCACTAAACCCCAGGAAGACAACTTAATTTTGAAATTATCATAGCAATTGTGTAGTTACATTAAAGTATGATCTGGGTATTCTGAAGAAATCTAAAGTATGGTCTGGAAATTCTGAAGAATTTGAGAGAGAGAGAAATGGGAGGGGAGGGTTAAAGTAGAAAAAGTTTGCTTGCTTTAGTCTGTGTTTATACACAGTCAGAGCATTTCATCTCCCAAAAAGCTCTCAGGGCCTTTTTTGTTTTGTTTGTTTTATCTAAGGAAGCTCTTTACCTTTTTACCCTTTATATTTTCATCACTGAGTTTAAAAAAAAAGAAAACGGCCCATGACATTAAAGCCCAAGACATCGGACCCCTGGTCTCCCTGGTCCCTAACATGTTCCGCCCCCGCTGCCAGGCGCCCGCTCCGGGAGAAGAGCTGCCTGCGCGGGTGCAGGAAGGACCAAGTGGGCCTGGGCAGCGCACACAGGTGAGGCTCTGCTCCAGAGACGGCGGTGCGGTGGGGGGTGGGCTACAGAGACACAGAGGGCAGCTGGCAGGGGCTCCCCAGGCCCAGCCTGGGGCAGTCTGAGCACCAGAAGGTAGTAAGTATGGGATGAATGATGAAGCATGGAAATATAAACGCATGAGCTCCCCCCAGTAATAAACAGATGAATGCCCACGTCCCTGCCTCCACACGGAGGGGAGACCGGGGCTCTTGCCTGGGGCGTGGCCCTGAGTGCCGCCTGACAGCTGGGGTGGCCGCGCGGAGCTGGAAACCCGCAGTTTTGCAAGCAGCCTGGGGAAGGCCGGTTTGGTAAGAGTTGGGAATGGCCACTAAACCTCGGGGAAGTGTGGGTGAAGAGCAGAATTACCTGCCTGGCCTAGAAGTACCTTCTCAGAGACTGCTTATTATCTACAGGGGGCAAAACAGATACCGTACAGCCGAGAAACAGAACAGCACTGAGTGATCAGTTAACTTCACCGAAGAGATGCAAATGAATGTTGTGATACTCCTCCCTACGTGATACTGGGGGAAGAACATTATCCAGCGAGGAGTGCACGGCCTGAGTTTAATCATGAGCAAACACCAGACTAACCCAAGTGAAGAAATTAAAAAAGCGGGGTGGGGGGCTTACTCTTAAAATAAGGCCCATATCATAACAGAGTGCTCCAGACTTAAGGAACTAAAGAACCATTGCAGCCAAATGCACGGTATGATCCTAGACTGGACCCGAGACCAGAAGTAAATAGAGGGCATTGTTAGGTCAAATAAAAAAAAACAAAATATAAAAATGTGATTAAAGAACTGTATCAATGTTAAATTTACCAACATTGATTACTATAGTCTGGTTATATAAGAAAATACCTTTATCTTTTGGAAAAATGCTCTGTGCTAAAGAGCCATGATGTTTTTTACTTACTATTCAGTGGTTTATGGAAAAAAAAGTAGATGTATGTATGCATGCATGCATCTATCTGTGTACATGTATATATTTACATAAGCATATATGTATATAGAGACATATATACATACATGCACATGCAGAGAAATGGAGTGACACAGAAAGTAAATGATCACATAAATGGCATAAAACACCAATAGACGAATCTGGGTGAAGGGTATGCAGTGTCCTATGTCCTACTCTTATGTTTATTTTCTAAATATAAATTCAAGAGTCGAAGCTGTCACTCACCTTTGGCAGATGCACTACGAGAGTCAAGCACCTTCTGTGAGGGCTTTTTTAACCCCCGTTTTACATAGTAGTTTGGAGAAGCGGCGCGCACTCACCTATGGTTTGGATGATGGCATTCTGCACGATCTTCTCATCGCTGTCCTTGGAACCCGTGCTGAAGCTGGCACTGCCCACAGATCCCTCCTGCAAGTCGCTAGCTTCCGATTCCACGCTGAGACGCAGGTGCTTCAGCAGCGTGTTGAAGACCTCCAGCACCGTGGGCCCTGGGGCGGTCAGCGAGGTGAGCAGACCCACTTCCCACGGCTACGTGCCCCCCGACCAACACTTGTGCTCCTCAACGGGGGTTGCTGGGGGTGTTCTAAGTGTTGGAAATACTCACTAATTTATGAACAAATTAGTACATTAAAAAAGTAAGTGAGAAATATCTAAATAAAGTCTCCCAGTTATTTCAACAAATGTTTCCTGGCATCTCTATGCAGCTCACTGTTTGAATCACTGCCTAACCCACACTAAGTGGTAAAGATTTGGTAAAGATTACCGAACACTTTGCACCTATCTAAGCTTGTCTGCTTAAAATAATGTGTATGAGGACATTTATCTTGACTGCTGGGTCAGAATCCATAACATTTGGATAATATAGCTCGTTGTAGCATAGGAAATTTATTTTGCATCTTTTGAGGCTGAAGAAGGAAGAATTTGCCTCAATTATTAAGACAGCCACATTCAGATTTCTGGGAATGTATAGAGTTAGGACGTGGAACCTCACATGTAACAGACATTAGTAAGTGTGATGGTTCAATTTATCGTATTTCATTTTGTATTTCAAATTAAATAACCTTCCAATGATATAACCTGCTTCCATCTCTTTGAGATAAGTAACAAAATAGGCAATAAAAAGTCTATATCCCAAGTGCCTACTCTTATTTGACACTGAATGAACGTGAGTATATATGAGTTGAGTATTTCCATTTAGATTTTGAAGCAAACAAATATAACCAGATTCTTGCCCCAACGTCAGCAATACTGTTAAGGACCCTTTCACGCTCATACTCACGTGCAGGTGAAAATCACGATCTCACCTGTCCCTCTTCCTTATCCCTACTGTCAGTCAGTTATCCAACTCTGTTGACTTTACACTCCTATCGCTGCCATCCAACGTCAAGTTCCTTCCCTGACGCCTACCGCAGTGACAACCCCCCCGTTATTTCTAACGTGTCCTACATTTGCAGCAAGATGAATTCTCCTAAAACACACGCCTGATAAAGATTACAGTAAATCTTTAAAGAGTATCCATCAACCGCATAATTCGCTCCACGATCTGACCACAACGTGGAGTCCTCCGACTTCCTCTCCATGAGCACCACACACTGCAGCCAACTGGGCTGCGTAAAATATTTTGCTCCTTGCTAATCCACTTTCCCTCTCTTCTCAGAAGCCTGGCTTTCTTATATGTGATCCAATTCTGCCTTTCATTACAGGATAAGGAAGAACTGTTTATCTCCAAGTAAATGGTAAGTTTCTTATATTTGTATCCTCCCAAATCTTTAGCATATAATTGGGACCCAAAAAATCTTTATTAGAAAAGAGGAGGAAGGGAAGGAGAGATTGGTTTGAAGGAAAATGCTTAACTGTACACTAAGAACTCTGAGAATAAGCATATGAACCCCAAATTTCAAGAAAAATGACAGCACTTTTAAAAACATTAGAACTATTTTCTGAGAGTTTTCCACCCACTACTGTATGTCTACTGAAGAACATTCTGAACTAGACTGAGGCGACAATGCTTTGTTGGTTTTCTTTTTCGCTGGCACTCACCTATGGAACCTTTGGCAGCAATGGCAACAGCCTCCAACAGAACCTGAATTATACCGGCGCGAACCCGCGGCGGATCTTTCTTACGAGCATCGAGGTGCCCCAGAATCTCCTGGATCACATGGTGAGAATACTGAGCCTAACAGGAACAAGGTAACACAGAGATGGGTGAAGAGTTACATGTATCCCAGCAGAATTCGTAAGAACAAAAGACTGCATGGCATTTAAACACCCAATTACAGATGGTAATTACGTTATAGAATAATATGTAGCTATTAAAAATCATTCTTTTTAAGAATAAAGAGGAATATTAGAAAATACTTATGATATCCTGAGTGAAAAAAATAAATTGCAAAATATGATGTCGAGGGTTCTATAAAGTCTGGAGGAGTTAATACATGCAACATAGCATAGTAAATACTCAATAAATGGTAGTTACTATTATCAACTCCATGCTGCTGAAATAAACATCAATTCTAATACCAGTTTCTCAGTGAAAGATAAATATATAGTAATTTTATTACATAAATGTACAGTAACAGCACCATCATAAAATCATTTCATTCTTTTTATTAGATATCTTTCCATCTTAGCAAATAGAAACAATTAAGTGGTAAATAAAAATACACGAGACAAGTAAATTAAGAACATTTTTATATCCTACAGCAGTGAATAGAAACTTTTCATCTCATAGCACACAAAAACTAATTACTAAAATACTGCAACATACCAAAAAATATTTTTGCCAATCTGACAAAAAAAAAAGTATGATTTTGATTCATTCACACTGGACAGCTATTGTGTTGGCTGTTGTCATTTTTTACTGTGACAATCTAAGGGAACAGAGGTCCGTGCCCCTGACTAAACAGTCAGGTAGTGCATGTTTTAAACATTCCCGTGGGGAAAAACATTCCTGTGACACATCAGCGACCTGGGGCACACAGGTTGGAACTTGCTCTCCTACAGTGTTCTCGATCTTTGATGATATGCTTATCAATATAAAACCAAAATTACTTACTTGAATGGAATACATTATAATTTTAAAGCAGTGAACTGCGAATTCATTAGGATCCCACAGTTTGTGATGATCTAAATGCCTGTAATTAACAATGAGAAAATTACTTTAGTTGTTCCTTATTTTTAGTATACATTTTTCCCTCTAGAACCCTTGACAACATGCAGAGCTTTACGATCAAAAGATTATCTAAAAGAAAGTCGATGTCCCAATTCCAGAAATATGATATACATTTCCCCCAACTGCCGGATTCTTTCATAAAACACCAACAATAAAAGGCCAGAGTATATATTGGATAAGACTTCGGAGTACCTAGGTGAACTGGTAAGAAAGAAAAGTCGCTCATTTTATTCAAACTCCCAGAAAGGCAAGCCGCTGGAACGCTGGGCATACCCTGAAGCCAGCAGCCGTCCCAGGCACAGCTTCGGGTCTTGAGAGGCCGACAGGGTGAAAATGGAAAGCACTGTGTACTCAGAAGACTAGAGACCGAGCCTGTGGCCCACCCAGGAAAGGCAGGCTATCGGACCAGAAGTCCTCACACAAATCCGGGACCCCTAACAGAGGACGCCCCCCGTGAGCCTGGGAGGATGTTCTGCTGTGGAAGACTGTCAGGAAGCTCTTGCGTGGGTCTCGGCGCTGAGGGGAACCACGAAGAAACACAAGTCCATACCCCAGCACCCAGACTCCCACCTTGGTCTGAGGGAGTTCACAGCCTGTGCGGCTCAAACGCCTGAAGACAAGGATGTATTAAAAGTTCAAAGTGGCGCCTGCAGAACCCTGTAGCCATGCCTTCAGCAGACGCGAACAGAGCCTCCTGTGGAGGGGATGCCACCAATCCAGGCCTCAAAGAATTCACATAAGTAAGGTCACAATCAGCGTGAGCTCAAAATTAAAATTCACAAAACGCCTGAGGCCAAGAGCCACTGAGGGCGAGAGGCAGCAGGATCCAGTCCTCGGGCACCAGTGACATTGCGGGGATTAACGGGTTCGAAATTTAAAACAAGTTTGTTTTTATGCTGAAACAGAGAGAAGGGGTGTTAATAATTTGACAACTGAATAAAAGTCTATCAAAGATGACATGCAGATAAGAAAAATAACTACAACTTTCACACATGAAGATATGGTACTGCAACGAGAAACACTACCGGTGCAAACTGCAGATGAGGCATAAAGAGTTAGTGACGAAATCTAAAGAAATTTCCTAGGAGGTGGCACTGAGAAGAAAAGGAACGAACAACACATACGAGCGTTTAGGAGACATGAAGTGTAAAGGGAGAAGGCCTAACAAACACTCCCATCGCGGCGCCAGGAGGCCAAAGACTGGGAGAGCAAGAGCTGTTTGGAAGCCGCCAATGACGGAGGATTTTGCTGGTTAAAAGCAACCAAAGACGAAGAAAAACCCCAATCTTTGGGTTTAGGAGTCCAGTAAAGGTAAGGAGAAGGTTAACGACAGACAAAGAGGAAAAACAACTCACTTCTAAAAGAAATATACTAGATTCAAAAGTTACTTGCTAACAGCAATCGGTTACTCACAGACTTAAATATAAAAATTTAAGATCTCTACAGTGTAGCCTAACCTGTCTTTCTCTTACCGCACGTCAAGCCGGTAACTATAGCCAGTGCTCCAACCAGTGGTTTCAACTGGCCTCTGCTCTGCCCGCAAAGTCTGCGCCACCCTCTGCCTCCGCTCACGCACCTCGCCTTGCTAAAACCTGCTTAACCACCTAAGCCCACCTCAAAATAAGTAAGTAAATAAATAAAGACGACCCCCCCCAATATCCCAACTTCAAGTTGAATTCTGTGTTTTGAACTGTTAGAACAATTGTTGGCCTTTTCTCCTAACCTATATATTTAATTACAAGTGCACGTCAATTAGCCATCAAGTTTGTTAAGGACCAGGGCAGTTTTATTCATGTATATATTCCCCCAAATACCTGACACTTTACTTGCAGAGGACCTTTAATATTTAATTAACTAAATGGCTAATATATAATTAACTATTTCATTAACATTAAATTAATTAACTAGCACATAATCAGGATTTAAGTTCATTAAGCTCTACATGGAATGTAGCCCACTTTCAGGTTATTTGAGTGCTCGAGGACAGTTAACTGGGTAATTTCATTCTTCCAGGAAAGCTCTGTAGATTTTTAAGACTTTCTAGAGTGCCTCTCGATAAATAATACTTAATAGAAGTAGTAAGATAGAAACTGGAATTCTTAAGTTTGCATGTCTGGCCCTTGCCAGTGCGGCTCAGTGGACTGAGCGCTGGCCCGTGAATCGAAAGGTCGCTTGTTGGATCCCCAGACAGGGCACAGGCCTGGGCTGCAGGCCAGGTCCCCAGCTGGGGGCACTCAGGAGGCAGTTGATTGATTGTTTCTCTTCTGCTCTTTCTCCCTCTCTTCCACTCTCTCTAAAAATATATAAATAATTTTTTTTTAAAACATATCTATACATTAAAAAATAAACTTGCCTTTAGTTATAGTTGATGTCGTTTTGATTATTAGTATAATTTTTATAAGGCCATTGAGTCTTTAAATAATAATTTGGATGGGGGCCGGGGAAAATCCCAGATCCTTCTGAAAACCTACTCATTCTCTGATTTTTAATATAATTCTGTGGTTTACATATTCTTATAACTAAAGCTCAACTTTGAACCCAAACATCTGCTCTACGTAAAGAATTCTGGATGTTACATCTGGACTACTTCACATATGCTATAAAGACACTACAGTCAGGAAGGGAAAAAGACAAGGCAAGTGATTATCAAAAGAAAGACGAGCAAAACTGTGTAGAAATTACATGGAATATTAGCCGCTCTATCATCTGATGACTGAGTTAGAACACAGCGTCGTGACAAGGTTGAAAGATACTGTGTGGAGGAAGTCAAAGCTCACAAATGTGATTTACTGGAGGACAATGAGACGTTTACTATTCCTGCCCTGGCTTCGTCACTACATGTAAGAAGAAATCACTCAGAGAACCGAATGTGACCTAAAGCAGTCCAGTCACAGCAAAAAGAAAGCCGGGAAAACAGAAGGCAGCCAGTATCAGGAACTGACCACAGGAGCTAACAAAACAAGACATGCCACACGGGGCGCTGTTTGTTTTAATGCTTTACTGCGCATAGGTATTTGAAGGTCTGTGTGTAGAAATTCAAGATAAATGACGGCATCCAGCACAAGAGCGCACTTCATTTGTGAGGAGGAGAGGCTGGTGGGGCAGCTGAACCAGCGCTTGGGCATGGGCATCTGGCGCCATCCCGCACTCTTCCCTCCCACAAGGCCGCGCTGCTCCACCGACAACGCCCTCGTGCGAGAAAAAGCACTGTCCCCTGCGAGTAAATCAGCACAGAAATAGGACAGCACAGCCACGCACCACCACAAAAGTGCCCACGACTTACGCAAAAACGGGCCTCACGGCATTATTCATGTTCCCGAACGTCGCTCGGCCCAGGAGCTCTCGGAGACAGTTCTCAGCCAGCACTGCGGGGTTCTCCTCTTTGTCAGCCGCGGAGGGAGAGGCGGGAGGGCCTATGCGACTGGAAACACAGAGAAATGATAAACAAACATGGTCCTAAGAATCCTAACACGAGCTCTAACAGTTAAACAGAACTGATTTTTCTTCTCAGAAATGGTAAAGTAACATTTTCCTTTTCTCCCAAATATCTTAGAAGAATGAGCAAGAAAGGCACACAGGTTAACTCTTTCATTGAAAAAATTATAAAGTAAATAGCTATTGTTATTAGTTTGGTTATTTCTCACTCCATGAAAAAGCAGGCTGGCTCTCTAAAGGATAACAGAACTTTAAAATTTCTTACCCTTGCAACTTTAAGCAATATTACTTCAAATACCAATTTGGATGCTCAATAATAAGCAGTATGTAAAGTATAAAACTATTCTAAAACAAATAGAACCTTAAGTGTATGAGTAAAAATTTGTGTTCTGTTAAGCCTAACACGATTACAAAAGACAAATAATTTTTCAGAAGGGGCACAAATTTAAACTCACGCAAGTTTACGAAACCACTATTTACATCATACTAAAGACAAAACTTCCTTAGTTAGCCTAGTGAGCAAGTACACATACATTTACACAGAGGCAATGCAGCCCCAACTGAAAGTCCTTCTACAATACCTGTCGATCTCTTCTATCTTCTGCATGTTAAACAGCAGAGACGGAACGATTTTATCCATGTGCTGGGGTTCCCAAATTGTAGCCCGAAGTTCATCATTAACTGTTTTACGAACCACACCTTGAATACCCCTGATTCCAGCGATTCGAATTCTATTGAAAAAAAAAACTGAGTCATGAAAAAGTTATTTAAACAAGTCTTGCTTGTTTAGCTAAAAGAATGAATCCCAAGTAAATATTGTTACCTCAAGTCGATAAAATGAAAATAACACAAGAAGTCTGAGAAATTAAAATTTCAATAATCTAAGAGGGACAAAACGCTGAGGCAGCTCCAAAAGAGGCTTACTTTCAATACTATCTTTTTAAAATCAGCATTTAAAGTCTCAAAGGACAGTAAAATATAGTCATATCCAGTCTAAATATAACTTTTAATAAGAAAATTTAATCAAAAGCACGAGGTTTTCCTTAAGAGAATGACAGTAACTCGGAGTAACGAGCCAGGCTCGGTCCCTTGCCGGCCTAGCCGCCCCGGAGGCTGAGCAGACACGGGACCAGAGCAGCCCTCGGCGCTCCTCACACGCCTCCACTGTCTCCCTCTGAGGCTTTCCCCTCCGAGTCCGCCCCCCGAGGGACACCGGAATACTAAGGGGCTCCTTTAAAGGTCCGACAAATGAGAACCATCAAAACGGAGCGCACAGAACCTCAGCCACACTTACACGCACATACGTGCCTGTGAGTACTGACACATGCATTATCGTGTACTGTGACTTAAAATTTATCCCACAGTGAGATGATGCTGCCCCACCCTCCCCTCTCAATCCACAACCCCAACTTCCTCAAGCTCTCTCTCACTCCCATGTATGTATATATAAAATCTACAGGTTCAAGAATGAAAAGTGACGAGAAAAGAGAACGTAAAAGCAGAGTTAAACAGGTAGCCCAGTTGCCCTAAAAGAATATTGCTTCTGGCCAAATTTGACTGTTACTTCCTTTTTCGCCACTACTGGGTATGTTCACCAGTGGAGGTTCATTCGGCGTGTCCGGCACTGTCTTCGCACACCGGTCAGTAGGGCTAGAGAATGGCAGCTCTGGGGAAGGGTGCTACTGCCTTCCAAACCCCCGGGGAACCGACACGGGCAAGCAGGGGTGGCCGAGGGAGGATGGGAAGGGGCAGTAACAGGGCGGTGACCACGCGAGAAAGTGAGCTGGCAGACACAGCGGCCAGTCCCGCCTGTTTTGAAGTTGTGACTAGTCATGCTGCTTCCTGAAACACTGAAAGGGCGGGAGGTTCTTCAGCCATCACAGGTGGGCGAGCCTGACGCTGCTACAAAGGGGCTTCGAGATGCACCTGCTGCTGCTCCTTGGGAGATGACAAGGTGGAGCCGACAAGATGACGGAAGAAGGGTGGCTCTTGCCTTGTGACACGGTGGCCTAAATGGAGCACGCAGAGGGTGCCGCCCCGTCTGGCAAAGGTGGGAGCTACTTATAGCTACTGGAGCTACAAGCTAGCATCCAATTCAGATCTCGTGTCTGGCCTAACCAATGATTCTGGCCACGACCTCAAAAAAAATGTATGGTTTCCTTATCAGTAAACTAGACCAATTGTCTTACCTAAAGCATAGGAGTGCTGTAAGGGTTAAATAAGTTAATTCCTGTAAAGTGCTTATGCAATAAAGGGTTAAACAAACCGACCCACAGTCAGCACTCAATAACCAGGGTGCTCATGTGCTAAGCATTATGACGATGATGATGATTTCTAACGCGGCTGAATGTCGCTCAGGAAATGAGAGCTTAAGACTGCTGTGTGACTGTACGCGTGGGAACTGCTTCGGCGAGGCCCAGCCCCGAGTTCTAGCGGACAGGGTTTTGCCAAAATTAAAGGGATTGATACCAAGTATCTAAACCTGAAAGGGAAACTAAAAGGAATCTAAATGTGCCCAAAGAAAACCAGGACTTTTACTTAAGGCAAAGCAGGAAAAAAAATCAAACCCTCTAAGTATGGCAAACCATTTTAGTTTACTCCTTTGTTTTACAGTGATTCAAATGAAATGTTGTAATTTTGACAAAGACCAAAATTACATATAATTATCATATAATACTGGAAAGACCTAGAATTAGGAAAAAGTACTACAAGGCCTTTCATTTGTGTATAGAAAATTTCAAGTTTCTTTTTGTAAACAATAATAATAAATGTTACATGAAAATACTTGTATGTTCAAAAGAACTTCTTTCACTAGGGGGTGCTAAATACCTAAAATAAGATAACTTATGTAATACACTTTTCTTCCTTAAAATGCATCCTTTCATTAATTTTATGGATACCATCAATACTTTTCACCTACATTGGTTTATACATGAAACCTCAACCAAAATTTGAGAAATGTGTATGTGTAGTTTATTAATCCTTATAATACTAAACTGAAAAAGAAAAAAAAAAAACCCTACATTCTGGATATTTGCTCTTTTTAAAAGGAAGCAAAATTGTTATAATATTGAAAAAAATTGCCATTTTCTTTAGGTGATCTTTATACTTTTTTGCCCCCATTAACATTTTAATGTCAGCCACTGAGAACAGGGAACAGTTTCATAAAATATGTTTTAATGTCCTTTAGAGGGGAAAAAAGATTTTAGTGGCACCTGGGAAAACAGGAACTTAAGTAGTATACGATAGTTATAGTCATCTTTACCTTTCTACAGCTTTACCTTCATAACAAAGGAAGAAGACCAGGAGTCTAAATGACCCTGAGGAAAAATTAATTAACAGCTTCTCATACAGACACAGATCTTATCTAAAAACAGCTATTAAATCACCTCTCAGCTTTCTTTCTCCAGGTTAAAATAACTTCTACACTCGTTTTCTTTGTGTAAAGCAACAATGTAACATACACACAAAAAGCTAGCTATATTTCAGCACATTTCCTCATTTATTTTCAAAGAAAAGTAAGAATTACGAAGCATGCTAAGTCTTGCTAAACTGCCCCAAATAACTCTGAATTCAGCTTAGTTTCTTTCTTTTCAGTGTATTACAATAAAGCTCAAATTACTTTCTATATTTACCAGGGTCATTCTGACTTTAATTCTTAACTTTCAACCTATAGATTGTGTTTCCAGATAAGCATTTGATCCAATTCCTAGTAGATTGTATCTAGAAGAAATGGTTAAAAATGCTCAAGTTGACTATTATGAGAACCTGAGACTGACAATGACTCAGTCACACACACCCATTCGATCTACGATCTACGATCTACGCATTCCTTCAAAAAGCCCTTGCGGAGAGGGTCCCGCGGCCCCCGCCCGGCCCGGCGGCACTCCCGGTGCTGGCGGCGCAGCAGTCCTCCAAGTAAAGCCGGGCCCTCCGGGAGGTCACGCTCCAAGGATGAGCCAGAACAGACAGAGACGCGAGCAGAACTGGGACGGGAAGGGAGGATGGGTATTTAAGAAAGAAACGGTGGCGAGGGCAGGACTCTCACGACAGGTGACATTTGCAGAGACCTGACAAAGCGAGGTGAGAAGCCACGTGCGTGTGCGGGGAGTTCTCTGCAGAGACCACCTGGTCCGAAGGCCTTGGGGAGAAGGGTGCCCGGCGTGTTCCGGAAACCAAGGAGAGCCGGTGGCCGGGTTAGAGTAAAGGAGGGAGGAAGGGGGTATGACAGGCTCTGACCCTGCGGGCGGGAGACAGGAGGGGCGCTCTGGGTGGCCGTTAAGGCTTTGAATTTTATTTGCAGTGAGCTGAGAAGCCACACTCAATTTTGCTGCTCCAGGACCAGCAGTGGGAGCTTGTATTTCAGGAACAAAGCATGCACTTGCACATTCCTTCGGTGACCATTACATAATAAATAAAAACATGGTGCTCGTCAATACATCGTTCTGTGGATCACAGAGGAAAGTAATACATACTCCGTTCGTATTTCTGGGTCACTATGGCAGGAGTGACACATGGCACTGAAGCGGGACACAAAGAAGTCGTAACGTCTGTGATAGGATGGTGTGTCTTCTTCAATATTTGCAAATTTGACAAACTAAAGATAAACAAACAATACAAATGCGTTACCACCTTTTTGAAAGTGTGGACGAAACACATTTAGTCTCATTCATTCCTTGTCACATTAGCAAAAAATATCCAAGAGGCAAATGAAATGTATAAAATAGCCTAAAGATCACATACACACAAAAATACTTTTCAATAATGAACCGTAGAAAATCAAGGCCAGAACATTATCAGCATGAACTAGGACCGGCTGATCCAGCTCCTTTGGAGCGAGCGAGCGGGCTCTTCGCAGGGGGAGGGCCTGACCCCGAGGCTGGGCTGGCGCCCTGCGTGCCGGCTTCAGGGCCAGCTCTCAGGCCCAACCCTGAGGGCCTTCTGTTTCTTGATTGCGGGCAGGGCCTCTTTCTGGACAGCTGCTACCTAACACACGGAGAAGGGGGCGTAAACTCTGCAGAGGAGAACATCACCGAGATGGGTAGAATTCACTCTACCTCCTTTGTAATGACAGAAAGGAAAAAAGAAAAGGAAATATCCCATGTTTAGGGAACTCTAAGTCTCCTACATGAACCACAGACCAGGCCCTCAGACCCCCTAACATGCACTACCTTTTCTCATTCGCTTTCTCATTCTTTTGGACTCAGAGGTGCTGCCACCGTACCACGAGGACACTCTTACTCTTTCGGTGGTTTATTAATTCCGTACACTAAATAGCTGGAAGCAATATACTGCTGGTTTACTTGTAAATTTAAATACAGTACATATGTAAACAACCTGCCAGGATACAGACTGATGGCTTTAAAAGGCTACATCTAAAAGAATGATTCCACCAGGTTTATTTATACTCTCCAGGAGACCAACTGAAATAGCAGTTTAAATTAATTCAGCCAGAGCCAAGTCAACCGTTTTAAATTGTATTTTTATATGATTCACATTATCTAGAAAAAAGCCACAAATAATACACTTGCTTGAGATTAAACTGAAATTCATTACCTATTTTGTATCGTGCACTGTGCTAGGTGCTTGTTCTTATTTAATTATTCCAACAACCCTGTAAAGAATGTATCATTTATACCCATTTTACAGATTGGAACACTAAAATTCATAGGTTAAACCATCTGCCCAAAGTGACACAGTAAACAGTGAAACTGGCATCACAGTCCTGGGGTCAGACGCTAATTTTTGAGATTCCCATAACTACACACTAACCATGTGAGGCGTTTTGGAAAATACTATTACGTTTCATAAAAACAAACCTTAAGTGACATGAGAAAATACTTAAACACATAAAAAAAAAATACACACCAAAGTCTATATACAATATGTTCCTCATTTCCTAATATATATTTTAATAGAAATATTAAAGGATTTCTTCTGAATATTGGAATTTACAGGTGTCTTGTTTATTACTTTTACATTTTCTAGCGTTTTCCAAATTTGCTGCAATAAACGTATATTACTTTTAAAATTAGAAAACGATCAGAAATAAAAATTTGACCACTAAAATGTTAAAAGTGCTGCCAAAATTTGTAGGAGGAAAAACTCAATTCCTTTTCCATCTGGTGACAGCCCCAAGCAACAGTGTGATCTGCCTGCTCCCCTCCAGAAGCAGCTCCCACTCAGGCCCCGGAGCCTGAGTTGGGGCGGCGCTCCGGGGGTCTGGTGGGGGGGTGCACCAAGCACAGCTTCCCTCCCGACTTTGTGGGAGAGCCCTTCTGCCTCCTGTAGCTCTGGGGGCTCTCTAACAAGCTGGAAACCGATACTCTCTGTGCTGCAATGTGCCAATGAATAGAAAGGGCTTCTTATCAGGTGCACGAGTAGAGACAAGGAGGCGCAACACAGTGCAAAGGTTAGAAACAGCTGGAGGGCCCTAGGTTCAGATTCCGGGTTGACTTACAAAATGCGTGACCTGTGAAATGAAATACTAACGTATACGGTTGTTGAGAGGTTCAAATGAGAACCAAACGCTAATAAAATGTCTTGCACATACATATATACTCAATGAAAACTACATGTTCATTTTTTTCACTTAAAAATGTAAATGGAGAGAGAGATTATGTTTCAAAGGTACAATAAAAAGCAGCAGCAATGAAATTCTTTAGAAGTTGAGTTTCTCACAATAGGTACTATTACAATTTTGGACCTAAAAACCTTCTTTGTTGGGGGACTGTCCAGTGTAACACCTACAGTAATGTTTAGCAGCATCCTTGACATCACTACACTCCCCGCCGCACACTGAAGAGCGGAAGTTCAGGGACCGGCTCGAGTGGGGAGGGTCGCCCTGGCTGAGACCATTGCGTTAGTGAAGCGAATGGCCTCGGTGACTGGTCCCTGTGGACGACTGGCAGCAACATTTAAAGAGAACAGTTAAGAATAGTCATGGGGCTTGAGAAAAGTGAGACGGGTCGACTGAATACAGGAGGAGAAAAAGGAAAGTAATCTATGCTCTCCCTAGATCTTAATCCACAACAACAGTGTATTTATATGCAAAACACAGGCTTTGGCAGAGGAAAGGCCTAGTATTGAATCTCTGGTATAAACAGCAGTACTTCACTGTGTCTTTTGACATGTTATTTAGCTTCAATTCCGCATCTGTTGTTATTTGTTGATAAAAACCTGGGTGGGAACATACAGGTCCGCTGAACGCCTGAAAGCTTCCTCAGAGATGAAATTGGAACTGGGAGACTCAACATTATACAGTAAAACTAAAAACAAAAGATTTTCCCTGTATTTTATTTTCCTTTTCAGATATGCCTTCCCAAACCCAGCATATGTTTAACAAACTATGGCTCAGGATAGAAGAAAATAAATGTAGCAAGAGAAATACTTCAGAAGTCATGTAAGAAGGCATGGGGAAATAAACCCTTACTTTTATGGCCAATTGATTTTCGGTAGCCTTATGATGGGTTAATATCACAGATTTCACAAGGAATGACAGAAAAAGATAAGAGACATAGTGATCTAATCGTCTACATTTATACTGGTTGTCCAGAGCATTTATTTGCCTTTACTGGGTGAAGGTGTTCTCAGAATAGAGAAATCCTGGATATGTTAATGCTAATTAAACTTAAAATTAGTACGCAAATAGTTTTACTCACAGAATTTGTTCCAAGGACTTGAAGCTTTGGTTCCCCTGATTCCAGAAGCTTTGCCACCATATGAAGAAAGCTTTCTACGAAAGGCTTGATGCTTTGAGAGTGGCAAGCCATAAGAAGTTGGTCTAGTGCCTCCATGGCAATTAAAACATACCTATGTGTAAGAGAGCAACAATGTCAAAACATTTCTAGCTGTCTAACTTCTGAGTGCTTTCCCCTGAAGAACTAAAAAGCGTTTATTTAAAACATAGGAAGGCGAATTCGGTCATGTCTAAGCGAAACTGTGGATCTCCCAAGCACAGGTGGTCGTAGACACCCAACAGCCCTGGTGCTGAGCAGACCAGGACCCAGGCTGTGCCGCTCTGTCCCCTCCTCCGTCCTTCCCAGGCCCTGTCACAGCTTCTTTCACATGGCCTATGTGGACATTTGTCTTTGTAAACAAGGACGTTTTCTGTTTTCCAGACTTTTAACCATAGTTGTTGTATCTGATCCAAAATAATTATTACAAGCAATGTGCCTAAATTTCTAACATAATCTATTGGCATTTGTAAACATGAATATATCAAACATTACGAGCAACAACATTATAAGGAAATGTCTCATAAATTTACCTTACAATTCATTGAATTTTAAAGCTTCTAGTAAAAATTAAAATTCAGTTAACTTTGCTTCAGCAATCAACTGTAAAACTGTTCGTATTAAGACTCACAAAAATTGTTCTACATGATAACAATATGGAAGCAGAGAAAGCCAGTATATATCACTTGGAGAACAGAGTACTCTAAGAAACCAGGATCATAAAATGACAACCTGGGGAAGTAGTTAATCTGAATTATACAAATTATTACTGTTCAAGCTCAGAAAACGGATCAAGGAGGTAGGCCTTTATTTATCAGTAGTTTTAGTAAGTCTTTATTTATCGGTAGTTTACAGCAAGCACCATTTCAAGTCAGCATGCTTACAACCTCTGACCCTTAATATCTAAGCCTCATACAGTTCTTTTATTACTTTTCTGATAGGTAAAACTGAACCTGTGTTAATAATCAGTTGGTTAACAGGATCTTTCTCTTTGTGTTCAATTTAGAGACTGGTTTTTAAATTACTGTATCAGACTAATAGACTAAGGGAGTCAATTGCTACTATTTCCATTAGTGAATTCTCAGGGATTAATGGATGCTTAAGCTAAAGGCAACTCCATTAACTAACATGAGTCTATGCTTGAAATCTGAGCACCAGGAAAGCAATAAAAGCTGCAGCATCTATATGGTATTACACGATTCCTTGTATGATATTACAATGTTTTATCCTCTATATAGCACTTTTTGCCTGACTAGATGGCAAAATAATCTACAGGGTGATTTAGCCTGGGGGTAATTTTCTAAAGATGCAATATGAGCAGCAACGCCCCTCCTTACCCAGAACGGTGTCTGACAACATCCCTGCTCAGCCTTTCCGCCAGGTAAGAACCAATTCGATCCAGCTTCTCTGGCGCAGACACTGCATAAAATGTCAATTTCTCCATATCGGCTTTAACAAGGCCATCCTAAAAATTGTAACAAGATAAAGAAACAGGTTATCTATATTTTCATGCTTGTTTTTTGTATTTCTAAGGGCTGCTTGCTGCATATTTCCCCTTTCTGGACTGGTGAGGCAGCCATATTTATGCTGAACCTTTCTGGAAATAGCCTCCTTAGTACTAATATTCCCCGTTCTGGATACACAGAATTCTTAAAAAGTTAAAGAAATGCCCCATTTAGGCAAAGCACTGGTATATACCTTCATAAGCAATGAATCACACTAACATCATTTAAACGTGACTGCATCGCACCCACTTTTTTTTAACCCCTTACTAATTTTAATGAGGAATAATTTATACAGTAAACTGCACCCGAGAATATGTCATTTGAAATGTGACAGCGGTATACACCCTGGCACCACCAGTAACGAACAAGATGCAGACTGCGCCCCCCATCTGCCGCAGACCCTCACGACCTTCCCTCCCCGGCGACCCGCGCGCCGCCTCTGGTGCCCTGGGTCCGTGTGCGCGGAGGCGGTCATAGGGCCGGCTCTCCCGCGCTCGACTCCTTTCGCTCAGCTCGCCTCCGCCTCCTCGCCGGGCTCTCGCTCGTCCGCCTGGGGAACCCCGCCTGTCCTCCGGGGCCGGCCTCCCCCAGGAAAGCTCTCCCTGCCCCTGCCATGCGCCTCCTGAGCGGGAGGGAGAACTTCCTCCTCCATGTTCTTTTAGCTCAGGGCACTTATCGCTGCACTTATGTCTGCGGTCGTGCTTTGCCGCACTGCTTTCTCAATCTTAGACTAATGCCAGTCAAGGGCTAACTTGTGGTGGACACCAGGGAACTAACATGAACGAAGAATTGTGTTAACGCATTTAATCTTCACGACATCCTTAGGAAATAAGCACTATTTATAATTTTTACTCATAATGGGAAACCGAGGGACTTGCCCAAGATCATACCACTGGTAATCTTAAGAAATGGTTTGGTTATTTGTCTGTCCCCTCACAAGGTAGCCGTAGGCAGGGACTACGACTAAAGACCCCTCCACTCTGGGCACCTCCCACCTGGTCCATTTTGGATACACAAGATGGTTTTCTTTTTGTTTAATAAGTTAAAAATAAGACATGTGGTCAACTGAGCTGTGCAGCAAGGTTCATGTAAATCTTTTTTGAGCTTATTGTACAGACTGCTATTTACATCAATCTTATCTCAACGCCTGGTGAGATAGTCTTCCTGCAATCATTCTCTAATTCACCTGACACTGTTCCCATGATCAGAGCTCCCTCACCACCCACAGGTGGGAGCGGATGACGCGGGCACCGGGACCGTCCTCCACAGTCCTCCCCACTGTGGCCCCCAGCGTGTCTTCAGGAACCGCCCGTCCCAGGCCACTGAGGGGAAGTAGCTGCGTATCCAGTCGGCTAAATACTACGTCGGAAATTCCAGATCAGAAGTTGCGGTGATGACTCGCACTCATCACCCTCTACAGCCTGAAGGCTCTTGAGCTCAAATGCACCCCTTGCTTTCCAGTGCCGTTCCCTTGCCTGGCCCATCACGTGCAGCAAAGAGACTGATCTCTACTCCTCCCGATGGTGTGCTGCTTTCGAACCCAGCAAGTCTCCTTTCTCTGAGCATGCGTCCCAGGGACTGCCAATCACAACGACACCTCCCTGCTTTAAAGGAAAAGGACTTTGGCACCTGCTTCACTTCACGTTTCACTTCCTGGTTTATGCACTGTGATTTAATATTTAGTACGCGTTTCCATCCACTGGCTGATACAGTATACTCTACTCGGCATACTTAGCATCCTAAATCAGTCAATGGATGGACAGGTCCTTCAGGGCAGGAACCGTATCTCAGGGCTGTTTCTACGCCACAAATTATGCAGGATATCTGGCAGCCGGCAGTATTTAATTGATTAGCTTCCCCTAACAGCTGAATGTTTATACAGATTTGATTAAAAATGAGATATAGCTCATGAGATACATAAATGAATGTCAAGACAGCCAAAAGGTTTCTATTGTTGGCTAGATTTTAAAATAAAGCAAATTCTGGAAATCAGATCCATGGTAACAATTTTTATTCATATCCACAAACACTAGAACAAAGGAGTCTTAGAAAATTTAGGAGTGTCAAAACAAAACCTTTTAAACAAAACTGAGCTGCTTTGAAACCAGTAATCTTCCACAGCAAAGTAACTTCTATAAAAAATTTATAAGAATTTAAGTAAAAAGAGAACAAACTCTGCCTGGAGAATTCTTACTTTCCATTTCCACTCTCTTCTAAGAACCGTGTGGCCAGTCCTATTTATTCCTTCTTCTCCTCAACTCAAGTCAGGTGACATTCCAACCCCCTACCCCCAGGGGCACCTGTACCTCCGTTCTCTGTCACAGAGCCCTTTTCACACACTATGGTTTGTAATTTGGCTCCGAGCGTGGCAAGGCAGAAAGCCAGGTCTGCGCTCACAGTTGTGTTCTTAGCATTTCACACAAATATCTGGCAGCAGTTCATAAAATCCTGATGAGTGAGTATTACTTAAATTTAAGAACTATACAGATAGAACATCACCTGTCCATCGTTCCAAATTTATGTCCAATCTATGAGAAAGATCTGAAAAGGAGACAAGCAAGCATTGATCGCTTAAAAGCAAAAGAAAGAAAAAGTATAAGAATAGCAGAGTACATGGTGAGATTCAGGAGTAAAAGTAGAGAAATGAAATGAGGGAAACCTTAAGGAGGTCAGCAGGGGGGAGGATGGGTCAGCAAAGAGAAGGATCAGTAGATGTGGATCAAATTACTTTGGGATCTTCAGGGAATATGTTGTCCACCAGGCGTTTGTAGCGAGGACGCAGAGCAGAACAGCAGCAGCACATCCCTGTTCAAAAGAGAATAAAGTCACAAAATACAGAGATTAGTCATACTGTAAATGGACCCAGAAATTCAAGTTTCTAAATTTTAAGGGTTATTTAAATTAAAGGAGAAAAGTTCAAACTGCCACCAACAGAAAAAGGCATATGAATTCAGTTTCTGATTAACAAATGGAGAAGTTTGCCTTGGCCAGGTGGCTCAGCTGGTCGTAGTGCCATCCCATACACCAAAAAGGCTGCGGGTTCGATCCCCAGTCGGGGTGCTTAAAGAAGGCACCCAACAGATGGATGCGTCTCTCCCTGTCTCTCTCTTCCTCCTTCCTGTCCCCGTCAGTCCCTCCCTCTAAAATCAATACACATATTCTTAGGTGAGAATTTAAAAAATGAAAAAGTTAAATTTCCTCTCCCCTCCCCAAAGATACCAGGTCAAAATGAATATACTAACGAGCTATTCCAAAGTTCAAAACCAAATTGTTTGGGGGCATGTGTGTGAATGTGCACACACCCCCCCGTGGCATTCGCCCTATAAAGCAAATACACAATCGCCACCCCCTTTACCTCCTCTCTGATCTCACACTGTGCTCTGCACCCCCTACTCCCCACTCCCTCTGCGCAATCCAATCCACTCAGCTCCGCCAACAGTGGCCTTAAAGTGACAGTTCACTCCTCGCTGATGAAAACAGTTAATACTTTTATCTACATAATAATCATATAAGAAACTACAATAGATGGGAAGACAAACTAAAAGGAAAGTCCGGGAACTTTTCTAAAATGTTCAAAGTTTGCTCTATATATTCTCAGCTGCTGATGTCTTGGAAGGAGCAATGGATTCGGATCCGGAAGCTCACCCCAGTCTGTGAGTTCCTATGTGACTTCAGGCAAAGCGCAGCAGCTGCCTGGAAAAACTATGTAAGTGCGAAGAATTGGTTCTCTTGCCCTGCAAACTGGTAACTTAATAGGAATACTGGTCTTGAGCCATTAAAAATTATTCTCGTGATTTAGGAAGCTGGGGTATACGTGTCACTGTGTAAGTGTGTATTTGCATATATTTAAAAACCAAAATATGGAATGAGGGAACACTTGAGCTAGACGTGAAAAGAACTCAGCTCTACCCAGACAATTGCTACTATCTTTTCAAGTAAGGCCATGCAAGAGACTTCTCTGCCTTTCACTTCGCTCATGACGTATGTATGCACCTTTCGCCCACGCAGCCACATACCAAATGTCAACTCAGTGCCCAGCACAGGCCCAACCCAGGAGGACAGACCCAGATTTTGCAGTCGATATTAGTGGTCAAATCCATCGTCCTCCAAATAGGTCGCTTGTACCTAGTATGCGGTGTTATGCTCGATGCCACAGATGCAAGAAGGTATGAAAGACACAAGATCCTTGGCCTCAAACGGTTTATAAATCGTTATAAGAATACTGAATAACTCAGCAATCTATACTTAGGCTGATAATGTGAAATGCTACCTATTGTTCAGGGTGTTTTTTACTTTAATAGAATAGAAATACTGCTAAAGAGTCCATTAGGGGATTTTTTCATATTAACTAACACAAAAAACACCTGACTTCTTTTTAGAGTCCAAAACTGAAACACAAATCTTATTATTAGAAAGAAAAGGAAGGGTAACAGCCAAATGAGCAAAAGTCAGATTTCTGTGTTCACTATACATAACACAAATATACTACAAATAAATGTTAGTACACTGTAATAGGTTAAAATCAAACCTGTATGGAGTGATTAACTTATACAGGGCACTAAGCTAGCACATAATACTTAGATGAAAGAAGCTCATAGCCTGGTAAGATTAAAATGAATATTTTGCTATCACTAATACAAGGCCAAAGAAATAGTGAATTCAAATGGCTGTCATGGCAAAGAGGCTGGCAATGGGACTAAAAAACAAGTCTCAGTTTTGAGCTTCTCTTCAGGATGGTAAGTTGTGTTATTTTCAATAGTTAAGGATTCTTAACAAGCTATTAAGTTTCATTTACACTGACACTGTCTGATATTACATATTGCTTTTATTTTAAAGAGCCTTCAAGAAATGTGAACTTGGAATACATACAATGGCCAGTTCCTACTTTCAGAAAGCTCGTGTCTGCTGGGGGAGACAGTGGAATAAAAAGGCAAAATGCCCAACAGGCAGCAAGGGGTTGAAGGGCGTGGGTTCTGGAGTCAGACAGGCCTGGGGTGAACCCAAGGTCTCTCACCGTCCAGCTGCGTGGGTGGGTTACTTTCTCTTACTTCACCTATGTTTCCTCAACAGTTAAATAGTATAATCATGCTTTTCGCATATTTACTGGAAATTAAATGCAACTGTATACAAAGTTCTTATTAAGGATGTAACATAAAGTAAGCATTCAATACAATGGCAGCTATTGTTAGCAATGCATAAGGGAAGTGCTGCAATAGGGGCAAGCAGGTGTTTGAGGGCCTTTGAGACAATAGTCCCAAAAACGTGAGAACCTTTGCTGTAAACTCATCATCTAAAAATCACAACAGATATGATAGATGGTTCACAGTAAGCTGCCAGTAACAACATGAGCATCAGTGGGGGTAAGCGCCACTTTCCGGGCATGATGTGCGCAGGGCTAACCTATCATTCACTTACTCATGGAGTAAGTTCTCGCTGAGGTGGTTACTCTCCTCTGTCTGACAAATGCAGAAACAGAGGCTCCGGGAGGCCCAGCTGGCCCATCACACAGCTGCCAAGGAGAGGAGCTGAGACTCCAACTGCATCTGATGACTTCAGAGGGTAACTGCCACACTAAACTCAAGTACCGAACAATTTCTAAATTAAACATTTTAGCATTCTGCACACCATGAGAATGAACTTGACTGCAGGAATACGTCTGACCAATGAGGAAGGCACTTCCGTGTAGGAAAATAAATGATCACGTCAAGTTTCTCCACAACGCCCCAAATGAAACAAAACAGAAACACTTTCTTAACCAGTTACTATAAATGGAAAGCTACCAACTGTAGAGAATATACATAAAACCAGGTTTAAAACATTAAACTTACTCAGGTTTCTATAAAATGAAAACATATTGAAGATAATATAAGGTTAAAAAGACTGTGGCAACAGTAATCATAAAAGAAGTAATTACAGACTATTTTAAATAAGAGAATACTGAACTTGCAAGCATCACAAGAACAACTACAATGAAACCACGGGACATACTCAGGCACAGAAACGCAGCTGACTCCCTCGTCGAAGCCAATTCATAAGGCTTTTCAAGCTCAGCCACAGGGACCTGGACATAGTCTCTCATGTTGTCAGAGACTGTTTTCTGGTTGACCTTCCTGCTTCCAGATCCTTTCACCTACTGTCCAGGAAGGGCTGAGTTCGCTTTACTTGTAATTAATTAGCAGAGAGCCCTAATGTAATGTAACTTATCCAACTTGTTGCTGACATCAAATATAAAGCTATCAAGAACTTGATAATATCCATATCAAATTCTGCTAGCAGTATCAAATAGCTTCCACAAGATATCATTAAAGTACTTGTACTGCTGGTTTAATAGAAGTAGATTTTCATAAAGTTCAAATAAGAAAGTAAACATGCTGATACCTGTTGTCCTTAAAGTATTCCTTTAATTCCTCCTTATCCCTGCTTCTGATCTTTTCCAATAAACTCACTTTCCGATCTCTTCCCAACTGTCTCTTTTCCAAAGGAAAAAATGGGTTAAACATACACCAAAAGTCTTGAGCAACTAGCTAGTCTGAGCAATATGACTTCTTCCTTTAACTTTAGTTCCAGCATATAAAAAAAGTGATCCACTATTCTCCTGCAGCACATGGAATTCAGAACCCTGCTAACGATACACTTAGGACGAGAAATAGAAAGTCTACAAGGGGGAAGAGATGGACAGAGAAAAATCATGACCTTACCCTGCCCAAAACGTGCCAGGCTTATGGGGCAATCTGTTCAATAAACAGGAAAATCCTTCTACCTCCCTCTCAGGCTTGGGAGCAGTAAATTAATATAAAAATTCTCTGGAATGCAGAAGTCACTCAAAAATATGTAATGTAATTTTTAGTAAAATTTGCATACTCCTAAGTTAACCATTTCTTCTTTAAAGATACCCAAAGACTAGCCCTTCTCCTCTGGCCCCAACACCGTCCCCACGTGGACGCACCCAGGGTCCCCAGTCCTCACCTCACACAGAGTGAGACGTCTCGACCCCTACTTAGCACCTTCCTTCTTTGATGGTGAGGTTGAGAACTGATTTCCAGCCTGTCCTGACCAATTCACAAAAAAACGTGAGGAGCAGTGCAGAAATGCTCGCGGCATGCATCAGGCACGTAGGAACACAAAGGTTCTGGAAGGATTCTGCATATTTCTAAGTGGCTGGTCCACCAATGCATACGTCTAGTTTGTGACGGCATTTGCTTTCCTGTGAAGCTCTGGTAAGTCTGGGGGTTTGGATGATTGATTAATACAGAGCCCTTTTAAAATAAGCTCCTTATACTTTCAACTAACTATATTACCCAATGATAATCTAAATCTAACTGGAAATAGTAATGCCTCCATTATTAAACTATCATGAATCTATGAATGTCTCTATTATTAAATACCGCCATGGCACGGGGTACTTGGGATAAACCTATCCTCTACAACAAAAGCAATTTACTAACACTGTCCCTGGAGTTGAGGAATGCTTAGATCCTCTTATAGAAACCAAATGCATGCTTCTGGGTTAGGTTGACCTGTAAAAGCAGAAAATAACAGTCTCTACACCTTCTACACAGCAATTATATTTCCTCAATTGATTCTTAATTGTACTATAGTGGGAATTCAGTAGCATATTTAGGGCTCACTAAATTTCATACTTTCAAGCAGGAATGGCTATGATTACTGGGTTTTAGTCCTTTATGCATATTTCTACCATAGAACCTGTACCAACTTGCTGTACTTATTTATACACCTATCTGTCTTTACCACCAGAACATAAGTCACTCCCACATAAAGCCCTTTTCTTGTTCATTGCTGTGCAT